GCATTCACGATTCAAGGAAATTGAAATACTTTAGATTTTATTGAAACACTATTTATCTCAAGTGACAGTGGCACATTTTATATACACCCTTCAGATGATTGAAGAGAATATACGTGCAAACACAAGTGGATCTGGTATAATAAATTCCACATTCTAGTGCTCTATTTCAATTTCACTCCATCTTACTCTCATGGAAACGCAACAGGCGTTCTCTTCTACACCGGCAAATAGTATTGAAGTAATAAGTGATGATCAGTTTAGCCGACCTCCAAGAGGACTGACACGCATTCTTAACGAAGAAAAATGGCAATCAAGGTTACAGGAGCCAGGTTAAAAATAAGCAACTTAATTGTTACCTTAATTGGCAATATCTAATGTGATTTTTAATTAGAACATGCTTATCCAACAATAATTAGATATTATTCAGTTATAGAAGCTTAGGGACTCGTCTCTCCAGAAATCTAGAACTGATTTCTTTTGGGACTCGCTAAACGTTTCGATATGAGTTCTCGCAATCAAGTTCATCGCTGAAAAACATTCTTCATGCCACATTAACGAGTTTTAAATGCTCAAACAAGGCAACAAAATCTGTCCGCAGTCGAATGTTGTCATCACACATGACTCGGGAGGAGCCAGAATTAAATTTTTTACACAAATCTATTCAGATTCTCGTATGTTATCACAATGAAACAGGGATTTTGATAGTATCTATGTTATTCTCTTCTTTTAGAGATCCAATAAAGAACATATCTTATTGATCAAATATTACTAACTTTATCCATAGCTGCATCAGTTCTAAGCTGTTCTTCTCATAGAGGCCTAGTGAGGTCTGTAAGGATCATCTCTTATTGATCCAGTGTTACTACAAGGGAAAACCTGAACTAAACTAACTTTATTTATACTGGATAGCTCTATCAGTCCCAAAGTGTTCTTCCTAGAGGTCTAGCAAGGGTCATCTCTTATGATCCAGTGTTACTACAAGGGGAAACCTGAACTAAACTAACTTTATTTACACTGGATAGCTCTATCAGTTCTAAACTGTTTCTCCTAGAGGTCCAGTAAGGATCATCTCTTATTGATCCAGTGTTACTACAGGAGGAAACCTAAACTAAACTAACTTTATTTATACTGGATAGGTCTATCAGTTCTAAACAGTTCTTCCTAGAGGTCCAGTAAGGGTCATCTCTTATTGAACCAGTGTTACTACAGGAGAAAACCTAAACTCAACTATAAATCTATTCATACTGGGTAGCTCTACCATTTCTAAACTGTTCTTCGTAGAAGTCCAGTAAGGAACACCTCCAGTGCACTACAGGGGAAAACCTATGTATTTAGAATATAAAATAAACTCAAATAAACCTTAATATTCATACTGGAAAGCTCTTTCAGATCTGAACTGTTCCTTTTAGAGCCTTCGACCAATTAAGGAGCATCTTTAGTTAACCCAGTGTCACAACGTTTGGAAATCAAAATGCATTAGAAAAACAGGCGTTGTTTATTAGGGAATATCTAGAAGGACACGTCACATGCAAAACCTAGCTACCGCTATCATTAACTGACGCATTTGAAGCTCATGAGTCATGGTGGTGAACATGAGTCATGGTGGTAAAATGCGAATGCATGTATTTTTTAAGTTAGCAATGCCACCCAACAATCGATTTTTTTCATCGAGAATAGAGCTCGTTTCCTGAATATAATTGCTAATCGTCATAAATCGTGGTAAAAAACACGGGTCAAACCACAAGACTTCAATTAAAACTCGACCAAAAGAGTAATATTTTGAGACTGTGCATGTATAGAGTGATGTCTCGACAGCCAGTGTTCGCAATGGGAGCTAATTGTGTTCACATCGTGAATAATTGATTTCATCATATTTGATGACGTATGAGATCATCAAAAGTATCATTATTCTATACTTTTAAAAAGACCGCGGAAATTGTACAAGACATGGATTAAGACATTAGACATGTGGATGGCAATTGCCGGCTCGGTAAAATTCAGCACAAAAAATTCCCGTAATTCCTTTGACATATGACCTCCAATCTAAACATAGTTCAATTGACCAAGCTGTTTATTAAAAAGGCAATCAATTTCCTTCATTTTTTTTTTCTTCATTCTTCTCTTACTGAAAGTCGAATTTTTGACATGAAACTGCAGGGGATGTTTACTAGATGGCGGTTTTTCAGCAAGCAATTTTAAATTAGACACAGATTTTTGTGCTCTTTTAAACGATATATAGTGGTCTTGAGTTTCCGCATAACTCCCTCATGATCAGCAGAATACAGCATGGAGTTCTTGGTAACTTATAAGCATTGCCATACTCAGCGAACAAGAATTCTTAACTCGGTAGCGGTTTGGTGTATAAGGTGGAATTGCTTTCCAAAATTTAACTTATTTCCCGAAATACAAGATTGCGTGCACGGTTTACCAATTAAAACCCTGCAAAAAAAACACATTCGCGCGCTCAATTGACTAATTTTGTACGCTATAGAATGTATTAGAACGTTCCAAGAACTGATATATAAATTATTTTTAGAAATCCTTGCTTTAGTAAACAAATTTATTCGGTTTCAAGAGCATGCAGTTATTTTTGCTCTGCATCTATTTTGGGCCACGATACTTTACGGCCGTGTCAGAAAACTTGCCGACAGCATGCATCACTGGTTATAAATTTAGCTTTTCTTTTCTAGGATGCATGTGAGTGATACGCTTCCAAAATTGTCCAAAAAAAGTGAACAGTTATTTTCGGCTTAAACCAAATTTGAAACAGTATCAACTTCTAGAAGTATGTATTCTAAGCTTAATGATATAAATTGATAATTTAATTAATTATCACTTTCAATATAAAACACATATGCTAGACATTCTGACTTCAGGTCTTAAGCACTGTTTTTGTGCCTGTTTTTTCATATTGTAGTAGGGTCTTAGGGTAGACTATCACAAAGCTAGTGTATCATTACATAAACTGTACTTTATAGGAATATAGCTTGTTCAAGCTCTGTATATATTTGTAATAGCCAGTAGCCTAATTCGGGTGTTTAGGCAAGTTATTCTTAAAACCCATTCCTGAAAATCATGGGAGGAACGACCTTTACTGCCGATATAATTGTTTCCCGCTATCTTTGTAAATGAGATATGAATTCAATTAATTGAGTAATTCAGTTCAGGCCAAAAACGTACTGAGGTCGTTTCCTGTTTTGATGATTTCCAATACAGTCACGCCTAAAATATTCGTCTTTAATACATATCAGAGCTGAGACAAGCTTCATCGGCACGCCAATTAATATGAAAAGGTATATTGGAAAATTTTTGAACTGAAAGATGTTGAAAATTCTCAAGTTAGGGTTTTAGTTTTTACATATATGTATGCATATACAAACAAGACTTTACGTACATTCGGTACATACACATAATGCAAGTCATTACTACTTCACTTAGTCATTACTATTTTAAATTGTTATTTATGTTTTAAATTGAATATAAGAATTACTAAATTACATTACGGTGCTAGGATACACAGAGTAAACACCTTCATTAATCAGTTATCGTTTTGCTAAAACGCTCACCAGATGATATACTTGCCAGTTAAGAATGCATGGTGTGGGAAGCACTATTAATAAAGGAAGCTCTAAGATCACGAAGCCCACGTTGTTTGAAAGACTGCCTCCCTTGATTTATAATCGAATCACCATTCAGATTACATTATTTTTCCTTACGTATAATCTTACGATTTAAGTTTTAATCCCCTATTTCCGTGCTTAAAAACATGACATTTAAGTGGTTATGCGTGGAGCCTAAATGGATTAAATGGATGTATATTTCATTATGTTTGTCTTGAAAATTTTACTGAAGATTTTTGCACGTAAGTTTGGCACAGGAGTGATCACTACTATGTGGTCTAATATTGTAATTCTTGACAACAGAATTATGACAATGAAGCTTCTAGTCTTGTTAAACGACGAAACGTTCTCAGCAAATGTTTTCTTGTGGTACGACTCAAGGGGTAGAGTGGGGCAATGAGGAACTATTGAGCTGGGGAAATTAGCACGGCTATATGCATGATTATTAGCCGGTTAAATTTAAAGGCCTTATGCTTCGAGGTAATTTTCCAGATGTGATTCGCCTGCAAAGACCTGACGCAGGGGTGGTCACCTTCACTGGTAGAATATATTTTTAAACCACGACCTGTTATCATATCATTCACTCACTGAGAGAACATTAAAAAAAAACAGTTTTCGATAATACTTCTAAATCTTTTTCAGCTGATTATTCGAGAAAAACATTTGCCACACATGGGAACCTTACATAAAGCAGGATTATAGAGTAAATTACATTTGTTTATAGTAAGCTTGTTAGCAGACACTCCTGCAAGCCAAGACTTGATATAAAATAACATGAAACATTTAACTTTCATTTGTCTAAGATTATCCTTCATTATCCAGCAAGCAAATACGTTAATCTGTGTGGGAGGTCTTGCGTAATTGGTTGGCAATGAACAATAGAGAACTTTAGCAACGCGACTACGAGTTCTGGCTGATGACGTAAGCTGAGAACATGCGAGAATAATGAATCTATAGTTACTTGCTTTAAGGCTCTGTTACACTATGCAATTTTCCTTGCAACTCAGTTTCAAAGCAACTATAATTTTGAGGGATGTTAATTAATGAAGAGTGTTCGAAAGGCTAAGAAAACGTTGGCAGATGACGTCGCAAGAAATGTTCGTATTTGACAACCTTAGATGCCCCAGGAGTGGAATTGCATTGCAAGTTGCAAGGAAAGTTACATAGTGCCACAAGACCGCCTTAAAGCTCCTAATAAGGTTTCTGATAAAACAGTGCTGTTGCTGTACAGATGACGGAACACCAACTGGTTTACAGTTACTCTAAAATGTTTAAAAATGACACGAGGAATTTTATTTAAAACATCTTAATTTATAAACTTTCCAAGAGATTTATTTAAATTTAACAATATATATTTATTCATTTATGTTACATTATTCGATTTTTCTTGCTCTATTTAAAAGCCTAGGAATTCTACATTTAAATCCAACTGAAGCGAATTATTTTTGGTTAAAAACATTCACACGAAGTGACGCGAGTCCGCCAGCCGGAGTAAATCTACCGCTTCTTGTGATTGGGTAAGTTTAAACAGCCTCATTTGGCCTCTTGATGGAGTAATCGTGATAAATGAAAAAGGTATAGAAAGTTAGGGCGATGCATGGTCGATGAATTTTTCTGAATTTTTTAAAGTTTTATATGCATGAAACTTACTTTCTTAGCAGAGCTTCCCTTGAATGAAAAACGTCTTTGCGTTGATGGAGTGGAGGGAAACATTTTTCTTTTCAATTTCTTCGCTGATAAAGGTGTCAAGACAACAAAAAATTGACGCAAGGCGAGAACGCGTTTGGCATTAAAACGTAAGATGCAAATTCGGAATACAAAAAGCCGAAAACGAATATGAAAAATGAGTCGGTATACAATACACTGATCTTCAGTGTATAAAAAAAACTATTAAGAAGAAGAACTCGTACTAGGCTGACAGGAAAAAAGCATTATAAATACCTGAACTTGTGATAGAGCTTCCAGTGAATACTCCTTTCTTGCTTGTCTTGGTGCGAGGTTTCGTGATTACCTGGCCGCACGTTCGACAATACGATTCGTTCTGAGAGAAAAGAAAAGAGAAAAACTTCATGTTATCTAGATTGATAGGTTTAGGGTTTTTTTTCTCTTCCCATTTCTATCTCAGGTATTTTAGAATTTCTTATTGTTTGTAACTCTGTAGTGATTGATCTTCGATCTTTCAAGCGTTTCTTTTAATGCCACAAAGTCACAATATTCTAAAAATCAGCAATTTTCCTCGTTCATTGCCTCTACATCACAAATGGACCAGACCAGTACCTCATAAACAAGTTCCTCCTGATAAAAATCTTCGTCCTCAAAGCATTCAATTGAAGCACGTTTTCTTCCCTTCTTAATGGATTGACTCAGAATCTCTAATCTCTTCTCATACAACTCAACAGTTGCTGTTTGCTCTTCCTCCATACGTTCCCTGAAAAACAAACGGAAAAACATCGTCTCCATTGCGGACTCTATTCGCAAAGATTGCAATATTCGACACACCAAAGGCATCGGAATGAAAATACAACAGTTTTTCTTAAATACTAACTCGTAATTTCGCTCTATTTCCGCAATCTGTTCAGCCATTTCTTGACCCACTTCGTCTCGAATTCGCATTTCCATCACAATCTTTTCCTTTCTTTCTGCCATAAGAATTTTTTTCAACATCGCGTTTTCTTCATGCAGTTCCTAAAACAATCGTTACGGATAGGTTAGCTGTGTCCAGTTTATACTGCGGTCTGCGTCGCACGCATGCTTTGATATATTTGACAGACCGCAATACAAAACTGGACAATTAAAACTTTTAGCCTCTACGGTTAAACTTGTTCTTAAGCTGTCTTTCTTGGTCATATTCAAGCCGTATTTTACCTGGTTTTCCTCAAGAGAGATAATGTCAATGTTGCTGTCCGCTTCAGTAAAATTTAAAGCCCCTGATAAAGCAGGAGACGAATTATCAACGGCCGGGGTCAATGGTACACGAGTGGATCGCAAAGGTGTTCGTAGAAGACGAGTGTGGATTCGCGGTCGCAACTGTGGGGTATTAGCTACCGTAGTTACCTGAATAAATGGACAAAAAGATCATTCTGTGAGAAGGACTAGATGTTACAGTAGGAAGGTGAAGTGCTGCCTTGCAACACGATACATTTGACAACACTTAGGCCTTGTTTAAATGTTATCTGATCAAATATACTACCTATTATTTGAAGTGTTAGAATTCGACTAAAATGCGACGTATAAACCAGGCCTCATCGTATAAACCAGGCCTCATCGTATAAACCAGGCCTCATCGTATAAACCAGGCCTCATCGTATAAACCAGGGCTGCATCGAAAGCTTTCACTTGTTTCATTTGTCACGATAATACAGGTTTTAAGTTACCTTTTTCGCGATTGCTGAGAATTTCAAAGCGTGAAGAGTCTCATCAAACGCGGAGGCACATTCATTCACGTTTACAATCATGGACGCTTTTCCCCTTCCTGAAAAGAAACCTTGAAGCAGACGTGTGAGCTTGCTTTCCCGGAACGGAATGTTCTTCTGGTTATTTCTGGGAATGATAAAAACTAAAATTAGATGATGAACCTTAAGCTTTACCGAGCGATGTACAACTTCAATAAGTAAACAGTGTACTTACACATGATTCTGGTTGTACCGTAAGAGCTCTACGCATTTTCCAAGAGTCATTATTGAGGTATTTATATTCCCTGCTTCCTTCAAACGTTCGCCATTGTTTTGGGTTTTAGTGTATCGTTCAGCTCCAGCTAGATCCACAAACGACAATCTGAAATATGAAGAATAGTTTCAGGATTTTTGTTTGAAAACCTTGCATTACAAAAGCTTGAGAGAAGGATACAGCACCTGCTGACCCGAGCCACATAAGGGTCCTGACAACTGACAACACGTAGTATTTTCAAGGTAAAAATACAATGACTATAAAAGAAGGAAAATATTGTATGTTTTAAATATAGGATCATGCTGGAATAGCTTTTAGGAGAGGTTAGTGTTAGAGACATAACGGGGGGGGGGGAACGGTTGGAAAGAAGTTGATCGGGAAAGGTTTACAATGAATTGCAAAACAAGAACAAGAACTTGGTACCTTCTACTCGAGGTGTGATTCAGCTTGTTGGACGCAATCTTTTGTTTTTTTCGACCAATATTCAGCAGCTATAAATAAAAATCAGAATATAAGATAACGTAGAATGGAAGGATCACAACGAAGCTGTTAGCTCTGTTAAACTGATAAAGATACTCCACCTTGTAGGCTTCCTCTGCGTCATTCACTTGAACCTCTGTAAGACCTGCACGTCATGATAAGCAGCAATTAGTTTCTAGATCTCGCTCTCTTCCATCTGATTTGTCTTATAGATTTGAAATGAGTTATGAACGATAAACTGCATACCTTTGATATAGGGATTGCCATTTTTATCATCGCCAATCTTCAATGCTGTTCTCCTTTTTGGTTCTTTCTTTGTCGAGAACGGTTCAAGGAGATCAAAAATATACTCGTTATATATCTCGGCGAATGAAACCCAGACTGAAAACTGTATCGGACCTTCGTCTTCAGTACCAACATTCTCGGCTATTAAAGATGATGCATCGATGATAATATCTAAACATAAAACTCTGTTTTATTGCTGCAGATTTTAACAATTTTTCTCCGAGGCTTGCTGTTTTAAAATAATTCATTTCATCTGAAGCATAAAGAATACCTTCCTGGTCTTGATCGTCTTGAACACCGTCTTGCGACGAGAGATCACAGGTGCTTAGACTTTCCGGAAGCGTCTGAATTAAGAAAGGAAAAGTAAAGAGGCTTGATTCATGCAGATGCTTCACAACTGACAACTTATAGATGTGTTTGTGAATTTAGGGACTGTTTACATGGTCCCGCTTAGCTGAGTTCAGATAAAGCCATTGAAATGAGTAAATAACATGGTCCCAATTAAAGCCGTGTATTTCTGAGTTAACTAGGATTTAACTATGCAAAATGTAGTAAAAGAGTTTTATACAACCGGCCCTAGGCGTGTAATCATCCCAACAGTTTACTTACAGGAATTTCACTTGACAACAAATGATTTTTCTTTTTTGTTTCATCCTTCTCCTGTGAACCTCTCAGTTTCACAACATCATCAAACATTTTCGGTTTAAAATTGTAACGCTCGTAAGTTCGGTTTTTAAAGCTTTCAAAGAGGATTTTAAAAGTTCTTGGTAGAACCCCGACGTTTTTTGGATTGCCCAAGATGGTGTACGTCTAAAAGGTACAATGTATTTCATCATGAGAAATTTACCAAGACCCTTATTACGAGATATAAGAATTGGGTTGACGAGGCATTCTATAATTGCTCCTTCAGGGAATTATGGTTGGTTAACATGAGTTAGTTCATCACGATAGTTTTTTGTTAGTGATCAGTGGCGTATAAAATGCTTTGTTAGAAAATGATTACAAACAATGAATGATAGGAGATTGTACGACATACTACGGTAATAAAAACCTCAGAATTGAGAAACCATTGTCTTCAATAAGCTGCAATAGCACTTGGGTTTGACAACGAATATTATAACGTACCTTTCCGGCATTTGTGATTCCATAGCTGAACACCAGATTATTATGTCCGCTAACGACATCCTTAACCACATCTAAAACAGTCCCTTCATAGAACTGTTTCTGACTTGTTTCCGGTCCAAATACTCGTGAAAAAGTGAAGCGTTGGATAGCCTCAGATTTTGCGCCATTTCGTGACTGTTTGTACGTTAAGGATGTTTCCGGTGCATGTAAAACCACCGTACGATCATTCTCCACTTCTAAACAGTGTTGAAACTCTCCGACTTGAATCTCTTCGCGTGTCAAAGGTCTTATCCGTAGGTACACCTTTATAGGCTCCCTTGAATCAGAGTTCGTCGACATTTTCTTTAACTGTTTCTGCCGTGTCCTAGATATATAAAATGTTTTTATTTCGTAAGTTATGTCCCAAGACTTGCACATTGCATTAAGCCTATAATCTGAGCTTTGAACTGCGAAAATGCCAAAATCCACCCATCATCATGTAAACATCGCGAGCGTTGTCTTCTGAATATACTAGCTATTGATTCTACTCCATGAAAATATCATTGTAAAATATGATAATACAAACTTGTAATTCAATGTACCTGTTACTGCAATAAAGGTTTCTTCTGATTTTTCAACATTCAATCTGACACTCTCCTCTGAAGACGAAGCACCACCACATGTGCAATGTACATTTATAGAGGAAAATAAATTATTTCTATTGGTTAAAAATGATCATTTAGTCAAAAAATCATACTGATTGGCTGTTGCTTGAATATTGAATAAATTTGTTTACACTACACCCACCTTCAAGGTTGACACGAATATTTGCATGTTGTTTCTGTGCATCGTTAGTGCAAATGACGGTAGACAGGAAGATGTACAGGTGTTCATCGGCTAAAGCGGACGGCAAATGGCGATATACCCGTGTTCATCGCGATGCAAATGACGGTAATATGGCAAGCTACATTATTGTTAGATCTCACCACTTTATAGAGTTCACTGGTTAACGGAGGACCGATTAAAAGAAAAAATAATACAAAAGCCTGGGTCGAGTATTTTTCGAAGGAGGATTACTGTTAATCAAGGATTAAATTTAATCTCCCAACAGTTTTAGCCGACTGTTTCAACTCGTGTTTGTAAGTGGAACAACTGACGTCTATCCAGTCTTTTATATGCGATCAGTGAGCCACCTTGAACCACTTTCTTTCTCATCTGGCAATTATTTCAGTAAATGGGATAAATCGGGCTAGCATGGTGTCTATAATCTTCCATAATCGGGGATTTACTTTTTCCTGCTGATAATTTTCGCAAACAATTAACTACCCTGGTGATAAGAAAATATTGCATACTTGCGTGTGTTGTTTTAAAAGGGGTTCACGAGCGCCCTCTTCTTATAAGTTCCCAATGCAACCAGAAAGGTAAATACCAGAGAATTAAGGTGCAAGTGTGAAAACGTGAAAATAATTGCCGCTGTATTTGTTGTAAACAAAACTGTTGTTTGGGTAATCTCAGGAGAATCAGGTAAAACGATTTACAACCTTGTTTTGTGATAATTAGTTTTGTAGTATGAAATCTATAATAATCTGTCACTGCGGAGAACATCAATGTAATATTTAATATCTTTGAGCTTGTTCTGTTGTTCTTTCAAATCAACTTCTTCTCATTCTTATTTAAATCCTCTCAAAGACTCAATTAGACATATTTTTCTTAATCTCCACGTTCTGACTATAGTTTGCCAACAGCGAAGGAAGTCTTAGCTTTTTTTTTGGTCCTATCGATTCTTCATTCCCACAGTACGATATAATTAAAGCAGCGTATTCATTGCATTACCTTCTATCGGTCAGTAAATCTGCATTAAGCGATGATGATTTTGTTAATAACTTCCCGCTCTGACCGTTTGAACTACGAAATTGACGTGCCCTTACAAAACCCCAAAACAATTCTGAATATCTGCAGGGATTTTTTACAGTCAAAGGATTGGAAAAACTTTTCACAGCTTGTAAGAGGTTTTAAAAAGACTATTATATTCCTTTTTTGGATAATGTTTATAGCATGTATGGATGATCAACGCTGATTGATCCCTGACTCGAATCAGTTTTGAAGCATTTTCACACATTTAACAGACAAGTTTTGTTTCGTGTTAAATCGTTTTGCAACGCTTCCAACTCATAGTCTGTGATAGTTAAAAAGCAAATCATTATGCAGGGAACTGTTCCATTTGGGAACTTACGTTATCCTGAGGTTTTATCCTGAGGAAATAACAATACGAAATGTCCATCAGTGGGTAAACAGGTTCAAGTTATTCCCGATTGATGAAAAGAGAATTGAATAAATTTTCTTGCACCCCCACAAATATAGTTGTCATCAGGAACGACTTGTCAAGCTTCGAGAAGTCGTGCAACAATATTGTTGACATTATGTTTGTGGGGTGCAAAACAGCGTTGTTCGAGGCTGTTTTCATCAGGTGAAAACAATTTGGCCGTTTACAATTTCCCAGGAAAAAGATGCCAGTCAGTTGACCAGCAAACTCCACACAGCACGTGATTAAAAAAACATACAGCGCCTGCGCCAGATCTGCTGTGCAGGTAAACAAATACAGCAGTGAATACATGTTGCGAAAATCCCAAATGGCACATGAAATATTGTGGGTTCTGATTTCATATTCCCAGTGCTGGGTATATTGTGAATGTTAAACACTGCACGAGAGATGGTTTGAAGTGACATCAGCCCAAACCAAAGTGCGCCTACTTGTCCAAGATAAAGTTTGTGTTTAATACTAAATCAAATGAGACAGCATCTATAATTCATCTATAAGAATCTATAATACATTTGCAATAATATATGGCTATACACATACACAATATCTCAGGGTTTATGATGAAATACCTTTGCCAAATTTGGGGGCTCTGGTTTCAGGTCGCACTTATACACTTAGATGACGCCACCTGGCAACATTGGTTAACTTAATTAAGCCATCTTCGCGTGTTTTTGGCGCAAGAATGGCATTGCATTGACTCAATAATACGCTATACAGAGATAAAGACATATACGAACACGCGTCAAAGACAAAGTGTTATAAATATGACGGATTGAAAGGATTTGGATTAGACGAGGCATGCATTCAATGCTTTGCTCCCTTTTCATCACGATTTTGCAGAGAGAAATCTACACTCTGCTAGTAACGTGAGAAGATAGTAATCTTTTTCAGATTCACGTTTTCAAGGTGATTCAGCCGTGAGTAAGACAAACCGTCATGCTATTTGGCAAACCAGAGTTTTGACAGTATATGCATGTTCATGCATTATCATGCATTCTGACATGTAGGAACGAAAACGTCTTATAAATTTAAGCAGGAAACTTCAGTTAGATCAACTAGTTGCAAAATCAGACGCCCCAATCAACTACTCCGTACTTGAGATTTATACTGAAAGCGGTTCACTAGCCTTTATGACTTATCAAGTACCTCTCATCGCAGGCACAGATTATAAAAACTGGTCTTGAAATCGCTGAGAATTATATAGGGAAATGGAAAATGAGCCTCAAGGTAAATACCCGGACAGATTATTGAAATCCTAGATTCGTTAGAAACGAAATTCAACTAGCAAAGACTAGAAAAAATAGCCTTAACAAAATCCCTTCTCGAGTTGGGAAAAATTTATCAGTAACGTGCTGAAATGTGAAGTGTAAAACGAATTTAAATAAAAAGTACTGGGAAGAAAGTATTCTAAGTTATGGTAAGTTTTCTACATAGATCTTCGCACGAAGGTAGAGTTGAGAAACCTAATATATATCTTTGGACGTATGCCTATATATATATGTTACTATATACACTACAAAACAAGTCAACAATATCATAAGAAGATAGCACACGATAACACTGATGCTGGCACGAAAAGACTTCATAAGCCATTTATAGTAATCGACTACAGCACAGCAGAACACAGCACAAGTCCTTGCGGGATCCAAGGCAAGCTATTGTACAACACTCGGTGTGATGCCATCTTCGTGAATGCGTGATCTAAGCTGAACAATACCATGCTATTGTTGGACACTTAAAGTTTTAATTTGTTCTTCATTTCCGCGGAATATCAATAGAAGAACTGATAATTACCTTGTATTTCGTGATTGTTCATTCATTCAATATTGATCTATCTAGTACATGCGATATCTAGTGTCTTACGATTGTTTTACACAATTAATGGTAATCCTACTTGGAAATCAGGTGTGAAACTGGACCAACACGAATCAGATAGTCATTTTAAGACGTTACCTGAACCTCATATAACTGGGAAAACGGAAAGACAATTAAAGACCAACTACGAGATTAAAATTACTATTTTTTACGGCAGTATGAAGCGATAATCCTTTGGAATAATCCAGCGAATTATCAACTCTCAATCCGAACAATAAACACACAATCATCTAAGTGATATCATTGTGAAGATCACCTGACTAATGCAAAGACGTGCTTGATATATCAGAATCCATTTGAACAAGAAAGTCTACAAGGTATTGTACAGATCAATTCAGAGTAGAAATCTATATTCGGCATATTCTACCTCGAGTTAACGTGATCTGTATATTAAGGTGGTGATATATACTGTATCTATGTCATAGACTTCCTCAGATTGTATGTAAATTAACCATATTAACCCATATTCACTCTATAAAAAGCCTAACTTATATTCAGGCCTCGCTTTGTGAGTTTAAAACGCGCTAGTATACATGCTGTGCTGATGAGGTCTATATTACTCTAACCTAGGAACTAATTTGCATCGATCTAGGGATCCTTAAATCTCTTTGTCAAGGTTACTGTATCCGTTAACAAGTTCATTTACGGGTTGTTTCTGTGAGTTGGTCTGGCCTGGTTAATCAGACTGACTTATTTCCTTCGCTATACCAACTCATGGTTTCTAGTGAGTGATAGAGCTGTAGGATACCCCCATTACTACAACTAATAGTTTGTAAACCTGCCGTAGAGTTGATTAACCCATTCTGTTGTGGCTCAAAGAAATTTCGTGACTCGAATTAACCTGCATGGTAAGCTTGCCCGGCTGATATAAACAACCCCTTTGACCGGGGCTGATCAGTTGAAAATATCGGTTCCTGAACGTGGGTATAAATTATTGCGGTAATGGCATAAAGTGGCGTTTGTGTATTGGATATCTAATTAATGAAAAAACAGGAAATGAATCACGCCACCTCTGGTATGTCCGGAGGAAAACTAAAATAAACTAAACAACGAGTGCAAGATAGACACACTTTACAATCAATGCATGATAATGATCTATAGCATAATGACATGCATTGCAAGCCATCGGTGGTTGAAAAAATACCTGTGGTCTGTTTTAATAATACTTGAAAACGCGCGACCAGTCGACTGCCTAAACGATCATGGTTTGAAGTACTCGTCATTCATTGCATGCTGAAAGAAGACGCATCTTTTTAAACATAAACCTCGCAAGACTCGGTTGATTTTAAAAACTAAATTTAGTTGCAAATGGTAAATATAGATTCAACGGTATCTATGATTTTATACTTTCATCAGACATAATCCGATTAGATTTACGTTGTTTTTTCCGGCAGTATTTATCAGGCCTGCCTCGAGCCTCTTTCGAGATGTTTCAAAGCCCGTTCACGATTTCAACTTTAGAGTGGCACAGTTTAAAGCTAATTTAATAGACTTTGCTAATTTTGCATTTTTCATCATAGACTGAATTTGTTACATAGAAATAATTTCCTTGGCTAAGGATATCTCACCACAAAAGGTGCTATAACTTATGTTAGCTATTTATATGACATGTAGCAAACATGATAGACATGGAACGATAGACCGTTACAACAAACGAGGTTAATCTCGCCTATATATCTCGTACCTTCAAGAGCTTACGCGCAAGGCCTAAGAACAAGCTTGTTTGTCAGGAATGTAAAAAACTCTCATCCACTTGTAGTTTTTCTCGCGTTTCAAGGAGAGCTTAGCAGAAGCAATATACTATTAACCACACCCGTAGTAACAGTCAATAAACTACCATGGCTACTGTTTTCACTCCAAATATCTACTAACTTGCCGACATGTTGTTGGAATGCGCAAAATTCAGTTTTGATATTGTCAACAAGGTTAATCACGTTCATAAAAACATTTTATCAAGACAATGAGCTTATAGTGTAAAAAATGAATGCTTCTGGCAAATGATAGGTCGAAGCTAGGCATGAAGAGTGTTTATATACACACTTCAAGTATTTAGTGATTTTTTTGCATGGCCTGAGAGGTTAGTATAACACAGACGACAATCCTTGATGGTTTCTTAACAACCATGCGCACGCACCGCACGAACCACCAGCCCAATAAAGTGTTATCGTTGGAAGAACCGTCATATACGCGTAGAACACAACGGTTGGACTTGGAGAAGCTTTTGACTGTCGTGATCATAAGAGAACCACCTTTTGAAGAAACCAAACCAGAAACCACAGACATTAAAGAAATGGAAGTCATCAGCCCAGGCTACTTCATGACAGGAAACACAAAAATAGACTTAAAAAAGTTCGATAAATATGTTCTAGCGGCATTAAACAATGAAAGATAATTTTTTTAAACTGTATTTAAATGTTATGTTATCTGCAGCAAAACACTCGACAATAATTTAATATAAATTAGCGCATTTTTTCCTGCAATTATCACCAACCCATGCAAGTAAACAAGCCAGGAACTGCGCCTTTGTTTAACAATTTAACGCGTTTGAGATTAGCTTACGGGATAGTAGCAGAAAGATGTCAGAACAATGATTAAACATCCGTTCTTATGTACACGCTTTCGTGACAAAACCTACGCATTTCGTCTTTGAGTGAGATATATTCCAGTAATATAAATCCATAAAGTGTCATTCACATTCCAAATTTTACAAGCCAATGATATCCTAACTGATTTGAGAAGAAGAAGATATGAGAATAGATTGTATAAAGATTGTCTCATCATATCATATCTCGTGAAAACATTCCTCATATGAACACGTCACTAGATTCTTATGTCCAAGAACAAAGACTAAAATTAAACACACGGTAAGAGAGATTTAGACCAGCACACAATTCACTTACATCATCGTCTCAAGTCCTGAGGGTAGAGAGTGTATCAGCCGACATGACTGAAGGGTCGTAATTTTAGTCGGCATACGACAGGGCGGCAAACACTACCGTATCAATGTTAGGAAATGAACCTAATTACGGATTAATCAGACCTATATATATATATGATTTATAGAGCGTTAAAAGTTCTAATAAGCCATCATATAATAGAATATATTTAGCTTCACTTAAATTACCATTAAAGTTATATAATTTATCTTAAATTAAGGCCACCTAAACAAATGATGGCACTAACGCGGGCATCTATTTACTCTCTCCAGCACCAAGCCACAATTACACCGAAACGAGGCTTCGCTGTGTATTCGCAATCGCAAACTTGCGCATTATATTTAAATATCCTATAAATATCCTATGCATAAATCACGCGCAATTTATTCAAGAACCTGCCAAACTGGTTGCCAAAAGAAACAAAATAGAAATCGGTATGATTTATAGGTTTCCAGTTTGTCCTGCATTATTTTCTATTTCAATTAAATACCTTTTCACCTCCAATGTAATTTTGCAAGTACATGTGTTTTTTATACGATAAGTGTGAAAATGATTCTTCCGCGTTACAGCCGCGCACAACATCCTTTTTCCACGCGCGCACTCACTTTATGCTATGTCAAACACAGGAAATGGGTTACGAAGGGTTGTCAATCTAGGTTATGATTGTGATCTTTATATGAAGCACATCTGAGGGCAAATATATGACATTGCGAGGAAACAGCGCGGTACTCATTGCCTGAAGTCCTAAACGCAATATCGACGACAACCTCTGATAAGTGACGCGCAAACACGACGATCGTGAAGCGAGTGCGCGAGTTATAAATCAGCAACGTTAAGATCCAAACGCTTTGGCAGAGCTCCAAAGCTGGAAACGTAATAAATTGACCTTTGATTCGTTAGTGAGCCACAAACCAGACAGGGGTTCATCCTAAAAAGTGTTTAACGCATTTGGTCAGTTTGGAAGAGCATTCTTGGCAAGTCAAGCGAATTTGGAGAAAAGGAAAGACGCGTTTTTTAAACGACAGTTCCTGAAGGTAAATGTATAAATTAGAACGGAATGTATGGGGGTTGTACTGTTAGAATTTGTTACAGTTTTTGGACAGTATAAGCATCTGCGGTGTAACTGCGTATTTTTGGTGCGAAAATAAGATAGGAGTTTAGCTTGGATTGTGATACAGACATACATTTGAATGGAATGCACGGGTTTAAATAATACTGAAAGATGAGTAGCTATACGTATAGTAAGATATCACTATTTTCCCTGCTTGTTACAGCGACTATATTGTAATATTACTTCAGACGGCTCGTGAAGAATATTTAGTTTAAATCTTGCAAGCAGTCTGTCAGGTTGACCTGCCCCTAGCCCTGAAGGCACATACCCAGCAGTGTTGAATACATGTTCTCAATACGTACCTAAGAGTACTTAAAGACTCTCCTTATTGTCTATGAGACTCCGAAATTTCAAGATCTTGAGCAACGATTTTACCGTAAATTGGTTGCCACAAAATGGTTTATTGCTGAATTAAATCGTCTCATTTAGTCTAAATGATATGTAATATTTGATGCATGTTTCTACGCGTTTATCAGCTTGCCTGAATTCAGCTCACATTGTATAATTTGATGAAAGAATTCATGAGTGTACATCATTCATTAGTCTGGTATGTCATGTTGACAAGCACTTAGAGTTGTGTTTTATTACGAAGATGATATACCCATTCCTGACTGTTTTTCATAAATAACCAAGCAAATGTTTTGCAAGGCTAAACGTGTGTGACCTTACCCAGCAGGGTTGTGCGAAACAAAACGCGAACATTTAGTCCAAGGTTTTTCTTGGCACACTAGTTAATCCAGGGTGGACACATACCGTCCTGGTTAATCATGACTTTCACCGCTGCGCTTATGTTTCACTGTGAGAGACACAGGATTATCTAAAATCTTCCTCTGAGTTTTTGGTTGAATGTTCTCAAACCCCGCAGGTACGGGATAATTCTGCGCAAACAAGCGTAATTCGTGGACAATGAGTATGCATGATTTGCGCATGATTTTTTCTACAGGAGAATATCCATCTTACGAACGTATTATGGCACTAATCCAGATCTGCGCCCACCGCAAATAATGCAAAGTAGACTCCGAAGACAAATGATATTTAATCGCAAAAGTCAAAACATTTTTTTTGCTTTCCTCCCAATAAATCAAAGGGTGACAGTGAAGTTAATCAAAGAGAGATTTAGTGAAATGTAAATAAAAATCACACGATAAATAAAGATTTTAAAGTGAGCTTAGAGCTATTAGATTAGGTTCTGTTTTAATAAACAGGAAAGCTGAATGCTTGCCTATTGTAAGTGTAAAACGTGATGAACCATACTTAGGTACAGGATATAAGATGAAAGGATATACCATACCACAAAAATTTTTAATTTTTTATCAACGTACACGGATTGTACACCATTTTTTTACATGCACTCAAAGACAAGGATGAAATTCAATCAATATCTAATACATATATTCCTGGATACAGTGAGATTAATTGTTAAGTATCTTAAGTTGATAAAACACACGCATTTCACTAATACACTGGTAATAATATACTAGGATATCAGGAATATCTATTACAAGCGAGGAACGGTAGAAAAAAATCGTTTTGATCTTGCGCGAAACTTGGCGATATATTAGCGGCGTTATCAATCTGGGAATTCACATCGTGCACGTGCGTCACGGATGCACGCGGGCCGGAAAGTTTGCGGGTTACCACTTAATCAACAGACCCGCATGTGGGCTAACATTACGACTCACAAAATAATCATATAATTTCCTTTGATGTATCATTTGTTTGTTTTGTTTCAACAGCTACATTTCAAATAGATTCCGTCCTAGACCTTTGATGCTTTGCTAGTGAATTAAACTGCTTCGTGAAGCATAAAAAAGCTGATCAGTCACAGATTGACGCTCTGAATCAACAATGTTCAACGCGCACCGCTCTTTGCGTTAATTGCTTCAAATACGCGCTAGTCTTTCAAGTTATTCATAGAAAGATTTAATTCTTGTAAAGTTTACCTCCATTACAATTCTACGCGGAAAAATTTAAAGATGTTCGGCAAAAAACAAAGTCGTGGTTAAAATGCGTTTCCCTGAAGGCTTATCTTAAATTTCGTCGTAAAGGTGTAAATTCGATCAATAAAAAGTCCGATCTGAAGTGTATTAAGTTATTAATATCGTTGTTTTTGCACAGTTTAGAAACTATGACGTATTAAAAACACACACCGTGTGGGAAAAAGCGCATTCCCGTTGATAAAACTAATATTTTTATTTGCTCAAACCCCAAGGGTGGTAGTGATTACTGCGTGTGTGCACCCTGGCGGCGCTAGCAAACCTGTTTTGATTAGCATACGTCGCGCGCTCGTTCGAAATTTCCGATTATAAAATACGCTTGTGTGGTTTCTCATCTAGTAAAGCTACACTCTTATACGCCTACAATCCTCCATATACGTTTGAGCTATTTATATCTTCCATTAAAGCAAGAGTCAGAATATCCTTAAATCGCCCAGAAAAGATAAAACTCGTCTGCATATGATAAGATTCTGTCTCCTCGTCTGTCATTTGAGTTATCAGAAAGTTTGTTCACACTCATCTCATCTTTAATTTCCGCTAAAGCGGAGAACCTTATCTCAGAGATTATTATTATTGTGAATTCTTGTAAAGTGTCACTTCAATAAACAACAATACTTGCTTTCGATCGCTGGATTGTCCTAGGATTTACATCGTTTTTTCTTTCAATAATGTTATGCAACAATCACGGGATAATTCTCCATTTATCTTTCATTCTAAACTGTCTTACTGAACGGGTGTGGTCTAGCCTTTAACCTCGAGTTAATATGATGTGGTTTCCATTAGCAGAAAAATGCAGAAATTAAAATTAAAACAAACACTTGCAAAGTTTATGGATTCTTTCGCGACACTGAGACGGGCGCATGATGTTAAGTACGCTTTGACAAAAAGTCAAGTCCTGGTAAAGAACTTATTATGAAAAATATTTGAAGTATGCAAAGGTTTATGGTGGTATTAAAATGATCCTTTTTAGCCTTTTATCTGGGGACTCATGACCCTGCATGGCTCCCGTTCATCTCGTCACGTGAACTGTTCCAACATTCTTGACGAACGAAGTTCCTGGAGGGCAATGTCAACCATGTCGCATCTTCCGATGTCCTCATATTATAAAACTCTTAATGAACATTCCTTCGCTGGAAGGCTTCTCAGACCTCCAGAGGAGAGCTTACCAGCTTATGTAATGCTTCTATCACTTTCCCCTTCACATCACAATACGAGCTTTCACCTGATCAGCCTACATATGCACCACAATGCTAAAATGCAACCACCTTTCTCTCGTACGTGGTAGTCAAACATCCTATTTTAATTTCAGGTAATAATTGGACTACGATGGCCGCTGTCGCTGTCGCCTCGCTCCCAGCAATCAGAGCAAACGAGAACTGGCAATATGGCGATCCGTCGTTGACCGATCTTCGCATATCGTTACTGGATCGTGGACAGTCGGAACAAGTTACTCGGCGAAAACGAAGTGGGAGCTCACGTCACTCGTGGAGGTGGTCATGGAAACAAGTCTTCATCAAGCCTTTTCAAAATCAAAGCTGGACTCGTGGAGGAGGCTCAAGGGGGAAAAGAAAGAAACGCAAGAGCGAAAATATCACCAAAAACTCTGTTGAAACAAGGAAGAAAATGGACGAACTGTATCGTCTCTGGTTTTGCGATAACGACGACTCTTCGGAGGAAAGTTCCGATGAAGAGTACTCGGAAAGATATCGTAGGCGTTCGTGTATTCCTCGGATCTTTAGCAGCGACTCGTCGAGTTCTGGAAGTGATACAGACTGTGAAGTTGAGGAACCTCAAGTGTCAGAGTATGTTAGAGAGGGGCCTTCAAGGATGAAGGTGGATATTAATCAAGAACATGAAAGGATAAGTGTAGATCTTGGTGGGATTCCGAGCGCTAGCTCGCAAGTTTCGGACACGAGCGGTTTTGAATTGATTCCAAGTCAAAAACAAAGAACAATTGAGGTTATTGATTTTACTAATCCTGTGGTAAATGGTTTTGAGGAAAGTATGAAAGAATCTCAGAGTCTGTTCAAAGCTGGTTCAACCTCGGCCAAGATAGATTTGATAAGAGTTCCTGAAGAGACTCAGAGCCTGAAAAAATACGGAGTGATTGATATGAAGAGATATTCGTGTAACTTGGCAACACCTCAGCTAATTCCACAATCTGTAAGCGAAACTACTGACAAGAAAGTCATAGCGATAACCTCAAATATTACCGTTCACGGGGAGCATTCTCAAAAACCTATATTCACAAGTGGTCATAGTACAGCCCAAGATCATGACCTAATCACAAACGATTCCTATGATACTGTAAACAACGAGGAAGGACACCAGGATGACCGCACTGACCCAGACGTGACGACAAGGCAACAAGGCATGATTAACATTTGTCGTAATAACAGCGCTATCACCGAACAGCAGATTCATCCTGAAGATATTTTAAAACGTGTTGATGAGTTATGTGCGCAATGCGGAGATAACAGGAACCAGATCGAATTATCTGTTGGTTTATACTCTGATATTCCTGATGAAAGCCTCGAAAGTTCGAACCGTGAAAATAATGAGGAGAATAGTTTCAATGGGAATTCCTTTCACCCGAAAGCGCCACAGGAGAGTTGTCCAGAGAAAACAAATAAAAAGGTATACATAAATATATATTCTTATCATTGACACCATCATAGAATAACTTGAATAAAACCTGGATTCATCTTAGAGCGCTGTCGTCTGTGTGTGACGATTCTCATGAAATATAAAGTTTACGATAAAATCGTAGTGGAGTATCTTAATCGATAAAGATCCAATGTCAAAGTTAAATTGACATGTTATAGCATACAAAACATGAGAAAAAAGATTGAAGACTCTGTTTACATCGTATAATGCGATCAGATCTGATCAAATTCTTAGCTGAGGCATAAAATGCTTACACTTTCGGGGGGGGGGGGGATGTTCTATCCTCTCTCCACTTTCATTTCCCAAACAGTCACCAATTAGTATCCCAAGTTCAGTTAATCCAGCGAATATTTAAGTGCGAGCACTGTCAACACCAGCTAAGGGTAATATAAGTTTTTCATCCTGGTTCAAATACAGTACTTTTATGAGCCACTTAGGAAGACGCAATACCAACCCTTATCAATATTTTCACAAAATAAGCATTAGGAGATAATGAAAGAAGCATTCACTAATATGATCCTATCAGGGAAACCACATTGCTTTCGCAATTTCCGCGGCATAAGGTATGCGCGAGTTCATTGCGAGATTTTATCAACTGCAACCAATCAAAGACGAGCAGAATGTTGCAATTCGCGCGTGGATTTTTTGATATTGACGTGAAAGCGATAACATAGAATGTGATTAATGAAATAGCAGTTTTGGTGAGAAACAGACACTCGTGCTTAAAAGACACTTAGTTAGGCAAAGCGAAATACGAGCGCGTAAGCTTTCTCCCTAATTCTAAAAAAGATGGATGGATACTTTTCAACGCAGGATATGAACGTAATCCGACGATTTTTGGGCATGTCTTTGCAGCAAATTGATGCGAAAAATACACCACAGCCACAGGCAAGCAGAAGCGAGGTAGGAATTTTGCGGGGGGAACTCACAACTCTATTTACGGAACGCAATCAGGGATTGTGGCAACTTCGCGCGCTTGTCTTTTCTTTAGGTGGATGCAATTTAACATTTAGTAAAGGCGTTTTATAGCGCCTCTATTAGGAAGTATGTGGTTCATCCATCCACTGCTAAAACCCTGCTATTTAGACACATTAGCAGATGAAATGCCAACGTTTAGCAGTGCCATAAGGTCAAGCATGCAGAGGTTTATTAGTTTTAGAGTAGAGCAGAAAAATAGTTACACTACGTTTTATACTTCATCTTGTTTGAATAAAAATAGCATTACATATTCCTGAATTCTGACTTTACCTTGAGCTGAGGCTATAGTTACTGTAGTAATATTCATTACCTCGGAACTATGAGCTTAGAACTGCACCTGATGATTTATAAGGACTCAGTTTATATTCTTGAATTGCAGCTTAATGGGCTAAGTTTAGTGGCTACATCATTGAAAACTAAATATCTATTTTAATTTTAATCTACGTAATTTTATCTATGGTTGCTATATTTAATATGCTAGTTTTTCTATCTCAGCACATGTATGTCATCTTTTCGGTCTTATCACGACTGTGCTACTGGTATACTGACAACTTAATGTAATAAGCCATAAACATGAAATGGTATAAAATATTTACAGACCCTAAATTTAAGAGTTTAATTAAATTACACCAGGTTTTCATGACATCTATTAAATTAGAAGGCAACGATGCCTGATCTAAATATACATCTTTATCACAAGAAAAATCCGTCTGCTAGCAATGATTATTATCATCTAGGTTATTTGTAAGATAAAACTGAGTGAATGATCAATACTCAATACCACGTGGTCACTATCGATCAATGCAGAGAGAAACATTCTCACAAGAAAATAACTGAAATATTTATGATTTATCGCAATAATTAATAAATGTAATTCAATTAAATCTTTAATTAACACTTTTTAGTCGGACAGCATTTAATTCTTCGTTTATTTTAATGAACATGGGAACTTTTTCTTGAAAACAAAATTGGTTGATCTCAGTTGATATGTACAAGAGAAACGCATATGTGAAACGCATAACAACATCTTCATCCAACCGACCCTAAAGCGCTGCCTATCTTTAATATGTGCTTTGATTTCTATCAGATAAGTTTAATTGGCCATGCACACTCTTCCGGTAAACTAACCTCTTATGCAATCCAAGCGTGCTTCAAGTGCGACAATTAATCCTTCATCTCTCGAAGCAAACATTTCACGGTCAAAACGTCGCAGGTGATAACAATTTATAAGCGAGTCGTGCTGCGATTCAGCGGTTTTACTAACAACATATCAACTAGTAGTATGGTAATATATATCTATTCTAAAAATTTATACCTAATACGATATCTTATCTATGTTTTGTAGCCGGCTACAGACGTAGTTCCCGATTACCCAAGTTCATATTTAAATACAGGAACCTTTCGACAGGTATGTTGCTAGTTGAGAACATAAACAAATCATGCGGTAATGGATGCGATTATAGGGGTAAATATTGCCTTGGTTGATCCATTCTGAAGCAGTAAAATAGTCTGCTTTTAAAGTGTCTCGAACTCACATGAAACGCCTGTCAATCATTGACTTGACGATACTCATTGACCTCAGGGAATATTTTCACCCTTAGACAATGCATATTCAAAGAGTCTAAAATTATTCAAAAAAATTAAATGTGCATTTTCTCTGTCCAGATGTCATCCTATAATCAAGAACATTATTCCAAAGTTCATTGCGAGTTTCAAAGATTTGGTTGCCATTTTTCGGTGAGTGAAGTCTTTATTTCGGGCTGAATACTGTAGTTATTAGTCACAAGCCTCAATCAACAATACAGATCATCGATTTGAATTATCAATGAATTATGATATCCGTGTTATTGTCTTCTAGGGAACAGAAATAGCGGTTGACCAGCACATGAAATCAAATCTGAATGGCCATCTCAAACTCGTCAGCAAACTCGCATTGGACCAAAAGGAACAGATTGAATGCCAACAGATGGAACAGCAGAAACAAAGCCTATTGATCCAGCAACTGACTGACACCGTTAACAACCTGGAGAGACTTGTGAGGGAACAAAACCAAGCGAGCCAATCACAGGAGAAAACGATGCTCTCGCTTAAGGACCAAGTGAAAGATCAACGCAAACAGAATCAACGATTTGAACGAGAAATCACGAATCAAATTCAATCTCTTAACCAATCAGAGGTGAGTTCGTTACCCACAACACCATGCGCGGCGGAATTTGTTTGGTCAATCAGGAACTTCCGAAAACGACTACGACGTATAAGAGATGGGGATATCGATGACCCTCTCATAAGTGAACCGTTTTATACTGGATCGTACGGTTATAAACTGTCAATATGGGTCTACCTCAATGGCCGAGGTAAAACCCTGGGGGACTGGATTTCAGTATATGCTCGCGTCATGCCAAGTGACCATGACAACATACTCGACTGGCCAGTGCGACCGATGTATACGTTTACATTGTTAGACCAATCAGAAGGCGAGAAGGAACACATCGTGCGCAAACGGAAAGTGAACGATATTAGACGTGATGGCGGAAAACATCACGGCATTCACCGACCAGAAGGCGGAGAGCGCTCGGTGATTGTCGGATTTGACGACTTCATTGCCCATGCTCAGTTGGAGAAGAGAAAGTATATGGTTGATGATTGCATCTATCTCAAACTAGAAGCAGATATCATGTCCTAAACTGTCGACGAGTCTTTGTTCTTTGACACTACATATTCTGCCGGTTTTGCTCAACTAGCTTACGATTGAGGAACGGCATCACCTATTACCAGGCATATATCACGTGACAAGCACATGAGATCTTATAAAAGAAAATATATTTTATAAATCCTGTTTTATTTATGATCAAGCACACTATGAACGCATTTGATCCGAAGTGTAGAACTGCAAGATCTTGTATTTCTACTCCATTTTCTTCTCCTATTGTAAAATACGCTTTCTAAAGAGTATAGTAATAATGTAGTGACTACGGGAATGTTAAATATAAACTACGAGTGCACATTAAATAAAGTCGAATTCGTAAAAAGCTGTGTCATTTGAAAGCCGAGTTTAATCAATGACAAGGCACAGGCATCAAATGCTGGGCTGCTCTTAGTCTCAAGCCACGAGTAAACGGCTGTTATCTTTTACTACAATTCCTCGTGATGTCGGTCATCATCCTCCATTTGATACATTGGGTCGTGATATTCGCCAAGAATTCCTTCCAACTCTGCCAGATCATTCTCAAATTCACTAAAAGCCTGGTAAATATCAAAACTATTTCAATATTTTTACAATTACCACGATCTTTCAATTCACGCAACAAAATTTATAATAAAACTTTATAATTCACCCAACAAAATTTATATAAAACACTCAACGATTTTATTTCATTTAAAACATCAAGAATTTACAACTTTACTGCACAATACCTCACTTCAAAGAACTAAACTAAGTCACTCACCATGAAAAAATTCTCAGATACAATGCTTCTAGTACTGAACTGTCTACGTGCAAAAAACGTCCAATTTCTCCATCTCAACATTCGGTTTAATTTCAAAAGAAATTCTTTTTTTCGGGAACTTAGCGTGAAATTGGGTTGCAAAATCAAAGAAAGTTGTTGTCCGGGTAAAAAATTCGTGGCACGTACAAAACGAAAAGTGTAGTTCGCTGGAAAAACCGGCTTAATGCGCAGCGCAAATGTTTAGGACTAACTGATTCAAACTTTATGTTAGTGTCTGGTGACTGGTGTTACATTTTATTACCGGTACTCTTAGTCTTAACTTATTTTAAGAATATATATTTGAGAATCATCTAATGACCCTACCTTCTCATCCATTTGTGTGATATCATGGATCGTGACGCTTCCATCTTTATCCACATCAGCTGACTGGAATATCTATGGAAACGACAAAGGACTATTCATCAGATATATTGTTTAATATCACAATGTATCTTCTAAATCCAGTACATACATGTCCAATATATTCCAATACGTCTTGCTCAAATTCAGGTTTCACCTCAGTTTGAACGTTCTAAATGCAGAGAAATAAAAATTGGAGGCCTTGTTGCAAAACAAAAGCCTTTGTTTTTAAGACAAGGCAATATATTGTTTGCATTGCAGTATAATGTTCAGGAAATGTTACTCACATCTTTAAGGTAACTGACAAAGTCATCATATGACACATGCTTTTTTTCTTTGATAAACTTTGCCAACATGTCTCTAATAACAAGTAAGATTTGGCATATTATAAAATAGGAAACAAAGTAAAGATGGAATTAAGTAAATCAAATAGATATTCCATCTCAGCTTACATCAGGGTTTCAGCTTCTTCATCTTCAGCATCATCAGCACCATTTTTATGAAGGGATGAGAAATGGAACTGATTTAATGTTCCAGGCGGCATTCCATCGCATTTTCTTGGTATGAAAGAAGACAGATGTTTCCACCAAATATTCACAGCAATGTTACTTCCTACTGAAGTCACTTGATGATACCTGGATATTAACATATATCATCATACAAGGGAATTAATGTCAGGTGGGAATGTACAGATTTCAGATTGGGGGAGTGTACTAGCAAAACAAGGGTTAGAGGAGAAGAGATGGCATGTTTTTCTCATTCGAGAATTCGCTAGTTGTGGCCCTGGGGATCAACCTACCATTTAAAGGGTATGAACAAGCAATCACCAGCTTCCATCTTTGCTTCATGGAATTCAACTTCATGGAAAATAGGATATTTTGTGAAGTCAACTCTAAATTAAAAAACAATGAAATGCTTAGTTGTTAAACATAGTGAATGAGAATCAATATTGGCAAAATAAATAAAACTCAACCCTCACTTGTCGACATCAACACCAGAGAATCCACCCCAAGCATTATCAAGTCTTAACTGCAAAAATCGATGCAGTTTAAATGTCAGTGGATATAATAATCAAACATTATCTAAAATCACATTAGTAGCTAAGTAGAAAAGCTCAACTGGCAGGCAGTTATAAACTCCTGGGAATAACTACTCTAGTTTATTGTACATACCTTACTTTTATACTTTTTATATTCTACAAACAACAGTGTCTTAGAACCACGATATAAACAATTAATATTGTCAACATCATCATGATGAAATACAGACTTTGTTCCTCCACTGCTAAACCACATCACCTGAAGAGATAAGAGTAATGCTGATAAAATTAGCCATGCAAAGAACATTCAAGGGCACAGAGCAGATGTTGCACTCACTGTATCAACAAGATGTGGTTTGATGTCTTCACACAGCAGTGCAGGAGGTAACAGAACATCTTGTCTATCAGACAAAATTAAACAATTATCATATAATAAAACGTATTCTTAAATTTTTTATATTTGCAAATTTAATATGCAACATACTTGGTACATTTATGCAATATATTTGATACATTTATGCTATAATTGAGTTGTTATTAAATAAATTGTGACATTCACGTAACAATTTTTGGGTACATGTAAACAAGATTAACAAATATGCATAACAATATAAACAAAATATACACCCACTTACTGCAGTATATCTGGAACAGCATTTACCATATAAATATCGGATGCATTATAAGTTTCAATGAATTCCTTAAAACTTATCTCCTTCCCAGGAAATGTTCGATTTTCTTTCTTTCGTTGTTCAACAAACACACTTGTATTCTCTGCTCCATGGAGCGACCCAAAATATTCGTCGGTCCATAGCTTAAAAGCTGGTGAGATTTTCGCCCCGTTCCTTATTAGCAAAGGTTTACTCGGAGACACATAATCTTTGAAAAAATCCTGAGGCGTTGGGAACTCGTCTACGGAAGTTACAGAATGTTTTACGTTTCGTGATCCAAGAGGCTCCATATGACCAGGCCATGACGAGGGATCTTCTTCAGTGCTCACGAAGTTTTGGAATTGACCAAAGGTAGAAACTAGAAGGATATAAAAGGTAACGTATGGCGACTTCCAGGCCATTTTAAACTGCAAACCTGTAATTGATGAGCAAGGAAATACTCATCAACAAGTGCCAGTGGTGGAGCCACGTAACGTTACTTCATGGCACTTAAAGGTACATTTAAATATGGCCGCGTATCGACTGGCACCAATTCAATATTAATCATTCTAATTACAATTTAAAAATGAGAATATAGGTAATAGTTTTCGTCAATTTTTCGAAATTTCAAAATTCGGTTTAAAATACCTTGATACATTTCAATACACATAAAATCATACTTAGATGTTTGTATAATTCCCTAAATATTCTCGAATTTGCAATAAATATGATCGACTTAATACTAAATATAATTTATCCGATGCCAGCACACCCTATAGTTGAAGAAAGATACATAACATATGTACGGTTCCGGCCGGGATCCTAAAGTTCATTTACATCCATTTCAATTCCCAGATTCTCTACTAATGTTTTAAAGGAAGTTCTAAAAAAAAAGGAGGAAATTCTTAGAATTATCAAATCCAATCTCCAAGCGTATGAAGCAGACAACACATGGTATACCTTAATCTGATGTCCGTTCCAACACCTCGTCTTCTCTCCGTGTTAAGAATGGCCTCTTTTGATAAAGGCAGAGTAGAAACTACCAGCTCTTTATCAAACTTTGATAAAGTACTCAAAGTTTTAAAGATCGTTCCCTGGTAGGATTTAGGAAATTACTACAAAGCACATACTGTAACTTGATGGAATCACTAGGTTTGGCAACAAGGTCCTACCTGAACTTCGTGAATGTTGGAAAAGATAAATTCCTTTAGGAGTTTAAGAAGACTTTCTCTGGAAAAACAAGTTTTATCTTATCAGTTTTGAATTGAGAAGGGGAACGGTCTCGTCGTAAACAACAGCTATAACAAATTAGAAGACTTTACCTGGAAATAGCGTCTTGTGCTTTTTGACAACTGTTCAACATCAGTTCCAGTGATTCGGTTGCTAAAAATTACAACAACCCAAGTGTATAGCGCTCAGAGAGAGAGAAAGAGAGAGGGAAGGAGGGAAGAAGAGAGAGGAGGGAAGCAGAGATAGAGAGAGAGGGGGGAGGAGAGAGGGGGTATTTCTTTCTTGGCAGAAACAACATGATGTACCTTTGTTTCTTATATGTTCTGGTTCTGTTCCGGGATTACTCATGTCACAATTTAGAACACAAGCAAGAACTTTGTTCAGCAGAAGAGGAGTATTCCTTAAATTTGCAAAAAATTATCACGTCTATTGTGGAGCCAAATTATGATAGCGAAAGCAAAATATGATGTTGTAAGCGAACATGCAAAGTTGTGAAATCTAGGCTATGTAGAAACGCGGAGACACAGTACATACTTTGCTGTTTCATGAGGTGAAATCGTTTGTTTGAATAGATCAACCAGAAAGAATAACGTCTAAACCAAGAAGACAATGCAAGTTTTAACACTACGAGAAGCTGATCATTCGCGAACAGTGTTTGTCCTTCATTCATAGATTTACTTCACGCGTAGAATGGAGAAGAATTTACCGGTGCTAGTTGTTGTGGGAAGATTCCAGGAACAACCAAATGGTTTTCTTTAATAATATTTATAACAAATTGTCGGAAATCACTAAGAAATAAGTCAAATGAGATGCGAGAATAAGTAAACACTATAACTTACAGGCTAACGGTAAGACATAAACTATAAACTATATACAGTATATACCTTGCATCTTCACTTGGATTCATGCAGAATGTTCCCTTTAAAACTTCCTGAAAGAATGATCTGAGTATTTGAGGAAACATACGAAACTGTGAAAGTCACGTCGTTTGACCTGAGGATTCTCAGAGACAAAGAAAACATACAGGATACACTGTGCGCAGAGCAACCTCTATACTTTCCCCATATCTCGATATATCACTTCGTTATAAGCACACTACTTACTACGAATGGGTTCTTCGGTGTTAAATGATTTGATAAATACCACTCCTGGTGGAAAATGAAGATCTCAGGCGAACAACTGACACACTAACACATCGATAAACACATTTTTGGATGAATATCTAACCTGATTTGTTTTAAAAAAATAGCGAGTATATATTTGCTTGATTTTTCGTTTAATAAACTCATCTCTTCTGAAGTCCAGTGTAGCCATCCCTGCTAAGAACTAAGAGAAGGACACGTGTTACTATAACTGCACTAGTTTATGATACATAGCAACAATTACCCTCAAAATACCTCAGTTAAGTTTAGTTTGATACACTGTGTGATAGCTGGTGATATGGTGCTACTCAATGGTAAAATGAGATGGTCAATCATCTTTGGTAGTTGACAATCAAGTTGACTCTAGTGAAAACAAGAAATTATATCTTTTATTTCTCTAATTCCACCCCCTTTCGCTCAGTCTTACTCCTTTTATACCCCTCATTCCTCTTGTAACAACATACCAAACCTGGAGTGAGGAAATACGCAGAATTGCCTTTTTAAATAAATACAATGGTGGAGAATAGTGATGTCTCAAAACCTCACCTTTCTGTATATTATTTTAGCACAATCTTTCACAAGAGAAGCAGCCACCTTATACGATATCCTGAAGAAAAATCATTTAGTATTATGGTAGTAGTGAAAACAAAAACTACCATCTCAACATGGTACAGCACCTCAAGCAATCTGCTGGTCCACCTTGCTTTATAAAACTTTCAATATACTTCAAAAACTCTCCAATAATAAGCAGAGCTTTCTCGCGAAATGCTAGTGTTTCTTCCAATAATTCCTGAAAGCAAAATACAAGGAATGCATCAGGCTTAATTTTATAGAAATTAGTGGAGAAAGCTGATAAGAAAAAGGAACAGCGAGTCTCCTTTGTAGACGGGGTCAAAACTGCTAGAGAGCGTGATATATATGGATTCTTCCCATGTTAAATTAATAAAGGTGTTGTGTTTCTTTAACCGATCCTAATATGGGATTCAGTCCTAATCGACTTGCACCGTCATCTTTAAAAATTTAAGATTAAATCAAATGTATCCATATAGAAAAGAAACGACACATACCAGAGATGAGAATGTCTCGCCCAGTCCTCTAGTGAGAGATGTTAAAGCAGCCTCAACATTTCCCGCCACGACTGATCTCTTTGAGACAAAAACAAAAGCTGAATGGATGTACACGATGTATGGTATCACGACTGTTCTGTTAGACTCGCATACCTGTGTTTTGATAATTTCTCCAGTTTGCGATATCTTCATAAATACAATTCTGAAATATGAACGGGTGTTAGTAATGTGTTTCACCTTTCCTAGTAATACTCTTGTTTACCTTGTCAGATTGAGAAGACGTTGATCTCGTGATGATATCTGGAGTGCACATCTGAACCAGGAATGAATGAGTTTTGTTTGAAATTCATTGCATGACTGGAATCTCTCTAGTGCATCAGGCGAGGTCAGTAAGGTCGCCAGGAATTGACAACTCATACTACGAACAGAAAAAGATGGACGACTCTCTTTAAAACTTGCTTTAAATGGACAATACTTTGACAGCGCTAAACCTTTGAAGAATAATGAACAATACCTAGCACTTGTGCAATCGCTGAGACCAAAATTTTGGACAAGATTATCAAATGTCTCCAGCGTTTGTGAGGAGCCCTTTGGCGGTCTGTAGAAAAAAGTGTTTGTGAAAACTGGATATAATTTAACCAGTTTCGAGTGTATTTCCAAAAACAGATAAAAGGCAATGACAAAAACCTTACAGAGGGATTAGAGAGGAGTGTAAATCTAACTATACGAAGCTCGCTAAGATCTCATAGGATATTAACAAAAAAAATTAGAGAGGGATAGAGAGGAGTGTAAATCTAACTATACGAGGCCCGTTAAGATCATATAAGATATTACCAAAAATAACTTACAGAGGGATAGAGAGGAGTGTGAATCCAACAACGAGGTTCGTCAGCTGACTCAAGCAGTCACTGGTAAGGCTTGGGTCTGTGATTCGTTGTTTGATGTGAGGAAAGACATAATCCCATAACGATTGAGCAAGCACTGGAAATATAAAGATCAGATGTTTATCAGTACTGAATATATTTTATTATTACATTCATACTATTGACAAAACACTCGTAATGATGTAACCTCACCTGCACAGGTACTCTTGGTTCCTTCTTGCAGTTTATTGCTAAAAACAAGAACAAGATATTCTTTTCAGTAGTTTAAAAAACCATACGAGCAGTGAAGATATAGTTCAAACCTACCTTATGATGCTCAGCGTTGCTTGGATAAAATTGACCAAAGTCTGAAGCTCTTTATCGTTGCAAATTGGTAGAAGGATAGCAAACCCTTCGCCTGCAAATATAGTGTGAGTCGTAATATTACATTTTCCGCAGTTTTAAATGCATCAGTTTGGCCTGTGTGTTTATGATGGAGCTGAAACACCATGAAAGAGTTATCAATGGGAAAAGATTTTTTTTAAATCAACTCTATTTTACCGAAACTACTATACCTATCATGTTATAATCACTTCTGTATTCTAAAGGTTCCTGGGCATTCTCCAAAAATATAGAAATTAAACTCCACAACGTTTTAGCGGTTACATTGTGCTGTCCACAGACGTCTTTATAACTTCTAAAATTGAGACAAAGTTAGTTAAAGAATTCATCAGATGAATACAGATATTTATATCACAGAACTTTACGTTTCTTTACCTACAAATATCAGTGAATTTATCGGCAAGTTTCGGTACAATTCCCTCAGCATCGGCTTCCTTCGACTGATACAGGAATAACAAAACAAAATAACCTATAAACATGAAATAGAATCATCAGCAAAAGAGAGGTAATTTTAACCGTTTCCCTCATCAAATATGGAGCTCAAAAGTTACCTTTCCAAACGCATTTCTTTTTTTCACATTTCAACGAGTTGAAATCCAATAATTCCAAAAAGGACAACATCTTGTTGGACTGAAAGATTGCAAGTTTCATAATCAGTTAATCGTAGCAGTCTAATAACAAGGCAAACTCAAGTTTCCAATTTAGTTGAGTTTAGGAAATTTGCTCGAGGCAGGCGATTGCATTGCAAAATTCTACTGAAAAAGATTCATTCATTGACGTACAACGTCTTGCAGTTCGCCAACACAAGCAAGGGTGAGAAAGAGGTCAAAAAAGTTCATAATTCCTTGCTCCGATAACTCCTCCATTCTTTTCTTGTGAAACCTTGAATAAAATCTAGAAAAATGAACATAAAATTGACGAAAACAACTCTCGATGTTTTGAGAGTAAAATGAATATCGGTGCGATTGTTATTTTCTTACCTTCCTTTGAGCTGTTTCCAGCCTTGCAGAGTTTTGGTATATTTTAGTTTCTTCAAATGCAATGCAAGTATTTTGAGGAAGAGCTCAAAACTCGTATCATTGTCGCTGCTAAATAGCAATGTTCAAACATGATCTTAGTTTCACACCAGGTAAAGTGTATATCATCAATTTAAAAAAAAATGAAGAATAAAAAAGGGGTGTTTTCATACCACATCACAGGATTGTTACATCTGCTTAAAACTTGTTCTAACCATTCATTTGGAGGCGTATCCCTAAATACGAGGGAACAAGTGACGTAACACGCATCAAGATGAATAAGGTGGCTCAGGAAGGATGGAAGCTTTATATAGAGCTAATGTGATACCTTAAATAAGCTCCAATTTGGAGTTTTTGATTTGGTGCATAAAACATCTCATTCTGTAAAATACAATCTAAATACAGGACCATATAATACCAAACCACTAACACATAAGGTTACATACAATACCATGCAATGTTAACACCATACCATACGGATTTACCATACAAATTTACCATACAGATTTACCATACCATACCATACGGATTTACCATAACATACGGATTTACCATACCATACCGTACCCTGCCATACCGTACCATACCATACCGTATCGTACTGTACCATCCTGTACTGTACCATACGGTACCGTAACCATATGCAATACCATACCATAACCATATGCAATACCATAGGATACCATTTGACATAATATTATATAATACCAATCACAACACCATACCTCACACCATTTCATACCATATACAACATCATATTATTATCTCACCATTTTCTTATGAAAATAATCCCACAACAGTAAAACAACATCATTATTGGGTTGCCAATGCTGGGATATTTGCAAACAACAACTTAAGTAGCAACGAGACAAATCCTCAGGCACCTTTTGTTGATCCTAATGAAAACAAATTATAATACACTATAACATAGCACAAACATTTTATATGAAAACAATAGGGCAGGGTAGGAACTTACTTTGGCAAGAAAAGACAGCCTTAATAAATCCAGAACCAATATCCAATTTCCAGGAACAACTGCCTGCATTGGAGAAAGGAGTTTGAATATTTAGATACTGATATTCTGATACTGATAGCCTGATCGATACTCTGAAAGAGTACCCTCCACAAAGCCAACCAATTTATACAAGAGAAATAAGATCATCCATAGCTTCACCTTTTCCCTCAAAATATATTCCCCTTTAACATTGTACCAATATAGAGGAGCAACATGAACCAGAATCCACCAGCAGAATGCCTTTGGAGATTTGCAATTGATTGCTGACCCTAAAATATGAGCTTGTCTTGTTAAAAGCTTGAAAATATTCCAGGAAAGGTATATATATAAATGTGAATTAGGTAAAAATTACCATCAGGTGAAGATTTCTTTTCGTGATCTTTTTCTCTTTGTAGAACCTCCTCATTCAGAATCATTGTGAGCGCACTCCAAAAACTCTACAAAACATTATGGTTATAGGTTAGATAAACACAGCTTGAAAACCAAAAAGGACAGTTTGAAAAACCAAAAAGGAATCAAAGTCAAGAAGGAGAAAGAGTTCTCAATATACCTTCACCTCGTGGTTGGTTGAAAGAAAATCAAGAAAATGAATTGCAATAACCCAAAGTTCCATTACACATGCACATAGAAATGGTGTGGTATTGAGCAATGAAGTTGGCATTGAACCCTATCAAACAAAACAAATTTGGTGAGATAGCATAAGAGCCCTGTAACTACACTGCCTAGGAAAGGAACATACAACTAGATAAACTTACTCTTTTGATATGTGTAGCAATATGCAGTAAATCTTTCAACAAAGCTGATACATTCTCTTCAATTTCTACCAGCTGGTCAAAACACCTCTCATCATAATCTGACAACATGGCGGGGTAGAGATACAAGAAAAGAAATTGAGACAGCTAGGGTCATGCAATTGTAGTTTTGGAGTAGAAAATTAAATCAAGTAGCATTATCCAGAATTACTAGGATAGAAACTATATCACAATACTACATACTTTGTGCAGAATACAGCTGCCAAAGTATATCAATTAAGCCCCATCTCAATTCCAAATGCAAATGCAGCAATTGAGCTGCTGGTGACCTTCCACTGGCATTCACTCCATCAAATTTGAGAAAGGAAGAATTTTGTAAATTAGACACAGGACCAATGAAACCTGACCAGAGATTATTCACATCCTTTCTCAAACAGGAAGGGAAGTTCCATGATTCCTGGTGTAGTTCATTGGTTTCAGTGGATGTGACATAAGATGGCAAATTTCTTAAAGAAAAATGCATTAAAATATCTCATTTTTAGTTCTAAATTCAGTAGTTAAAACTTATATTATATTATACATATACATACTTATATATTATTTACCTGTGAATAAATTCATTAACATACAACAAGAATGAACAACATTGTTTTCTAATATTGAGGTAAAACCAGTAGTTGTCTGGATTACAAAGAAAATAAAGTGACAACAATCACAAAGCATGTTTAGTCACCAAGTTCACATTGCCTAACTTCAATATATGTCTAATTAAAAGAATGTATTCATTGCACGTTACCTCCAGACATGAAACTTGAAAGACCTTGTTCACTTGCATGATTTTCAAACTCAAATATTTTCTGTCTAAAATGATGCAACACAAATACACACTGTGCATCAGTCTGCATGCATGTTTGACTTAGTTATACATACATCTAGTACAATACTAAAGTACAATACCTCAGAAAATAGAAAAGTTTCTGTCTTTGTTCAAATAATGCACTTGCAGTTATAAATTGATAATCAAAGAGTTTGACAATTGGCTTCTGGAAGAAATCCTCTTTTTTACTTTCATTTTGCAAAAGCCTATGATTGTTAACAGAATAATAGTGTTCAATTCAACTTAATGGTAAAATTTTGATAAAAATTTTGTCTATTTCACTGAAGGAGACACGTTTATCTAGAGAATGTGCTGAATGTGTGATGAAGCTTAACTTGTTTTGGTGTCTTTTTAAAAGATGAAAGACTTGCATTATGTACCTTGAAAGGAAACCATGCTCAAAATAACTTCCTTGTAACCTTGTTGGAACTTGTCTTCCTTCCAGATTGTTTAATGCATTGCAACAGTTTAAGAAAGGGGTAAATTCTAGAACAGAAATTGGGAGAAATGTTAACTTTTAAGACAGAAATGAGTGACTACACACATGCACCATACACCACACCCCGTGTTCCCTCTTTCACCCCCCCCCCCTCTACATCTCATTCAGAACAAGTTATACCTTCGTCAAAATCTTCAGTTTTTTTGCGTTTTGAAGTCAGCTGCTTATCGACTTCTATAATATCATCATCAAAACCAAACTCTTGGCAATCTTTCTCGATGTCCCCAAGCGGTGGAGTCAAATCAGCCAACGATTCATCATAGTCACTTAAATCCACATTTAACATATTTTATAACCTTTAATACATACAACGGCATTCTTCTTAACGCAGAACAAAGCTAGAAATGTTTGAAGGTTTAATAAGTTCACTATTTTTTGCAAGATCTTTCATTAAAATTTCGTTCATTTTGTGGTATTTCACAACTTCTTGATCTTCTTCGCACGAATTTTTCCCGCCATAAAAACTCTCGTTCCCAGGACTAGATCGTCACGCTATGACGTCACTATTATGGTACCAACTTTCTGTGACCATCGTCCAATAAAGTACCCCAAAACATGATGGTATAACACAAACTACCAATATTTAACACAGAGACAAGTTGGGTTTTAAACAGTTTTATTGAAAAACTTTATAATTATATACAATATTGTAAAAAATACAAATTTGACATAGTACTTACATGGGCGTTTCCGATCGAAATATTTTCCGTGGTCAGGGGCCAGACGGGAAACTGAAACAAAAAAAATGGTGTTTTTCACGTTTCTGTATGCTGGTAAAAATATTATTCACCACTAATGAATTGATACTTACCGTTTCATTCCTATATTGAAAAGGAATCAAAATTCGGAATTACTTGTGTGAAAGCGAAAAATAATTATGCGTGGATACTTTTTTTTCTTCTATTTTCACCATTAATATCAAACGTTTTCTCTAAAATTTGACGCCGCCAAAAGAACGGTATTACTCTCAACCTAAATTGATTATATTTTGTCTCTTTCTTTCTCTTCAAAGTGAAAATAAAAATACTCACTTATTTCACTTTATAAAATGTGAAAAAGGAAGCGAGGTAAATGTGTTCAACCGAAATTCAATTTCAAACGAAAGCTTCACAAGGAAAGAAATGACCTATTCAACCCTACTATATTGACAAGCTTATGTTTTTGATAAGCAGTTGTTTTCTCCAAAATTTCATGCTTCATGAGTTCTCTATTCGGTTTAAATTACCTTCTGTTCCACTGCCATTGACATTTAACAGAATAACACAAATAATTCATACTTACCTCAATAGTTGCATCATAGTTTTTAAGTGGTTTTTTTTCAATTTTATAATTTGTTCCTACTTAAAAACCGATTGACCTTGCAACAAATTGTTTTATAGTTTTTCATTCAACATGATTTTGTTGGTTGGTATGGTTTTGCATTGATCTGAAGTTGCACTCCTAAATATTTTTATGTTAAAATACCGCAATGGAATGTTCAATCGAATAACACACTGGATTATATTAGTTTTAATAAAATGGATAAACAATAATTAAGCTCAAAGGAAAAGCAGACAGAGGCTTTAGTTTTTGAAACACCAAACAAACAAATAATTTGATTATTTACATATGACAAACTCAGACTAAAACATTTCTAAACAAGAGTAAAAGCTATGAAAATTCTCAATTTGTTTTTGTTCTTCCTCAGTGCTTGGAGGAATTATGTTTCTATTCTTTAGGTGCTTTTATATACAGCAGAAACTAGAAAGCTTTGTTTCCAGACTAAAACAATGGTTTAAGGTTAAAAACAGCATCTACAGCACGACTTGGACTTTAGAAAAAGCAAGCCAAATGGTATGTCAATTATCGCTTCTATGTATTCAACTGATTGGAGAAATTCAGAAACTTTATAAGCGAAAAAAGAAAATTCAGATTCTGAAATTAATGAAAGGAGGTTTAGCTCCATTGTTGGTATGATGAGTCTTGGTACCATTGGTTGCTCTGGTCATATCCACCACCATAACTTTGGTTATTCTGCTCCAGAGGCTGCTGAGCAATTGGTTGAGAACCAGCTTGGTTGAAACGTCTTTTTGGTTCAGGATAGCTAACGGTTCCAGCTCCATCTCCTTCAAATTTTCGCTTTGCTTGTTGCGGACCAGCACCTCGCGGACCTCCCCTTGGACCACCTCTGCTTCCACGTCCTCCAGGACCACCACGGCCTGGACCACCTGGACCTCCTCTTCCACCTCGTCCAGGAGGACCACCTCTAGGAGTACCTGGTCCTCCACGACCACGAGGACCACCCCTAGGTGTACCTGGTCCACCTCGACCTCTCTGAGACCCACCACGACCTCGTCCACCATAACCACCTCCATATCCTGAACTATAATCACTACCACCATAACCATCATCATATCCACCACCATAACTATCATCATACCCTCCACCATAACCACCTCCATAACTACCACCATAACTATCATCATATCCACCACCATAACCATCACCACCATATCCTCCACCATATCCACTTCCATCATCATATCCTTCGTTATATCCACCACCATAACCTCCTCCATACCCATCACCATAACCACCACCATATCCTTCATTATATCCACCACCATAACCACCTCCTCTAGGACCTCCACGACCACGACCTCTAGGTCCTCCTCGACCCATCCCACGACCACGACCTCTACCCATATCACCACCTTGATCTCTCCCAGGAGCATTTAAAGCACCAAAGCCCGACTGTCCATGACGTTTTTCTCTGTTCTGTGGTGGTTTAGCCAAGGATACTTCAATAACAAGTCCGTCTATTGTTTTACCATTCATTTCTTCAATAGCTTTCACAGCAGACTCTCGTTCTTTGAAGTTGATAAATGCATAACTCTTCAGCTTTTTGACTCTTTCAACTTCACCATGTTCGCTAAAAGCACTCTTCAGACTTTCTTCGCTTGTGTTGGGAGAAACATTGCGAACATGAACAACACGAACCTACGAGACATGCAAAATTGTGATATTGTTCACAGCTGGAGCTTCAAAATATTTCCTATTCACTTCTCCTCAAAGCTTTGACAATTCAAATCTATATTTACCTTGGCCATTGTTTCTGTATCAGGTTCCTCAAGTGGATCAGCCCAGTCAACAGAAGGAACAATATGTCCCCAAACTTTTACCCGTCCACTCATCAGTCGACGTCTGGCAAGGGCTGCAGCTTTGTGGGTGTCATACTCAAGGAAAGCGAAACCACGATTCTTGTATTTGTCTTCAGCGGATATATACACGATCACATCCTTCAAGTTGTCTGTGTGTTGACGGAATTCATCCAATATGTCCTGTTTAGTCTTGGTTTTTGGAATGGAACCAACGAACAATCTATCGTTGGCAATTGATATACACACACCAAGACGACGGTTCTTTCTGATTTCAGTGTTATCTAATCCTTTGCACGCACTCTGGGCAGATTCACGATCAGCGAAGGTGCAGAAAGCATAGCCCTTGTTTTGGCCGGTATGAGGATCCATCATCAGCCGAAAATCATATATCCGACCATATTTCTCAAAAGGTGGGATGAGTTCATCTTCAAACATGTCACGAGGTACTTTGCCAACAAACACTTGACAGCAGCCCTATACAATGATTTGGGTCAGAAATATCCTGGGCACTTATGACAGGGAAAGATTCTTCAATTCCCAATGGGTTTAAAATTTTAATGGCTTATTTTTATTTTTACCTGTATTTTTGATATAAAATCATAAATAGAAAAGATAGATATCACAATAGACAAGATTTCATATTGAATGCACCATTTTTTTGAACCGTATACATTGGATTAACACATGAACAACAAGCGACTGTTTGAAGGAAGGCAAAGGAAGCATGCATGACAAAATAATTTCAAACTTCAAACGTAAACCCTACCGTAGTTCCTGTCGGTGGAGGAGGGCCCTCCCAGCCGGGAGGTGGACCTCCAAACTTTCTCTGTCCCATGGTTATATCCAAACTATAGCCAGTTCTTTCTAGCAGTTCACGAATTTTCTCCTCATTCGGCCCCCCTTCGCCAGTCTGTACTGGTTGCTGTTCTTGTATTTCCGCATATAAATCTTGAGGACCCATTTGCTCCTGACGCTTTTTCTCACGATGTGTTTTCATGATTCCACAAAGAAAGGCACTCTTGTTTTGTACATGCGATAGATCGCTATTTGCGAACTGTTCTAAGACCGCGAGAGCGCCGTCTTCATTCAATTCTTTCAGTGCGTCAAAAGCTCTCTCATCGAGATCTGCCAAAACAAGCTGACCTAATGCGCATAGGTTATCAAGCTTAACTGTGACAGATTCGGGCAACACTCTGCCTCGAAACTTCTCCATTATATTAAATTATTATATTGGAATGTTGAAAACTCACGACGGCGTAAAAATAGTCTGCAAAAGCTGGCACAAAACTGTCCGACGAATGAAGACTTATTGAGGGAAAAAGAACGCCGAAGACAACGTGTTTGAAATTTATACATTAACCGGGTGTCCGTAACTGTTTGAAGGGCCTAAAGTTTGACCAATCAAATTTCGCTATTATCAGTGCTTCTCAGTCCCCAGGGTATTAATTATGAGCGATTATGAGACGAAAATATGTCGCAAACACGCTTATGTCACGTGGGTTTACTGGGTTATAAAATAAAAACGCGGGAAAAGTGCAAAAAAATTAGAAAATAGAAAGAAAACGTTAAAAATTGAGTAGGCTTGTAGGGATTTTATATATATTTTCCTAACAATGTATCAGAAATATTTACACACAGGGGCATACCCAAAGCACCGCTCTCCCTGGCTCCACCCTGGTTACACCTCTGTTACATAGTTGAATTTCATATTTAGTCTACAATGCAATTTTAAAATTTTCTGCCATGTCAAGAGATTTGATTTGTACCATCATCAGGATTACTTTTTTAATGGCAACCCTAAAGTAAACATACACAAATAATGATTATTTAATATGAACTATTAGAGAGTGCACCATTGCCCTCAAAAGAGGAGTAAGATGTAAGCTTGTGTGATAGGGAGAAAGGGCTTTTCTTAATTGATCTTGCAAGGTCCAAAATTGCTCTAAAGGCAACAAATAAGAATATGCATGACTTTACCTGGCTTTCTTCTTCTCTTGTGCAGTGGAACCCTCAGCTTTTAATTTCAAAGATTTAGCTAAGCTCTCCAGATACCGAGAGAATGAACCCAAGCAATCCAGTGTTGTCCTTCTGGATCCTTCAAACCAATCATGTGGGAGTACAGACACAATCTTAAGAAAGTTGAGAGTTAGGACAAGCATTTGCAAGTTCACAATACCACAAGAGCAGATCGACCGACTGACATAAAATATTTTTACTCACTGCTTGACATTTTATAACATTTTCATATTGTTTTCCAGCGGCATGTTGTAATGAGAGCAAGAGATAACGGTTTAATAGACCATCAACAGCCAGTTCTTGTAACTTAGGAGCTGAGATTAATCCATGCCATAGAAATATGTTTCCTAACAACTAAATATTTCATGACAAAGATGTTAGAAAGCGAAAGAACAGTAAACAAAAGACAATGCAAAAAGTTCATAAAGATTACAAGTTACATTCAATTGTTCAAACCTTTAAACAACTCCAAAACTGTCGTTCTACAAATGCTTCTGCTCCAATTGACTTTTTTTCCAGCAAGCTATGTTTAAGAACATAAATGTTATCAGCATCTTGTTTATTAAAACAGCTGAGCAATGCAGTTAGAATACTTACGATTTTGGATAGAGAGGAACATAAATATCATCATTCATGCATTTTTTAATTCTTGTAATGACTGTGTTAAATAACTCCTAAACAAAGTAAAATTGATTAACAGAGGTACTGCTAGAAAGCCAGTTTGAGGTTTTAAGATTTGTAAACTTTATGTATCTGAGCTTATGAGATAGACACAACTATCAATAAATTGTGATCCATAATCATTCACTCTGAGTTACTTTAGCAATATTATTTACCAAACAACCAATATAGGTATGACTGCTTGGAGATTGTATATTGCTGTGGAAAATATCACAAGTGAAAGATATCACATATTGATATGGGAAATACATAATTGGTACCTTTGTATGTCTTTTTTCTGCAGAGATTGTTGGATAGTCAAGCACCAAACGTTTGATGAGATTAACAGCAAAAACGGTTTGTTTTAATGATAGTGGATCCCAAATATCCCCAAGTAGAGCTGAGATTTAAAATTTAAATAATTTATATACATGGTAATGTGGCGATACTACAAAAATTACTAAACTAACTACCTGTTAGTTTGGGTACAAGAACTTTTTCAGCCAATCTGGGAATAAAATTGGTATCTTCATCATCTGGATCATAGGAATTGTCTTTGAAGCCATAAAACATGACATCTTCAAACCACTGCATTTCTTCAAAATCCTTGCATTCTTTCTATCAATTATTTAGGTAAAATATCAATTTAGGTGAAGTTTGTGGTGTGATTATGTAACAAATGTGTTATTTCTAGCTTTCATGAATTGAAATCTATATATGATAAACTAGCTACCATAAGTGGATTCCAGTCCAACAGTTCAATTTTGACAAATGGTAAAACCAGTTTAGGTAAACACAAATGTACAAATGCTTGCTTGTAAGTTTCAGAAAAGCCATATTTCCATTGCTGAAATCTTGTTATAATAGATTTGATATTTCCAAAATCTTCTAAAACATCTTCAAATATTTTTTTGCTTTCATCTGATATTTTTTCTGCAAAAGAAACACAGCAGTCATGCTTGGATGTTGCTTCATCAAGCTTCTCAAAATGAGCAAATAAATAAGGACCCAATTGTCAAAGATGCAATTGTATACCTGATTCAGCTTTGAATCTCAAAATATCACCACTTCCTTCTTCATCATCAGAGGAGAATCCTTCGTGGTATTGCTTTGACTCTTCCTCTTTTGATGTGGCTGCTTCTCGTTCCTTCTTTCTCCTGTTTCGTCTTGCTTCTCTCTCCACTGCTCTTCTTTGCTTCGCTTGCTCTACATATGCAGACTTATCTCTACCAAATTCATCAAATTCAGGCTTGACTTGAGTTGATTTTCCTGCAAGAAAACCCCATGGTAGAGTGTAGACAATTCAACTAAATATGATACAACTGGAGCTGAGATACGTACAGATAAGTGAGAATCCCAAGCATTCTTATATACCTGTTTGTGCAGCTGCAAAATCCTCTGCCTGATCCTGGATATCTTTTTGACGTCTTTCAAGAAACCTGTCCGCTCTTTGTTTCAATAATGAATGCATTCGCGACTCCAGATCTTCTATCACAGGAACCTGCAATGAAAACATTTTTTTTCAATCTTTGATTGTTAGTTGATTCAAATTGAAAGAGATGCATGTGACCCGTATTTCTCAATTAACCAAGCATGATTACTTGAGATTGTCATAATTAACTATGCTTTTTGAAAAAAGTTTACTAAAGGGTCCACATGTGAAATGTTTTGCCTGTATTGACCAATGTTTCATATCCACAAATTCTAAAGCTTACATGACCTCTGCTTACATGACCCCTGCAACAAGACCCCTGCAACAAGACCCCTAGCAAGTTGTCATTGGCTCTCTACTGACGCACCTTTTCATTTAGACACTCAATCAAGTCCCTGACATACCCCCTCATCTCCTGAAAAAATCCATAACGTCCCTCAGCATCCACCAACTGTTTCCCCAATGATGTAATACTTGCATCACTTGACTCCATCTGTGATGTCATTTTTTCCTTCTCCAAACGCCGGCCTCGATTCACTTCTTGCAATGAGACAATGCGATTATTAATCTTTTCCCAAATCATATCCATCGTTACTGTATTTAATGATGTTGGTGGATAATTTGCGTAAGCAGGCAAAGACGTCCCATGTTGAGCATAGTTAGGATCTACATCAGTATTACCATAAAGATATTGTTGAGTCATGTACATTTGAAATGTATTGTCATCCTCTTGCTGAGTTTGTGGAATAGAAACCCCTTTTCGTATCTGTTCTTCCTCAAACCTTCTCAAAGCATCGTCCTCTTCATCACTCTTCTCATCTTCATCGCTTTCTTTTGCAAGCGCTTTTTCAACCTCAAGTCTTCGCTGCATTCCCGGATGATTAGATTTCCGGGTCCCAAAGCCAAGCGGTTGATCCGGATCTTCGTCACTATGATCATTATCATCTTCCCGTATTAACCGTGATTTATCTGTATTCTCAAACCTACCACTGTATCTGTCAGTATCATCGATAGGGATAATTTCTGTTCCCATCTGTCTGGCCATTTCCCGTCTTTTCCGTGCCGCATGTATGGCAGCTGCATCAGGAATTTGAAAAGATGTATTCTTGTTTGGATTAGCACGTAGAGGTTTAAATATAATTCCATCACTCTGAATGACTTTATCACCATCATTCTCTGCCAAATCATTACCACCATCATCATCTTTACCTCCCAAATTTGATAGCTCTTCTCTTAGACTTTCCAACTTGTCATCATTTACATCTTCTGCTCTAGGGCTTTCAATTTTCTCTTCCGGTTCACTTTCCTTAGTTTTCTTCGCTTTCACACGTTGTTTTGACAACCTACGGCTTTCTTTAGACTTCTTTACCTTAAAAACCTCCGTGCTATCTTCTTCATCATGGCCAAAGCTTAGCAAAGTTTTTGGGACAGTCTTTTTTTGTTTTTGTTCAGGTTTTACTACGGGTTTTTCTTGCTCAGCAGCTTCGTCGGCCGCTACTTCTTCTTCATTTTCATCCTCAAAGTTTTTCCTCCGAAAATTTCGACGGGATTTCTTTTTGAAAACAACAGCTTCTGTCGCCATGATTGGAAAATTTTCAAAATGGCGGTCTTTTCAGTTGTTTTAGTGAACTCCCCCCCCTGAAAATAACCATTTTGCCTGCGAACAGGTTTGTAAACATCAGTCATAGTGATCATAGTTCACTGATACAAAAGAATGGAGTTTTATGCTTCAGGAAAGAAAGGATTTTACCAACCAAATTCAAGTTACCAGCCAAATATTGATGCAGGATTACTTGCTCATGTCAGAGAGGAAGTTCTCAAACGGGAAGAAGAACAGAGAAGGCAACGAAAAATTGATGAGGACAGAAAGGCAGAAGACGAGAAACGATCGAAAATGGGCAGACAAATTGTATCTATTGTAACAAATTTACCAATGTATGTAAAAATATATGCATTTCAGTGTTCGAAAAGTGTCACAAATTTAAGAGCAAAAGACCACTAAATGGAATGAACAATAATCAAATAATCTACAGATATACTAATCCCCGCTGATTAATATTAATCACTGAAGAGATAGGAATCTGTTTTTAGCACATTCCAAGAGAAGATAACTGCAGAAGTCATAAACTCATTAACTCTTTCACTCATGGATGGAACTGTGTTTGAAATTGTCAAAGGTTTGGAGGACATTCAGCAGCTGACGGAGAGGAGATTGCTTAATAAAAGAATGAAATTAATTAATGGTCAGAAAGGTAGATTATTGAAGTACAAATAGGATAATTATTGTTGAGTCAGATACTTTATTCTCTTCTACTCTTCTATTTTTTAGCTGAAAGAATGGATCAAAACAAGACCCACAAAGCAGCAGTTGATGCCTGTGCTAACAAACCTCATCATCTGCCAATTATAAAGAAGAAACAAACACAAGAAAAAGAGAATTTAGAAAGTCGACTTGAGCAAGAGCTTGTGCAGTTGGATCAGAAATTAGTGCTGGAATTAGATCGAGTTGTTGCAGATCAACAAACCACAATGCAGGTAACTATAATTCACATTTGTTTCTGTCCAGAATACGTGAAATAACATTTCATTTCTTGTTATAGAGAGCTGGAGTTCCTCTGTTTCATCTGACAAATGATTCAAGTGAAATTCAACTTCAGATGTACATCTTAGACATCATTACTCAACTAAGTGCTGGTGGACATGATTAAGAGGACTTCTAATGTTGTGTTCACAGTTTGTGTAAGGAGCTTACCCAAGGCCATTGCAACAATGCAACTTGGTTACATCTCAAGCTCACTGTTGAAGTGAATCTGGTGTATGTATGGTCAACTGACTACAACAACTTTTAGTTTGAAGTGGAGAACCAGTCTAGACCAGCAGCATTTATGAAAATATGAAACTCTATTTAATTCTGCTTAAATATTATGTACAGAGAAAATAATACCCGTGTTGTGCAAGTGCAGAATAATATGTTGTAACATATCCCATGTATACATACAAAGAAAATGTTTCAACAATAAAGTGCCCGAGAAATTAGCTAAAATTGCTAATTGCCCAGTAAAAAGCTATGTGAACTGAATGAGCACTATATTTGTAAAATCACTATCTACCATGAATATATTCATAGTGCTTGTGGATGATCTTAAAAGGAATGCCCTCCACAATTTGACTGGACCTCTCAAGAATTGCAAGGCTTCTATTCCAAGAAGCCTTGAACGGTCTTGATTCTTTTCTACATGGAAGATTTCTCCTCTACATGTGAGATGCTTGGACTGTTTTTAATATGATAAGTGTTCTTTCGCACCCATCAAATCTCCAAGGCTATTGCTAGGTGACATGCGGCATCCACGGGAAAGGAAGCTTGTAAGTTTACCACTGGCTGCCAAAATCAGTCCAAGGTATGGTGGTGAAGGTTTGTGAGGTCTTGTTAAGAATTCTGGATGGAATTGAACCCCAACAAAATATGGGTGTTCTGGAAAAGTTGCAACAATCAGTATGGCTTGTAGTTATAATTGTTGCAATTTAATTTAGAATTCAAATGTATTACACAATACCTTGTAATTCCATGATTTCCATGCGCTCACCATCAACATCATGGCCAACAAATTTCATACCATGTTCTTCAAGTCTCTTAACGTAAGCTGGATTGACCTACAGTAAATAATAAAGTTAACAATATTTGAAGACTTATTGACAAGCAATTCTATGTCCTAAATAGTCTAATAAGCAGTACTTGATGGTGAATGTATACCTCGTAACGATGTCTGTGTCTTTCCTCAATATGCTCTCTCTGACCATACAATTTATCTAAAAATTTAAATGACAATATAATGCCGTAAAAATGAGATAACTTTTATGTATAAGACGTTACTTACAAATTGTGTTTTCCTCAGATTTAAAAACAGTTGTTCTCTTTCCAAGACGCATTGTACCGCCAAGTTGGCCTGGATTATGTTCTGGCATTTCAATTACCTTAAGAAATAGGAATTTACAATTAGGAAATTAATTTAAATAGAAATTTTATCAATTTTAAATCATTTGTTGACTAACCACAGGATTTTCAGTATCACCCTGGAACTCAGAGGAATTGGCATCTAAAATTCAAAATGAACACACAATAAACCAAAACACTGCATCAATAATTTCAAACTATTGTACTATAACTATTGTAATATATAACATAACCATATGAATTTTCACCTTTTAACTGAAGTATGTTTCTTGCAAATTCAACAACTGCAAGCTGTAATCCTAGACACACTCCTGAAAACAAAAATGCAAAACATTAAAACCTAATAAGATAAAGGTTTTATATATTACAAATTAGTAAATGTTCTTCAGTTCTTACCTAGAAAAGGGACATTCTTTCTCCTTGCCCAGTTTATAGCTAAAATTTTGCCCTCTGTTCCCCTGTTACCAAAACCTCCTGGTACCAATATTCCATTACAACCACAAAGTTTTTTCCATGCGTCATGATACTGAACTGGTTCCAAATCAGCCTCTTTCTTTTTCAAGGTCTTCTGAATCTATCCACTTTAATGAGAAACAAAATGAAGAGTCTAATGATAAACATGCAACAAATCTAATTAGTTCCAATTTCATCTAATAATCAACATGTAACAAATCTAATTAGTTCTAATTTTGTCTAATAATGAACATGTTACAAATCAAATTTGTTCTAATTATCCATACTTACATGTAAAACAAGTTTAAGGTTACAATGCAAAGAAGCATGTGTAAGGGCTTTGATAACAGACAGATAGGCATCTTGCATCTGAACATATTTCCCAACCAATCCAATATACACTTCATTACGTACATTTTCCTGCCTGTGAAGATACCAGATTTTAAAAGTTGCTACTGGAATTTATTTACATCTCTCAAAAGTAGAATTGCATTGCAAGTTCCAAGAAAAACTTTAAATTATTGTGTAACCTGGCCTTACATTTGTGACAAAAAACACATCACACAATGATAAAGGCTCACCTTTCGGCTAACTCATGCCAGATTTTCAAGGAGTTATGAGTTTCAAATGGTAGAGTTATATCCAAGTTAAGTCTTTCATTCAATAATGGAACCAAATTTTGTTCTGATATCAGAACAGGAACTCTGTAAAGACTATCACAATCATGAACACTGATGACCTGGTGAAAATGAAAAAGAAAATTAACAAATTATATATAGGAAGTGGAATAAATGGATTTAGCATTCAAAATACACTGAATTATATACTTTATCTGGTGAAACATGGCAAAACATCGAAACTTTCTTCCTGACAGCTTCTTGAATGGGTGCCTTTCCTCGGCAAAATATCTGAAAAAATATATGGTAAATTTGATTCTTACTAAAATCTTTACAATAGCCATAAGTCTAATTTTTTATGCCACTTACAAAATCAGGACTTAATCCAAGTCCTCTAAGTTCTCTAACACTATTTTGTGTTGGCTTTGACTTCTGTTCACCTGTTGAACCAGGCTAAAAATAAAACTAGCATTAGTAAATTACCATGATGCAAAAACCTATGTGAATATTCATATCATCAAAACCTAGGCATTTCACATATTAGGCCAATACCTGTGGTACGAGGCTGACATGAATCACACAAAAATTTTCTTGTCCAACACGAAATTGGAACTGTCTAAATGCTTCAACGAAAGGCATGCTTTCAATGTCACCAATTGTTCCACCAAGCTGGAAAGCGGAAAGGATGGATTTATGTTGGTTAATGAGATTTCAAGGACACAAGGTTATGGAGATCTATATTTACAATACCTCAATGATGCAAACATCAGCTGTATTATTGTCATGCAATGGTTTGAGGGCAACCTTCTCGACCCATTCCTGAACTGCATTTGTGATATGAGGAACCACTATTAATTAGAAATAATAATTTAGAATTGTTATATGGAAATTGACTCTTTAAATCTAATCTTCTACAGTTTCTTTTTCATCACCTTGTACAGTTTTTCCAAGGTAATCTCCTTTTCTCTCTTTCTGAATAACATCTTGATAGATCTTTCCAGTTGTAATATTGTTATCTTTACACAACATCACATCAAGAAAACGTTCATAATTCCCTAGGTCCAAATCAACTTCACCTCCATCATCTAGTACAAATACTTCGCCTAAAACAAAAAATTCCCAAATAATAATCACTTTGCCTGCAGAAATGAACAATTGAATAAACATGTAGGTTTATATGAAATGAATGACCCCTCTACTACATCAATGGATGTATACTTCATTGACAAATTTCTGGACTTATTATACCACCTCTGTTTGTGTCTGAAATGAACTGTATTAGATCCAGAATTTGATCAGAATTTGTGGGGTTTCATTGGACAACATGGATTCTAGAGATGGTCGACTGGAAATCTTGACTTCATGCTCATTTGAAATTTTTTATGACTTGTTCATTCCTGTGTTGCATAATCCTTGAAACATTTCAGGTTAACCATCACTCAAATCACTATGTAGAACTTAGAACTTCAATTGCTCCAACACATAGTAAAAACTGATACGTGTTCATTGAGAATTTGCATTTCATGATTTCAATAATACAAAGAATATGTTTAGACTTTTTTCAATATCATAAATTCCATTCCACAAATATTTCCCGCCCAAACATATAGCAAATTGCACAATCATCACGCCACTTTGCAGTAAATTACAGTATTTAGTTCTGTTTACCGTGTTCGTAAGGTGAAAAGGTACCAGCATCAATATTTAGGTAAGGATCTATTTTAACCGAAGTCACATGTAGTCCACACGATTTAAGCAAGGCGCCGACACTACTGGCGATAACTCCTTTACCAAGACCACTAATAACTCCACCGGTCACTAAAATGTACTTCATTGTATGAAGAAGACGTCACGACTCTTTTTTCTCTGATCAATTCACTAAAAATGGAGAAAAAGCTGACTGAAAAATGAACATCCACAGACTTTATAGTCTTTCTGATCTTCTAACTTCTGACCTTCCTCCAGTACGCACGCGTTGCCGCCAAAATTTTGAACTCTAAAATAACTGGAATGCTGAAATTGTATAATTAAAATTGCAACAAAAAAAATTAGACACGTTGTTATCGCGCATATTTCACGCGAAATATCCCCGAATTTTTGCAAAAAATAAATATATAAGTGAAAACAATTTAAAGCATTTATGGCTATTAAGTTAAAATTTTTGAATTGAAGTTTTGATTTTGATTTGGATCGTGGAGGTAACAAAGCCAAGGATCTTGTTACAAAACCAGAACTTTGTACCTGGTAGGCTAGTACAGCATCATCAGGAGTTTAAAAGATATATAGAATCACTCTGAGTCATGGTATCTTACCAATCCGACGATATAGTTCTCGTGTACGCAAAGAGGACACCTATAGGTACATTCCGAGGTGGACTCAGCTCAATAAAAGCTCATGACCTGGCTGTTACTGTTATTAAAAGTATGTTAGAAGAAGTAAAAGAGGTAAAAGGTCATGAAATCTCTGAAGTGATCTTGGGACAAGTTCTCACTGCAGGTATGGTAGGTAACCATTACAAACTAGTTTAAGAACACGAGACACGCCTAATTTGTTATACCACTACTGGGTACTGATTATAGTTGATTGCACTCTTCTCAAACACCACTAGGACAAGGGCAAAACCCTGCACGGCAAGCAGTAATAGCAAGTGGTTTACCAACATCTGTACCAGCAAGTACAGTGAACATGGTATGCGGTTCAGGCTTGAGAGCTGTTGCGATGGCCAAGCAAGCTATTCAATCAGGAGATTCCACCATAGTTATTGCTGGTGGGGAAGAGAACATGAGCCAGGTATATGGTGATTTCAGAGTTACTAAGATAACTGGTGGAAATGGTAATGCTCTTCCACTGACATTACAATATTATATGCCACCACTTTATACGCACTAAACTGCTTACCAACTGAATGGAACAAACAAACAGAATGTTTGCAACTCTGCAACTTGCAGTTGAATACCAATCATGGTTAATTTATAATGCATATAATAGGCACCGCATTGCATTGATATAAGACCTGGTATAAAGTTTGGAGATGCAACAATGAAGGATACTATGTTGACTGATGGTCTGACAGATGCATTCAACGATTACCATATGGGAATCACAGGTAGAAAGGAAAAAGTTTTGAAAGTTTGCATGTTGATTCAGTTTTCAAATAAATAAAAATCTTTATGTATATATACCATTCTATTATAGCTGAAAATGTTGCAAAGCAATGGGGAATCACTAGAGTTCAGCAAGACCAGTTCGCTTTTAACTCTCAGAGGAAAACAGCTGAAGCAATGAAGGAAAACACTTTTCAAAATGAGATAGTTCCTGTCAGCATTGTAACAAGGAAAGGTAGGTGGCATTTCTTACCTCGGTTTTAAAGAAAGTTTGCATGGTCATTGGAAACTAATTAAAACTTTCAGGTACAACTGTGGTGACCAAGGATGAGCATCCAAGAGCGGACACAACTGTAGAAGGATTGAATGGTCTAAAACCATGCTTCATTAAAGATGGTACTGGAACAGTCACAGCTGGTAATGCATCTGGCATCAATGATGGTGCAGCTGTGGTTATGGTGATGACACACAAGGAGGCAACCAGCCGTGGCATCACGCCATTGGTTAAGATTGTAACATGGGCACAAGCTGGTGTTGATCCATCAGTCATGGGGACAGGCCCAATCCCAGCTATCAAAGCTGCTGTAAGTTCTCTCTTCTGCAGCTACAAAAGTTTGTGGCCACTGTAAGTGTTAATTTTCATTCTTTCACTCCCACAGCTTTCCAAAGCAGGCTGGTTAAAAGACGAAGTTGATCTTTTTGAATTGAATGAAGCATTTGCCTCACAGTCATGTGCCATCCTCAAAGAAATTGACATTGACCACAAGAAGGTATCCATCCTGTTTCACTTTTTCTTACTTTGATATTTAAATCTGATACTTGCTCACTGCAAAGTCTCTTTCCTCAAATGCAACAAAATACTTATCAGCAACTGTCTTATTGAAAGGAATGAATAAAAGACACATTGCACTGACATACATACCTGTATACGTAATTCACCAGTGAATGTATTTGATCTTTACTCTTTTTAGGTGAATATTAATGGTGGAGCAATAGCACTTGGTCATCCTCTTGGAGCCTCAGGATGTCGCATATTGGTCACTTTAATACATTCATTGATTAGAACAAACAAAAGACGGGGTGTGGCCGCATTATGTATTGGTGGAGGCATGGGTATTGCAATGTGTGTAGAAAGATTTTAAAATAAATATTGACTAAAGACACAACTGATCTAATTACTTTATCCTTATTTACATAATCCTCACCCTCAATCTAGTCTCTGTTAATCTGGCTGTTCTCTTCATCTTTTCATTTAATCATTATATATTTTTAGTTTCCAAAACATTTAATGATTTTACAAATTTGAGATATATGAAAAATTGTCAATCTCATTTTATTTTAATAGATTAATCATGCTTGCAAATTGTATCTCTGTCATATACTTTACATATATATATTACACAAAATAAATTCATTTTGGAGAGAGATTCACATACACAGGGCATTAATCCTAATTATAAACTATTTTTTAAAGTACCACTTATTTGGAAATTCGAAAGTCATGGAAAGTTCGGCGCACTAGCTGTATAGATTAGGCCTTGGTGCAAAATTTTAAAAATTAACTAATTATTAAATCTTCAGGTATGATTTGTTCTCATATTACAAAATTAACCTTGGTGTTTTTAATGTATTTCAAATGCACAGTCAGGTAACAGGTATTTGGTTTGGGGTTTCGGTAAGATAAAAACGTTTGGCAGATAATTAAACAAAAAAGGGAGAGATCAATGTCACACACTTGTTACTTGTCTGGGCATTTAAAACTCAAGCAGGAGACCCCACCACCACCAAAGGATATATAACCCACAGGTTGCACGATGCAGAGCCAGCACAGACATCAAAGAACCAGCTTCGACAAGACATGTGAAGCCATCGTGCAACTATCATTAACATGAGAGGATCACGTGACGGAATCTAGCGAGTCCTGTGAATCGGAAGAGTCCATATATTGTTTTGTTAAACTGTTCATACGTTTCTTGCTCCCACGTTTCGCCTTTGTATCAAGTGCAGCAGCAGTCGACACTGGCTGCTCCTCCGTTGGAGCTGAAAGGAGTGGAAATGTCAAATCGTACTCTTCACAAAGCCTTAGGTGAATTACCTCAATGTGAAGAACGTCAAAAGCGTCTTTTGTATAGAGACATTGAGTGTAAATAGGTAGAACAAAAAGGTTAAAATCCAGTTACAAAATGAGTTACTGGAGAGCATGGGAAACACTATATTCTTAAGATGATGAGACCATTATTACATGATGTGAGGGAATAGCAACTTACTTTGTATCTGACTTGCTGTAGCACCTTCAGTCTTCTTTCCATCTTCAGGTTTCCCAATGGTTTCTGTTGATTCTTTCTTCTCACCATCAATCTCATCTGATGTTCCGTTGTCACTGTCCGTTGAATTATCCTCTTCAAACACCAGACTTGAATGCGGTGTTAGTGTTGAAAGATTTGCTGTCAACATTGCCCTAAAAAGACAAATGATCGTCAACTTCATAACGAATAGCGCAAGTTTAAAACAAGTATTCACAGTGGTCCAGGAGAGATCATTACTCAGTGTCATTACTTCCTGATACTGTGAATTTCAGGAGGAAACGTAAGCTAAACACTGACACGAACTACGAGCTTACTTTTGTTTGTCAAATCTGTCCAATTGATCATTCAAAACTTTTCTTTGCTGTTCTTCACTCGTGGACAGATCACTTTCAGGATCCTGCAGGAAATGGTGAACATAATCTTAAGAGACGTGCAACCAGAATGGACCTTTTCATAATGACGTCAAACGCGGAAAGTCTGATTTTACACGAAGTTTGATTGGCTCGATAGCTTTGTGGAGCCAATCAAATTTCGTGTAACATCAGACTAAATACTCAACCTTGTCTCGTGCCAGACGAGCCAATTTTGCTTTGACGTTTTTGATATTTTGGTCAATCTTCGAAATATCAGCCAACGTCGCATCCATCTTTGCCATCTGGCCTACGATAAGGGACTCTACCACCCTACACAGCAATAAAAGGTTTAGCAAACAGACAAAGGGTCATAGTGCAAAAGAAGACGTATAAAACCTTACATTGACTGTTTTCTAATATCATACAAGCCATCCAGAGCACTGCCACCTTCCCGAGGTCTCATTAAACACGGTGCCCAGATAACGGAAAGGCCACTGGGAGACATTAGGTTTGAGCTTTCGTATTTTGCAATTCTGAAAAGGGAAAGTTTTCACTTCAATGATATTGGGTCGATCTATCGATTCCATGGTATCAACCTTAGAGCTACAGTAAGCTTCGTCTGTTATTGATCCAGTGTTGCAAAAGAAGGAAACCTAAACTAAACTAAACTTTGAAGAGTGACTAGAGACGGGAAAGCATCCCCATTCCACAAAAGAAAGCGAATGGGATAAAATGAGAAACCATGAACAGTAGTTAATTTTTTTCTTACCTTGCTAAATGAAACACCAATCTTTCCAACGTATCTTGATTAGGTTTTGGTAATGTGTCGACCAGCGTGTGAAACCTTTGCAGCCGAGATTCACTGTCGCTTAAATCTGTATACAGCAGAATATAAAACAACGTTGTTTTGTTTTAAAACACAGCTACGCTTTACGTACGCGTATGTGGTGAAGTCATGCCGCAAGAAGACACTCACCGCATGCCCGCAGAAACTCGTCGTAGACTTCCTCCGTGATGAGAGGACTTGTAATGTACGAAAGAACAACTTTAAACACCAGCAAAAACGTGTATCGCGTACATGCCCAGGTCAACTTGATTTACATCTAAAGATGAAATATAGTTCATCAATTCATGCACTAAACTTTGAAGTTTCCCTTTCTTGTCCCTTCCATGTCTACCTCTGGTTTCAAGGTTTACTGATGGAAGATACGGTACATTTTAAACCGATAACTTTTTTTCCCTACCTTCTTCATACATTATTTACGCATTACCTTTTATGCTTGAAAATGCATTTTTCAGTTGTTTAACTTTTACAGCACTTGGCGATTTTCGATAAATGCCTTCTTGAAATAAACCTAAGGAGGTGGTGCGTAGACAAGACAAAATCACGCGAGGAAAATCATGAATAAGAGAGAAACGCAAGATAATGAATCATCGTGGATCGGACCTACCTTTGTTTTCTATTTCATTGATTAGTCTAACTACTACGACAGGAATTTGGATATCATCACTAACTAACAAACAAAGATCATTTCCAAACAAGGAAGCCTACAAAAACAAAATTGCTCCCTTAAATAAAACAGGAACACTATTAACAAACTTATAAAAGGCTTTGTGATAAAACGCTCCGTTGTCTATGTTCTTCAGTCATTTTTTTTTGCTTGATATCCATGGCTTTTTTCCACTTCAAAACTTACATTGGCAATGCTCTTTTTCCGCACAGATTTTGCCTTACATTGCTTCTTACTCTTTTTGTAACATCTTTTATGACAAGTAAATTTACACTCTGCAAGAAGAACAGAGAAATATAATATTCAAATAATGTTCACATGCAGAAACTGCATCTTTGCAATGAAATGTTAAAGCATGTACCTTGGCAAACAAGACCCTTTTCAAGAATCCAAAGCATACTGTTACAGTGTTCACAGAATGTGTAGATATTAAAGGTTGTTAAAGCGTAACTATGGTCGCCATATTCCTGGAAGAAAAAGAGAAAACATGATAAACAAGAGCTTCAAATTGTGACCTTCAAGTTATCGCTATGTAATGATGCTAAATGACACTTACAATAATCTCTTGTTTCTTCTTCTTGTGTTTTGTTATCGGCTTTCGTTTGCTCTGCGTGAAAAAAATTATATGTAGCTACGTGTCAGTTTTCATACGTACAAGAAAGTACGAAAAGTCGAAATCCATCGTCATCAAATATCAAACAAGCAATGCCAATTACCTTGGCTACTTTAGGACCAGACTGAGACCTACATACATAAAAAAACAAGAAAGGGTTTTTTTTTAAAAAATGCGATCATATTGCATCATTTTGCATGAAATAAACGACTGAAAGTGAAAATCACCTTGAGGATTTGAATTCGTTAAGCCAACCTTCAAATGCATTGATTCCCATAGCAACGGGGAAGTTGGCATGGATTTTATCGACTTTGATAATATTTATCAGAATGTTTTCGAAATTACGGATTAAATCTTCTGATGTTATCGACGACGAATCATTTTGCTGTGGAGGAAAATTTCATTTCAATGAAAACAATTGAAAACATTTCAATGAAAATATTTTTGCCTCTTTTTATTACCTTCATCATTACGGAATACGTTGATATTAAACTTGAGTGAAATTCTTGAACAGCTTTTTTGAAAACTTTATCAACAACCGTCTCTTTGTTGAATTCGTGAATCTGAAAAAACGGAAAACAAGTTGAAGTGGACCTGCTCAAAAACGTTCACATTCTTTGAGATAGTGAGGGTCATGCTAACCTTATCCGCGAGAAACTTATCAATTTCCTCCAAGCCGTCACTTCCTTCAAGAACAACGCTTGTGTCTCCTTTCAATTGACGGGCCCCTCTTGGAGACTCGATTTCTAAAACAAGATGAATATGCTTGTAACTGTGGACGAAAGGAGTGGGGTAAGACAATAGAGTAAAGCTGGTAAAAACGTTCTTAACTTACCTAAATCAAAGCCTTGTCTGTCCCCATGTAACAGTCTGTCTTCGCTATGTCTCTTCACTGGTTTATGGTCCCATTTCTCGCTAGGAGCTGCTGGTTCTGATATCCGACGTCCTGCTTTCTCCTTTGGTTTCCGTTTGAAAAATGGCGCTCGTTTTTTATTCAATTTACCAGTTGATCCCTTGGTATCCTTCTCCCTCTCTTGTTCATCCTCTTTTTCCTTAGTCTAAACAGGTTAACACGTAATAAGACGTAACTAGGAAAATAATTTACTTCAGTTTAAAGATCGTGGTAATACCTCGTTCTGTAGATCTTCAGAATCATCGGAGAAGTTTCGGTTATCTCCGAGGCCGATTGTACTACGACGCTGAACAGACAGGCGTTTACGAATACTCTTTAAAGACCCGGCACGTCTTCGGGTAAGTCTCGTAGTGACGACAACCTGCCGATCATTCGACGCCGCTGCTCCGTCGTTTTCAAAAACTGGACTCTTTTCACTGTCTTCGTCAGGTTCAGCAGCATTATCCTCACCGTTCACCACCGAAGGCCTTTGTTCGCTCTCAGACTCCTCTTCAGGGGTCGTAGCCTCGACTTTTCGCTCTGGAGATCGCGGAGGAGATTGTGGAGTTACGTCCTCATCTTTCTGAGAACGTGGGACAGTTGCGTATCTAATCTCGTCACTAAGTTCTGGGAAATGTCGGCATATTTCGCTGGTTAGATCCGAGGATGATTGAGAAGTTCGCTTCTTTGAATCAGACTGTTCCCCATTATCGAGCTCCTTGGGAGAAAACGGAAAGTCAAAAATGAAATCTCAAAAAATTTGATAGATTTAATAAACTTAACCTCAGTGTGAATCAAAATTAACGATTTCAACTAACCTGAACACTGCCAAGTCCTCTATTTCTATCGGACGGGCTAAATAAAAAAAATTATCAAAATAAGAAAAAAACACGGTTGTGTTGCTTTGTCGACCAAGTGTACAGCACAGACACTGAGATCAGTTGGTTCTAACTAATGAACGAGGTGTGATTGATCTGGAAACGCGTATATTGTTTGCGAATGCATGTTAGTATAATACGAACGGTTTAAATAACTTTGAAAAGGTGAATGGATGATGTACGAGGTGAAACAATTCAAACAGCATAAGGAAACGACCCGATTATCGATTGTAGGAGTGAATCAAATCTCCTGATCGATAGTATTTGCTTCGGATAAATCAATCAATCACAAGGAATCATCAGTTAGTCATTTGATCAAAACTATTTCAACACCAAGCTTGCGGTAATTTCTACTGAAACTTCGCTATTCAATGATGATACCATTAGGCAGGATCAGAAAATATATTTTCACATGGCGTATATAGCCTCTACACGATCACCATCACCGCAAGCTTGATTTGGGTTTTTGTGTCTATACGAACACCGGGTCACCTTCTCGGAGAGAGCGACAAAGACTTCGGACGTTGGTCGTCAATCATCGACAAGTCTCTCGGCGACGGATGCCGAGATATCTGCAGCGAAAGAGTTTTCCGCAAACGCTCCATCTTTCTGGGAGATTTCAATGGTTTTGTTTGACTATTGTCCAGAGCAAGTTTCAACACAGTCGGCCGCTTGGGAGTGGTACTGGAACGAAATAATGGCTTGGCTTTTCATATACACATCCCGAACTGACGATGGTCTATTTGTACAGGACTATTATTGGTTAGGATTAAATTTCGGGAGCTTGTTTAAAGAATTTGATTCAGAACGATGCTCCTCCGTCGGTCTCCTATGACCCACGAGGAACGTTCAAGGTTGGAATTCAATATGAAAGTTGAAAAGCTGGTGAATATACGACTGTAAAAAATTACCGTCAATTTTGCTTCATTCTATATGTGAGTTTTGTGAGATAGCTCTGGATTACTACATGGTTTTGACAAACAAGACAAGAGCTTTACCTAGGTGATTTTGATCTACTAAACCGGGATTGATGTGATCCCTCTTTATCCTTCTTTACTCTACGATGTTCACGAAGTGCCACATACATCCTCCAAGCAGCTTGAATCTTAACGGCTGCTTTATTGCGAATTTCCATTCTTTCTCGATATCTTTTCTACATAGAAGAAAGAAGGAGATCATGTTAAAAGCTATTCGTAAAGGATCGCTAAGTGCAATAACGTAATCGACCCTCTGCTTCGATAGATGTGCTAGCATTTACTACCTGGAATACGCTGGCAGCTGTGCGTTTCTGCAAGAACTCTTTTCTATAATGCAGAGCTCGAAACCATCCTTGTAGCACCGAGACACGACGTAAAAACTCATCATCAATCTTCTTCCGTAGGACATGATAGGCAGCTTCGCGGAGAAACACCTGATACAGGAAAAATATGCAATATGAAGTATCCAGGCATCATCACGTCAAGACTTGCACAATAGTCTGATCTGAGGGTTACGAAACAAACCTTTGTTTTTCCTAAGCTGAACTGGTCAGCTTGGAAACCAAACTTTCTGAATATATCCGTTAAATTATCCTTGAGTTCATCCCATTTCATCTGTCGCGGTAACAACAGGCCAAAATGCGTGTGGAAGTCTTGATAGGAGAAGCGAATATGATAACCAAGCTTTCGTATCCTTATCGTTTCCAGCATTCCTGTATAACGCAGCTGACTGAGGACAAGATCCTTCGTGAACTCCAGCGCAGCCTGAAGGATTCCAAAGACAAGTTTTAAAAGAAAATTCTTGATTATAAAATATGCTCGCATGAAAAAGAAGGCACTCTTACCTTTTCGCCATTAGATCTGATGCAACGAACAAAGAATGGATTGGATTCGTCCAGAATTTCCATGAGTCTGTTTAATGAAAGCTGAAACGAAGCACAAAAGCTGAATACCGACACAATACTCTCTCACTTCCCGCGCAGAAGCCTATTCCCACCCTGAGTCTTGGGTTAAACGTAATCATTGATTTTTACACTAATTCATTTGCTCACTGCCTAATCAGCGAAGGTATTCAAAATCCCTCAAAATCACTTGCGATATTGAATAGAAGATCTCTACCTGAAACTGTGCTGTGACGGTGGGTGGATTCTTCAGACTTGCTTTTCTTTTTGCTGTTCCTCGGTACAGATAATCAAATGTCTTGATCGACATATCTTTCTTAGTCTCCAGACCTTTTCGTATTCGCTCGATATCCTAATAAGGCAGTACAAATTTTAAGGGCTGTTCTCACGTGCGATCTTATGTGCGATTGTCTTCCTTTGATAGATGTGAACGAGGAATAGGTTACGAATTATCTGGTGTGTACGAGTTTCTATTTGAACATCCGTAACTAATTCACTCGTTCGTATCTATCAAAAGAAGAAAAGGGCAAATAAAATCGCAGTAAGTGTAAACGGGCCTTTATGAATGTGGAAAAAATGTAATACAACAAATGAGAATTTCACTCGCCTGATCAGGTGAGGAGACGCTCTTCATTCGTTTCCTAGAAATATGAAGATGTGAGAAACTTGTACACCTTACACAAGAAACAAATTTATTTATAGTATATTTGATACGCTTATATTTATTTGTTTTTCCTTACCTCACCATCTTTGACGCTTTCCGTATCATTTTGGCCTTGTTGTCCATGTATTGTTCATCAATCACGGTCGTTCTATGAATAAAGATCACAAGATCACAGATTATTGACAGTAACAAAGAAACTTCCACATATTTAGGCAAGAGTTCGCTTTCCCACGCATATTTCTTTAAAACGATTCTTTCAGTGCATGGATAAGTACTTACTCAGCTACAATCTTTGGCGGCTAAAAAAACAAGATTATAAAATCATTTTTAGTCAAATCTACTATGCTATTATGATCTATCAATTTTATTTTAACCTACCTCTTTACGAACTTGTTGTTTGACTTTTCTATCTTGGTTATCTAAGAGAGTGAAAAACATCAATGAAACAATCTTGCCAATGTGGGTGGATGCTTTTGGAAGATGCAACAATTGAGGTGTCCTGCATCCTGAGTGCTATGACGAAAGGCTCTTAGAAAGCTCTTAGAAAAATCTTAGATTGAGACGTCAAGATTTTCTTTATATTCCTCAAGTGGACTATCCTACTGATACAAATCAATAAATCGACATTCTACGATTTAATTCAACCGTCAGGGATATTTTTGAGCCCTTTTCTAGTCAATACTAAAGCTGCAAACGATTAATCATTCTGAACAACGAATCTTCGCACCATGAAGAAAAAGAAGCGAAAGTAACGTGTACTTCGTCGTCTTGATGATAAACACGAATGCTCGAGTAAAACTTGTCCACGACCGCACCCAGGAATCCGACTCACCTTGTCTGTACTTCTTTCCATACTTCTGAAAAGCCGCAACTGCTCGAAAGTAATTTCTAACAATTGCCCAGCGATAGATTGCCATTGGATCAGCCCCTGTGAAAACAAACGACAATCATCTCACCGCTTAAGACAAGGACAAAAGCTTTGATAATTTTTCAGTAAAAAACTTTAATGTTGTTTTTTAATACCTAGTAGTTCCCGAATAAACCTCATTTGGCTGTTCTTGAGAATGCTGACGATTTCAGGCCTCATTAAGTCTTTATTTTTTGCTCGGAAATCCTAAACGAATAAAAATCAATCATTAGGGAGGTCGGTTTGTATGTGAGAAAAGAAAAGCATTTTGAAGAATATGGATAAACGTTTTTCTGCCGACAGAGAGAAGGTAATTTCATGAAATTTGTTGATACCTTGATATCATAGTTAACTTTTCCAGCATAATGCGTGATGGTGAAGGTACTGGGCTCGATTAAACTGGTCTCAAAACAACTGTGTGAGAGGTGGTGACGTTGGAACTTCGCCAGTAACGTCGTGTCGCTTGCGACGTTTCCTGACAGACTATGAAGAGATGATAACGCGTTGAACAACACGTGTTCCTGGTCATGTACGAGTTGAGAAGTACTGATCCACAACTCACCCTGATTCTTCATCCAGTAATTGAAAGAGACCAGTTGGTTTGCCATGAATCAGTTCAAGACACGAGGAATTATCAATATAGTTGACGTCTGACCAACATATACCTTCCGCTTTGTAATCATCCTGGAAAATACAGAAATTGCAACAGTCACGCTTCATTTCATGACAAATATCTTACATCAGCAAAAGCAAGCATACGGTGACTGACGTTGATTCGAGCAAGTGCCCCTAAAACTCTTACTGTATGCCTTAATTGTCTGCTTCTCAATTTATCCAATCAAACTTGAAATTTCCATCCACTTTAACCTTCCACCTTGATATTAACCATACAAGATTCAAAGAAAACCACTTCATTGAAGCTGACCCACCTGTTCCATGCGGAAAATATGATGATTGAAATAGAACTGAAGCTTCTCATTGGCGTAATTGATACAGAATTGTTCGAAACCATTCTGTTCGAATACTTCGAAACCAAAGATATCCAGGACACCGATTGAGTTACCCTAGAAAACGACCACACAGAACTGGTTAAGTCTGTAAAAATTACACATACTGCTGAAAAGTTACAAATACTTCAGGAATGGGGGGGGGGTGCATTCCTTTCAACGGCTGAATCCGTAGTAAAGATATAATGGTTTTATTAGAATCGTTTTTCACAAAGCGTAGGTGAAAACCTAGAGGAGATATCAAGTGTACCTTCATTTCCTTTTTCTCTGCATGTCGCATCGCCAACGTGTGGTTGACCTTGAAAGAAAGTGCTCGCTTAATTATGTGAACGAATTGTGGTATGGTAATCATTTGCTGTGTTAATGATGATTTGCATCATACCTGGAGGACAATCCAGTCAAATAAAGCACCATACAACGCTTTAGCCAGAGCATCTCTCGTGTCAACAGCCTGCAAAGGAATGCGTATTACAGATTACAAGTTACGACACAAACTTCTAGTTTTAATAGAGTTCGTGCAGGATAAAATCACATACTTCTTCTAGTTTATACGACATAACAATCTGCTCCGTTCTTGTTTTCTTTTTCCTTGAAGTTAGGACTGAGATAAACTTTTCTTTCTTCAGCTAAAAAGATGGCGAGTATTAACATGCATCGTAAGCCAACTAAACTATGAACAGCTGGAAAAGCCGTACCATGAGAAGATTTGAAATGATGCTAACAACTCCATCTCCACCGTCTTTGTCTTTCAACGTCACGACGTCATCGTAACTGTGTTTCTAGATTAGATAAACACCTTTAGTTTTTACCTCGGTTTCCACGATTTCTAAGAAACCCTCGTGTAGTTATATTTAATTTATGATACTTAAATCTTCACCCACCTTAACAAATTCAACATTTCCCATCCATAAAACCGCAGACAACACTCTGAATATTCTAAAAACAAAACATTTTACCAGTTATACACCCAAAGATCATCTCGCGCTCATATTAAATCCATCCTGCAGTATTTAATTCATTATATTTTCGGCTATTCTTTATGAAACTACGAAGAACGTTTCATTCTTACTTTCTTTGTATGTCGCTAGAAAATCCAACCATGTCCATGGCTTTTTTCAGCCTCAGAAACTCGTAGGCTTCGTCCACTCCATCCAGGTCAAAACAATTTGTCTTAAAAGAGGAAAATTGCATATTCACAAAAGAGAACAAGGAATGCACCATGACTACTTTACATACGGGTTGAACAAGACTCAGTAAGCACTCACAAACCTTATTCAAATAAGAATAATCTTCTGGTTTCTCCAAATGAAATTCCTGTGCTTCAACTTCATTGGCTCCAGCCAAAAGATAATAAAACACATGGTAATTTCTACAAATGAAAGTATATAAAGTTATCCTCACTGGGCCTTAGAACTGCATACAGCCATTCAGCATAAATATTGTTTAGGTATCCTTATATAGTACCACATACTAGATCAGTAAATGATTATATTTGTTCACAGGTACATTTCAAGTTTAACTCATACTAACCTTTCTCCAAGCGCTTGAGCTACAATTCTTGACTTCTCAAGAAGATATTTTCTTAAAATTGCTCTGCAATTTTTAAAACAAGACATAAAAAGACTTAAGACTGATGCAAGACTTAAAGAACTTCACATACTGCCATTTATAATGCATCTATTGACAAATTATTTTCAATAAATCTACTCACCCTGAAACTGTTCCATCTTCCCTGAATTTCACTTCAGTAAATTTACCAAATCTACTGGAATTATTGTTGCTGGCAGTTTTTGCATTTCCAAAAGCCTAAAAATGACGTACAAGAGATTGTGTAAGATAGACTTTGAGTGTCACAAGTAGTGTGGAAATATCACAGGTTATTCATGAATATCTATCCCCTTCACACACATTCTTGTTGAAGATGAGTGAGAATCAAGTAGACTTAAAATAAGAAATGATTTGAACAAGTTGGAGAGGTGAGGTAAATCTGCACTGAACATTTCAGAAATTCCCTCACAAATAATTAATATTCACAAGAATTCACAAAACGACTGTGTGATTCTGTTATGCCAGAGATGAAAATTAAAGTCATAAATCACTGCAGTTATTTATGTCAACAACTAGAAATTAGCTGATAGTATTCAAATTAAGCCATTAAAAGGCAGGTCTTTTATGTAGTTTAATTCATCTCCCTGCCTATTTGACTCATAATATGCAAACATGCTTGGCTACAAGTGTGAACTTGGATAGTGGACCTGTGGTTTATGTGAATTTACTGTTTATAGATGGACAATGTCCATTATAGTCGATTGAGTTTTACTCTGTTTCTATCAATGTGTGGAAAATACCCAATATAAACTATGCTCCACTTTATGCTCTCTGTGAAATAGTCCAACATACATAAAAGGATATTTCTGTACCGAGTCATACATATTATTAGACATTAATGTAAAAATATTTACATTCCTTGTTGAGCAAATATTTATCACTCTTCCAAGAGATAAGAACTCGCTACAAAAATCTCTGCTGAATTGATGATAACTTGTCAATGAAAACAGCCAACTGGTATATTATATTTTATAGATATTACTGCAATTTAAAACTCTTTATCAAGCTAGGAATTTATGTATGTCCTTGATAAATAAGATTTGCTTAAATATTCAAATTCAAAAAAATGATTATGCTGTCGACCATTTTCAACAGACTAATGCAAAGACAAGAATGTAAGAGTCTTAGAGAAAGAGACTATGGGACTCTTGCCAGATTCATTTCCTTTAGGTCATGCAGTTTGCTGATGATGACCATCATAAAAATCTTCCTTTAGGCTACTCTTATTGTATTCATACTGCACTGAAATATACATAACTTTCAAAGCAAGCAAAGTAGCCCTTGGATAAATGGATTTAAAGGAAAAATTAAGTATAAAGTAACCAGAAATACCTAACAGAAGCTAAGATAATTATCATCCCAAGAAACTTGATGCTGTCAATTATGTTTACATAAAACCCAACTTAAGTTGTATAAACATTGCATTTAAACTTGAACACACAACAACTGACTGCAACTTACAGTTTAAATGCCTTAAAAATCTAGTGTTATAAGCTCATGAAGTTATGAAGCAAATGAAGATATGAAATGGAAGAAGCATCATCAAATAATAGACTCATCTTGAATGCTAATGATGAAATCAACACGTGTAATCTGCGTGGAAGGCTTTTAAATGAAAACAGTTGAAATTTAAGATTCTGGTGCGCTATTGTGTGATTGTATGATCAGAGTCTAGTCGAGATTTAAAGTACAATAGATTTTGTGTGATATAGCTTATTTGTAAAACTAGAATTTGTGTTTTACATTTAGGTATTGTACAATTGTATTTATATGCTGTGAATGTGCCCTTGAGATGTTGCAAATTATAAAAGTATAAAAATGTTGCAATCATAGTCACGATTGTAAATCTGTTCGAAAAATGTTTCAAAATGTCATGCAATGTAGCAAATTATTCGCAAGCGTTCCAGAAAATATTCGTGCAAATTTTGAATGAATGTGGATGAAAAAATGGTGAAGTTTGAATGTATCAGAGAGAATGAGCCACCTTGTGACCGTAACAAATCAATATACTTGGCATAATTATAGCCATCAGGGGAATGTGACTTGTGATGAATTACGACCGGAACCAAACAGCGAGAACAACAAAGCTTACCTCTAACACAGGGCCTGCACCTAAAATAGTCTTTTCCACAGAGGTATTCTCAAATCCTGCTTTGTGACTTAGAGCAGTCAAATGATGCAAAAGTAATTTTGTACTCTCAGTCTTTCCGCTTCCACTTTCTCCAGAGATAACCACACATTGATCTTTACGTTCCTTCAACATATTTTGAAATGCCTCGTCTGCAATGGCAAATATATGCGGTTGTAGATCCCCAAGTCTTTTATTCTGATAAGCGTTAATATATTTCGGATTGTAAATCGGAAAGAACTTGTAAGGATTGACTGCAATAAGTATTTCCCCAACGTATGTGTAAATTTTTCCTCGTTCGAAACGCTGGAATAATTTCTCTAATAACGTTTGCTCGTTAAGATCAGGCAAACGACATAAATCATCATCATCAACATTGGAATAAGCGTCAAATTGGAGGCCTCCCATTCGAGTACGTACAGATTCATGGCAGTCCATCCAACTGTATGTTAAACGATTCGAGCTTTTTCCCATTTGTCTTTCACGTAGAAACAAACGAAATGTGTTGCCAATACTGCCCATTCTACGCCAGGATTGTGTGACCTTCACTGGATTGTCACTGAAGGACAACACACGTTCTGTGGTCTGAACTTGATAAACTCTCTCATCTTCATCGGAATCCTCGTCTTGTTGTGAAGCTGGACCGTGTGCAGACTCATCGTCGTGCACACACACTTCAACCAACTCATATTTCTCTGGTGGTTCTTGAATTTCCAGTTCAACCAATACCAATTTTAACACCTTTCGCGTCGTAACAAATTCAGGGACTTTCAGTTCGACTGATTGCAAGCCAGGGACTATATGCCCCGGGAATACCCTCAGAGGTACAAATGTCTGTGAATTCGACATGAATATTTTGGTTACTCAACAAAAACCACGCATAGATCTCTACTCAAATGCTTTGGGCTAGTCGACAGTCTTGAATGTTGAAGCCCAAGATTGCTAAACTTTAATTCCAAAGTTGTGTGTTCCTTTAGCAGAGTTCTGCATAAACTTTCCATACTTTCACACCGGACCAAAATAAACAATCAAAAATAGCGAAAAATAATACATCCATGTAATTGGTGTTTTAGCGGTAGTTCACAGCATCCTAAATGTAAAAGAAAAGCGTTAAATTTCAAAGTAGTGTCGCGATGATTTAGGTAGTGAGTTTATTTCCTGCAAGTCACAATTTTCCCCCCGACTAAAGACAAATAACAATTAAGAATACTTATTGATTAGAGAAGAAAACATCTAATACAGGGCTACGCAAAATATTTCATTATAATACAAAGGGGCTGGCCTTGGCAATGAATACAGAAATATAATGTATATTTGTTTGCCATAAATACAACAAACCTTTGGAAATTAACCTCAAGACGGTCATGTCTCGACTTACTTGTATGACAAGATATATCGTTAGATTTTTACATAAAAATCTCATCAAACATTATACTTTATAAAGCGAGCTATACAAGCCTCAATATAAAATGATACGCGAAGTTACTAAGACGTATAATGGCCACACAAACGTGAAGAAAAACACCAAAGAAAGTCAGGTTTTCGTAGATTTTTAGGCGTTGTATATAAAAGCTTCTTCTATTGATGAATTATTCAGCCTGTGATCAACGATGTCCACACAATTAGTCTTATAATGTACAACAAAATACGGTATATAAATTAAGATTTGCCATGAAGAATACAACTTAAGGTAAACTAGTCTATAATGTTAAGATGTCTGGAATATTTGATATATAGTGAGCAATTATAAGTGTGTTGCTTCCTTACTTCCAACAACACTTCAGAAAATGTCAGAGGAATATCCATCAACAATTTGCAGCTAAATTATCGTCACATTTCGACTTATCAAAATCAAATAGCGAGACTAGTCTTGTTCAGATATCTAGATATATACTTCAATAATTTTTTGGCTCAATATGACACTCATCAGACTATCAAGACTAAAGGTATTTCAGACATGCCCCTTATGACGGCTCTATATTCCGCTCGAGTATAGAATCGCTTGGTTCAATACAATACCGTTTTTAAGTTCGTAATTCACTCCTAAATGCCCCAACCATGGTCGTAGGTGATAGACAGGTATCCCTTCTTGACGTTGGTTTTAAATAAACAACACCAATGGTTTGAAAAGCGAGTATAAGCCTTGCAACAGCGAATAAAACGAAACGCTAAAATCGTGAGAGTCTTGGTGAAACCGACTGGTTCCTTCCGGCCTGTGACGACGGCCACTCGCGAAGTGAACCCGTCACGCGCGGCGCACCTCGTGTTTGTCGCGAGGAAATAGTTTTAAGTGCGATTAGAACGGAATTTATTCTAATCCCACACAAACCATCAAAATCACGTCCCAGAAAGTAGTTTCGTAGTAGTTTCTATAAATTGTTTCAACTTTCAAGGCTTCGTTTTCTCAGCTTTGTTTTACAGAGTTTTTACTTTCTCTGAATGTTGTAATGCCTGAGCAATTACAGAGGTAAAACATCAAAGTGAATGCTTTTGCTGTTAAGAATACGCTCAGAAGACTAATAAATGCTGACGGTTCTCAGGAGAAATACTTTCATTTCCTTCTAAATGTAAAATGTTGCCAAGCACAATCTTTAGAATCTTAATCCTCAGAAAAATTTAAAAAACGCACGGACCATCATTGACTATTGTCAAAACAGTCTAGTTCGATCAGAAATACCCCATCACATAGCATTTAAAGTTGGTGCAATCCTATTCTCTCTATATTTACAAGCATGCATCAAAGTTTATAATTTTCCCAAGGCTACAGTATTATTCATATCTTGTTGGTAAAGTTGAAAAGAGGACTGAAAGTACGTTGAAAGCACGGTATTAGATAGCGGTACCACGCTCCAAATTCTGTCTGATCTCTCCTGTATACTGATCGTAAAAACGGGATAATTTCTTGTTGAAATTCATGTTTCTTTCGTTGATAAAACTTATGTCTGCTTCGTCACAATGAGCACGGCGACGGCTGTATTTTGAGCGTTTCTCAATCCTTGGGAAAAAACAAATTTCGTTAAAACCAAACTACAAACTCGACGTCCAATTACTCTCACTGAAATTCCACAAACTCACTGTTTCTCAAGATCAGCAACCATGCGATCAACACCTTCTTTGGAAACCTTCCCATCTCCTCCATAACTGATATTATTTGCTGTTGGGTACATCTGATCTCCACTGAAGTTATGATTAGAAATGTACACATATTTACACCCTGTCACCTCAAAATGAAGACACTTTGTTTGCGGTATTACCAGCTTGATAAGTGGGGATTGGGGATTTTGGGAGCATATTCATAAATTCATGTTCAATGACCAAAATCATTTTGTAAAGAAATTAACAAAGAAGAACACAAATACATAAGCACCTCGCTACCCTACTTTCTAAGCTCACCACAAACCACTGGAAATTGTAAGTGTTTATCATGTACGTATGTCGGACCTACTCACAGCTGTTCCTTTTTCGCTTCATATTCAGCAAGATCTGGTTTCATTTGTTTCACAAGACGTGAATATTGTCTTTCCTGGGCAGCAGCATAATCTATTTGTTGAAATGAATGGAAGATTGCATCATTTACATATTAATCCATATATAATATTACTGTGAGGATGAACATGTGTAATGTGTATGACCAGGGGGGGGGTGGATCCAGCAGTTTGGCTGACTGATAGGATATTTTGAACTACACTGCAACACCTCTAGGCGAATATACTGTAGTCTGATATATTCAACATTTTTTATTACCAAGGTTGAATATTTCATATCCCAGTATATTCAACTCTACTAAGGTTGATTCAAACCTTATTAATATTGTGAGGGTGCTACTCTGAGTTACCAATCAGACAAGTTAGATTCCCACCAAATTTACGTGAGTTTGCCTGGTAGATAACTCAGCGTAGAAGGATCACAATATGTCAGAAGGATGTTAATAAACCAACCTGAGAAACCAACATCAGCATTCTTTTTTCTTTTTCTTCTCTTGTCAAGTTTCTCAGCATCATCTGCCGTCACTTCAAGCAGTTTAACACGATCATAATCTTCACCTCTGGCTTCGGCTTCCTGATAGAGATTTCAAGCAAGGATTGAACATTGAACAACATTATGATGTATTTGGACCACAACCTATGAAAGTCTCGACTGTTTAATTTCGTATTAATTTTTAACCATTCAAACTAACCGCTCTGGCTTTATGGTCTTGCAGTTCCCAATCAACTCTCTTTTGTTTTGCCTCCCAGTTTGCTGGCAGTTTCTTTCTTCTATCTTCTTCAACCACCTCTTGATAGTTCATTTTTCTAGCCTCATTCTACAGGAAATGACAACGTCTTTAACATAGTTCACAATGAAAGTTATGAAACTACAGTCGCCGCTATCAAATTTTCTATTTTATACAAACACATACGCAAAACAATTTACCCTTCTCAAATGAAGTTCTTTCAGCTTTCGTAAGCGCTCTTCGCGTTTATTAACCCCAGTAGAAGACGTTTCGTTTGCTTGTGACGATGAACCACTAGCTTCATCATCTTCCTTCACTTCTGATGAATTTATCTCACTATTTTTTGTCGATACAGTCTCATTAACATCCTAGAAATAATACACAATCACTGTAGCAACAAAAAAGTATAAACATAACCTGAACAAATCATTACAATGATACTTTTGAACGATATTAAAAGAGAAAAGAAATTTCGTACCTTCTCCTCGGAAGCCATTTTGTTATTGCAGTACCAGTCCCAAATATTGAGCTCGAAAAACACGACTCTGGAGAATTATCAAGAGCCCGGCTGCCGGGCCCCCGACGTTTAGGAAAAGCCGCTAAAGGGGCTAAAAGAGATGTATTAGATAATCTCGTTTTTTATCGTCGCTTGATGATAGAGCTGATACGACTAAAAGCCTTTTCTCGAGTCTAAAATCGTCTAAAATCGTTTGGGATTTTGTGAGATAACAATGAATGATTGTCATGCATTTTGGGACGCTGGAGAACGCGCGAGTGCATTGTTCCATAACTAGATCTGGGAAAGAATGACAAATTCCAGAAACGTTATCTATTGCGTGACAGAAAGTGGTAAAAATGATAAAAAAATCTCTGCACTTTTGATTATCGCGAAGCTTATTTGCTTTAAAAAATCTTCTTATGACGTTGAGTTTGACGTGTAAACTTAGGCAATGGAAGAGTTGCATTCCTTTGTTAGTTAAACGTTGAATCTCTTTAACTTTTTTGCATTCCTTTACTGTGTTTTTTATTTATTTGTACATATAGTACAGGAAAGATTCGTGTCCGTGAGATACCCCTTACGGTCAATCTGCGTACGACTGAGAGAGCTTTATTGGTCGTGTCTTAATGGACTCAAAAACATGTCCGAAATCATTTGGCTTCCTGCCGTTCATTCTCAAAAGCTCAATCGCTATCCTAGGATATAAGCTGCTGAAAACAATGAACCAATTAGTCAGGCGAAAATTCTTTACAAAACACTTAACAGGGGTCAATGAGAAATAGTTTAATATCATTATCATTAAAATACCTCATATTTATCTGCCTTTTTGTGTATGAACCGAGTTGTTATCTTAAATAGCTCTGGTGCTTAAGGTGCTTGTAACTGTTTATGAAAAGATATTTATGTTCTCAAGAGGTGTAAAATGCTCGTAAGATCTTTGAGGATTAAGTAATGCTTCCTTTAATGAATCTAGCTGATACTCCAATTCAAAATGGCAGGATGGAATGTCTTAGCCAAATGTTATCGAAAAGTGAAGGATTTGGAATGAGTGGAAACAAGGTATGTTGTTTTTTAGCATTGAGCAGAGTCCTAAAATCTTCTGTATCAAAGGTTCATGATACGAAGATGTGAAGGTTTAACTAAGAATTTAAAGATGAGCTCTTTGCAATTATGTTTCGTCCAGGACTGGTTTGATTCCGGAGAGAAGACAATAAGTGAAATATGTCAATATGGGCTACTTGATGATATCAAGAAATTTCACGAAGAAGATGAACACTTACTAAAAGAACCTGATGAAATTGGATGGACGGCTTTGCATTACGCTAGTCGATATAATCAACGTGAGATTATAGAGTTTCTTGTCAAAACAAGTAATGCTGACGTAAACACAGTCACAGATGACGATGTCACACCATTGCATTTAGCAGTAAGGTAAGTGGAGAGTTTCGGATGAATAAAGCCTCAGGCAGGTCGAGTTTGATCTGACTTTTAACCCTGCTTTTAACTATACATAAACCCTTTTTAACATTGATCTTCAATTGTCTACTGGACCGTGGGAATTTTTTTATCCAAATTTAGCCACAACTGTCACGAGGCGGTACGTTGTCTCCTTGACAACGGTGCTGACGCAAGCATGAAGAACAACAACGGAGAAAGCGCGATACACTTAGTTGGTAAACGGGGTGACAAAGAATTGATCACGTTGTTGCTAAGTGATCATCAGACTGATCTACAATGTCTGGACAAGAATCACCGTACAGCGCTGCACCACGCATGTTTCCATGGAAACACGATCACGTGTGAAACATTGCTAAACCAGGGCGCGGAACTGGAAGCACAGACAATCGAAGGACTGACACCACTTCATGTTGCTATCATCGGAGGACACGAGGAGATTGTTAAACTGCTGATCAAACGAGGTTCGTTGGCTGATCTGCGGCGTCCTCTGCCAAAAACTACAGGCTTCAGAATAGCCACGTTTGAATAGCCTAACAACTGTTTATTCTCTTTAGCAAAAGAACGCAATATTAAGGTAGAGAATTACGTGAATATCTCTGACAAGAATGGCACAAAGCCATTGCATCTGTGTGCAAGAGGCGGTCTCCTTAAAATCATGGAGGTTTTATTGCGTCACGATGCTGACGTCAACGCACAAAGGATCCTGTCAGGGAGAGGGTACTCGGCATTACATCTTGCTGCTGCTGGAGGTGATCTTAAGATGTGTCGAATATTGTTGAACTATAATGCTGAATTGGATATCAGGGATTATGATGGATGTACACCGTTGCATAGGTACAATGCCATACAATTTATTGTACTTGTACACTTACGCAGTAGCAAAGGAAAGCTTTGAAAACAAGTTGACTATTCTTCATTTCCTCTTACAGAGCAGCTGCAAGGAACCACGAGCCCATAGTGACGTTTCTGTTGAGTAAAGGAGCTGCGTTAACCCTCATTGATAAAAACGGAATCACATGCTTCCTTCACGCTGTTCAAGAAGGCTACACTTTGTTGGCTGAATTGATTTTAAAACGAGATCAAAGTCAGATCTACCAACGTACGAAGAAATCACGTTGTTGTGTTCATCTGGCGGTGATCAGCAGACACAAACCATTGCTCATGATGCTGTTAAGAAACGGAGGTTCAAAATACACCAACGCAATTGACTATAACAACAGGACTCCGCTTCACTATGCTGCTGCTCTAGGAGATTCTGAGGTATGGATTTCATAAAGGTTAAGCCAATTTGACAAAGATCTCCTATTGTCCCAGTTATCCATATGTTCCACGTTTAGGTCATCCGTATCCTTCTGCAACACGGCAGTAATCCTGATACACTTGACATTCATTCCCAAACTCCTCTCCATCTTGCGTGCAAGGCTGACAACCTGAAATGTGTCAAGATGATCCTGGACCAATCGATGATCAGTTTAAATATCGTCGATGATACGGGGAATACAGCTCTTCATAATGCTTGCAAATGTGGAAACACGTAAGTCCTATCTTTCAAATAAGAAAACTCTTTTGAACTGCAGTATTTTCACTAGCAATCTCCACCAGTTACCTTGATTAAAACTATAAGAGTTTCCTCTGCAGTAAGACACGCACAGACTCTAGCTTATGCTGTTACACCTTTCTCTGCAGACTCGTCACAAGCTATCTTCTTAAACAAGGGGCAGATGTCTCTTTCGCAAATGTAAACGGTGACACAGCCTTGCATTGCGCTGTAAGATCAGGCTGTCTCGGAGTCTGTGCCTCGTTGTTGGACTACTGCGCATCATGCGACACTGTCAATGGAGATAGAGAGACATCACTACACGAGGCAGCAAAAGGGGATAATGCAGATATCGTGGTGTTGTTGCTGGATAAGAAAGCTAATGCAACAGTGAAAAACAAACGAGAGAAAACATTCTTAGATCTTGCTATTGATAATGCACACGATGAGGTGCTAGAAGCCATCATGAATCATCACAGGTAAAAGTTTTTATCTTCAGTATCACATGTAATGAAAATGATTTTCACTAAAAACAACTGCCAGGTTCATTGGTGTAATAAAAAACCATAAACTGACCACATACCAAAATACTTCTATTCTCTTAACTAGTGTAACCAAAAGCCAAGATATTTCCAAAAGAACCGAAACCATTTCAAAGATTCTCCACGCTCATCCAAGTGTTGCAATCGCCCTTCTTGACAGAGGCATCACACTCTCAGAACACAGCCACAGCGATATAGAATTTCAAATCAGCTACGATTTCCGAGACCTTGATCCAGGCCCACGCGCGGGACAGCGAAGATTCGCCACACTGAAGTCGCTAGTCAAAGATCGTCAGGAGAAAATTCTCTCTCATCCGCTGGTCAGGAAGATGTTGTCGCACAAATGGAACAAATTCGGTCGTAACATTTATCTTGTTGGTTTGTTAACATTTATTGTATTTCATTTCTGTCTGTGTTATCTTACGATTACCGAGCGACAATACGCGATGTTTCACGACAACACCACGAAATATGCTGAAGATGTGGCGTCGCATAAAGATCGGAGTATCGGTTTGATCACGTTTCTTTTCATCATGGCAATGCTCTTTATTCTTAAAGAGATCTTTCAGATGTTCTTGCGCGGTTTAAGGGATATTGATATCCGTCTGCTCATTAGCTTGCATTGCGCTCTAAAGAAGCGCACTTAAAATTTAGCACGCACTATTCCAAAAATAGCAAATTTCTTACCATACCTACTAATGACATGAAATACGAAGAATTAACATAAATTCCGAACATCGAATTTACGAAAGCCTGCTTGGTGATATCCCCTTACACTGTAGAATACAAACACAATCGGGCCATTTTACTTTTGAGTGAGATTTGCGTTCTTTTCTTAGGTACTTTACAAACTACGAGAACTTGGTGGAACTTGCGTATTACTTCCTAACCATGCTTTTCATCACACCCTATATCTACATTCAATCAGACACGAAGAATGATATTCCTGACATTGTCATAAGTGGTCAGAACTGGGTGTTCGGTATTTTGGCTGTCTTTTTGGGATGGCTTGACTTTGTTCTTTATCTTCGCAGTTATATGTTTCCAACGCTAGGACTTTACATCACAATGTTCTTTGAGATTCTAAAGACATTCACTCGGATTTTTTCGGTCATATTCTTGTTCCTCCTGGGATACGCCTGTGTGTTTTACATCATCTTTCCAAAGCAGGTAAAAAAAGTTTGTTTACATGCACAATCCTTCATTTTAAACTACTAAATTTAACGACTTCATAGCTGTTCAGTTGTTGGAGTTTTTACAACAATGTGGTCATTTCTTGAAAGAGAGGAATGAGATGAAATTATAATCAAACAATTGGACTTTGCAGAGCACCAGTCACCACTTTCATGATAAAGGCCTAAGTTCATAGTTCTAACATTCTGCTTGCATTCCTCTTTCATAGGAGACCTTCTCGAATGTTGGCATAGCTCTAATCACGAGCACTGTGATGATGATTGGTGAGATTGGATACAGGGAGACCTTAATTGATACATCTGGCAGCACTTTGCTACCATTTCCTGTATTAAGTTTCACCGTCTTCACCATCTTTGTCATTACCATGGCAATATTACTAGCTAACCTCTTGGTAAGTAGTATTCAAATGGTGCCTGTAATCAATGTTGGCACTGGTGAAGGTATTAAAAGAATCATATTGTGCTGTAGTCCCTTAGTTTCGTATTTCTGATACTAAAGAAAGCCTGAAAGTGATATTTAAGTCAAAGTAGTTTTCTAGACCAATTGGAAAGGTCCATTCATACAATGATTACAATCTAACCTTCATGAACTTAATGAATCTTTGCCTTTAGATTGGTCTGGCTGTCGGAGATATTGACGGGGTGCAGAGTAACGCAAATATGAGTTTAATAGCGATGTTAGTAGATTATGTGACAGAGATTGAAGAGAAATTACCAATGTTCATCCAGAAACGACTGTACAAGTCACGACTGGTGGAGAGACCTAACGTACCTTTACCAAGGTAAGTGTAAAACGTTTGCATTAACACAGAGGAAGGCATGTTGGATTTTAGCCAAGATTTTATGACTTAGATCAGGAGAAAGTGTGTTTACACAGTAAAAATCTAGTCTAAAGCTAGATCTAGCTTGTAGAGAAAGATTATGTAACACAAGTATAAAAGCTTTCTCTCTGAAATTCATGATATGTAAACCTATAGAGATTGTCATCTTTTTCTTCAGGAAAGTTAGTTTTCTCAAGAGATTGTTGTGGGAGCTCACAGGTGACCCAGGCTGTCAATCCGAACACGCAGTTCACGAGTTATTAAGAAATCGTTTCCATAAAGCCAAGTTTGAAGATTCCCAAAAGATCTCTCGTATTGAAGCGAAACTGCATGAACAACAGCGCACCATTAAACAACTCAAGAAGTTGGCGCAGTCTCAGACGAAGCTATTACAAGGCCTGACAGCGAACCTCGGTTTGGAGCAAGAGCAAAGCCCGACGATTATCGATGGACTGAGTACAGAATATGGATACCGCAGTAGATACACATGGCTGCACTGAACTTCAATACCTTTCTTATAACGCGAAGAATATTGATGTTACACAAAGTTTAATTAGCTTCACGATACTAACGAGTGTAATGACAGACTTTTCACACTCCGCCTCATTATGAGAAATTTCCATTAAGATTGAATGGACAAATGTTGAATAATGACAGAGCAATGTGCTAGCTACAAAAAGTTAATCACGAATCACTGATCCCTGGTTTTACGATCAGACAAAACATCATCTTTGATTAGCAAAAACATTGACGTAATGAAACAGACAAATTATAAACCAACTCTAATATGTACACAAAGATAAAAGCGTTATCGTCCATTTTATGTTTCCTTATCACATCTATAACCCATGGTTCACACGTTGAATGTTTTGAGGAATAACTTTAACGCTAATGATAGCAATTATGACAAGAGACAATTTAGATATGTATAAATATATCTGAAGATAATCAATAATTCATACAGCACGTTTCCTCATCTGTCGTGAAGTATTTACCTAAACGAAAATCACTTTCTTGCAGGTGCCCGTTGCTAGCGAAGATTTCATACGAACTTCAACCAAAATTGTTGCCATAGGGATTTATCTATGGATCTACGTTAAACAAAGTGTTTTCTTCCATTCTCGACAAAAATGAGCTGCGTTTTCTGTCTGCCAGCCTAAATTAATCCGCTAACGTTAATGAAAGGCATTTTCAAAGTAAATAAGTTGAAATCAATTAAACATTCAGAGTTGATGACTAGTTTGCCGTGTATAAACTATTTCCACAGTTCAAATATCATAAAATTCGGAGTCAGAGATAAAACAACGGATATTCCTCTCCATCAACTAAGACTACTGTAGTTACTACACTAAATGATGACTTTTAGTGAAAAAAAATCGTAAAACAAATAAGTGGATTTATGCAAAATGGAAAGAAAAACACGACACTTAATCATTTTTAAATTTTCGCTAAAATATATCCTGACAACATCTTCGTCACGCTGTTAAGTTTTATTTAAAAGATTTATCAATTGATATGAAATATTTCTTAGGAAATCTTAGGATCAAAACTGTCACATTCTCTCTCTCATCAAACTCATTAAAATTTCAATGGAATGTTTAGGCCAAAGCTTCAAAGTATTTGATTGGTCTAGGGCATATTTCGTGTTGGGTATTCTGACCACAAAAGTAGATATTTTTCTGTTACAACGAATAAGAAGAGCCGTTTTAGCTGCGTAGCTCATCCACAAAGCTTGCGGTCAAGGAACCGATGGTAAATTTTTAAATACCTAGCGACAAGCTGACGACGCGGTTGCTATGGGAACACGAGGTTACTGTGTTGTATGTGTGCCTGTGGACTTATATAAGCAGAAGCAGTTGAACGCCGGTAGCTTAGATTCGAGAGTCAGAACGAGCAATAAAGATCTTGAGATAAAAAGAAGTAAGATAATTTCTGCTTAGATAGATTTTACTTCATCATGACTACAACATATATGGTATCGTCGAAGTTCAACCCGGGCGAGTGGCATTCGTCGAACGAGACGCACTATATGAACGCCTTTAGAGAGGTCGAAAATGGAAAGAGCCTTCGTGATGCGAGCAACAAACTGGCGAAAAACCTGGCGTACGATGCTAGCAAGATGCAGAAACATGTCCGCGAAAAAATCGGAACCCGCATCAAAGACGTCGCCTCGTGGAAGGCAGAGGTCGAGAAAGAAAGATCTTGTGTGATCTCTGAGATGGAAGCCTTGTTACAATGTAAGGCGATGCTCGAGAAAGCCCTGGCCGCGACGCAACACCCTCTCACTGTGCCAAAGAAGTGCCTCGCGTATAGAACCAACCGCGCTGGAATCGATCTGGTCAAAGATACCGTCGAGAAACAACTGTTTAAGGTAATTTATGCTCTGACATAGCGACATGATGTTTGTATAGTACACACTTTACTTGATCTATATTGGAGTATATAAGCTAATATAACCCGATATTAAACAGAACAATTAGTTATGATCCCATCTTATTACTCTTTCACATCGCAAAGGCAGTATATAGAGCGTAGTCAAATCAATGAAACCATAAATTTTGCAATACAGTATCATTAGGGTATTTAAATATTTCTAATGGCTCAGATAACAAACGAACTATATATTATAATTTGTCGCAAGAATAAAAGCGACAAAATTTACATCTCAAAAGACAAAACTTATGTTTTCTAATGCAATGCGCTCAACAGCTCACGTCCTAAAAGATTATTATTGTACATTAAGAAACACTACAATTTGTGTTTTATTCAGTGATAACCAAAATATTGCAGGTCACGAACAAACTTATCGGGGCAGACATCAAATTGGAACAATTTTTCTATTGATTATAATATCCTAGAGACGTTTAAGAAGACTCGCGCAAGTTATTATATTCTATAACTTATTCATTAAGTAATTTCTTGCACGTATTTGTTCATTGGTCTGCGTTTATTAATCCCGTCCCGAGACAATCAGGCAAGACAAATTACTGGGTCGTTTTCTTTTGATTTATAATCTATCAACCTTTTGTTGTGTTAAAGCACGTGAAACGGTCGTCGTGCATGGTTGCTAACGACACAACGTATCCTTAGCAACCATAAGAGGTAAATTTCGGATAGCGGAACATTGTACCTAATGACAGGTGAAATGAAAACCGCAGAAACTATAATCGGGAACTTATTGTAAAATTTTGCATGGCGGTTTTTTCGCTTTTAAATAGAATTGCATAGAGAAACAGTGTTTTTGGGCATACTTATGAAACATCTGTCAATTTTTTTTAATACTGAAAACCCGTTTGTGTCTATATATTCTAAGGTCTTTTAATGAACTTTACGCTAGGGCACTCCGGCAGGTGCAAAGGATTGTATGTTTTCATGGGCAAATAAAAACCTTTTAACAAACTCTATTTCACCCCGGTGGGACTTGACAGATGAGGAGTTTTTAAGCTCTTTTATGAGTATTTCAGTTCCTTTTTGAGTATAATTCAACATGAAGAATATAGGACGTGTTTTTTATTCATTACTTTAGGAAGTTCAACTGATCGAAGCGACTCAAGCAGCTCTCAAAAGAACATTGGATCAGGTTATTGATCAATATAGGTAAGTTAAGTAAAAACTGCTTAGTCCGCAGGTGTTCGTGTTGCGTGTCCTTTGTAGGAAAAAAAAAACAATTTAGCGGCGAAACACTGTGGATCGTGATGTTAAGTCATCGTCCCCAGTTTCCATTTAGTCGTAATTGCCGTGGACATGTCAGGGTGGTTGATGTATTAGAATATTGCTACGTGAGTGCAGTCAACGCGAATGCATGACTAATTTGAATGCAGATAATACTGAAAGACAAAATTTTCATTTCGACTAATATACATCGGTGAAAATGACTTGCAGGTTATGCACGTTTATTGCGCGGATGATAAGGGAATAAGGAGAATGAATGGATTATGATAGAATTGAATGAAATAAAAAATAATTGCATGAAAGAGCCGGGATGGAAATTGAAAATTGATGTAAAATTGATTTGAAAAAAGGCATAGAAAAAGAATTAATATTGAATGTGCGCGGAATAAAATTTGGACATATATCAGTCCGGTTTACCCCGTGCACAGATAGGACAAATGCGAATATGTTTGTGGCAACAATCAGACTGCGACCGTGGCAATGTTTGCAAAAGTTAAAATCCAACACAAGCACGCTTTTTGTCTCCTAATGCTCTTATTTCTGTTTCCCGACAACAGGAGATTAGAATCGGTGAAGAAACGTCTGGATAAGGATAGTCTGGACAAACATTCTGCTCTGAAAATTGACAATTACTGTCATGGTTTGAACAATTATTCCTCAGGATTGGGTTATCACAAATTTGCCGTGGAGATGGATCCGAAGTAAGTTGATTATAGTCACCATGGTAACTACGTAAAGATAGTAGGTAGCCTGCGGACAGGTGGTACGTCTTCCCGCCGCGCATCTTTTTACCGGCGTAAAGTATGATGAGAAAAAGAGGAAGAAGCGAAATGGTTACTTTTGCGTTTAAAGGTTAATTTGTGGTGTTAATAGTTCAGAAGATGACATACATTTGATGTGCCACTATATCCGCCTTTTTTACGTGCATTTTCTCCTAATGATTAAAATTTTTTCTCCACTTACCCAAGGTTAATAACATCTTCCTCTTTTCCTTCATAGATTCACCACTTTGCCAGAATGGGAGAATTTCTCTTATGATAACATCACGCGGGCTCGCTGGGAGAGGAAGATGTCGGAGAACCTGCGGAAGAAAGTGAATGAGCTGCTGGTGAGAACCATGAACGAACTCAAGGAAATGTATGATTCTGTCAATCTCTCGATGAACAGACGTGTGATGGAAACCAGCGAGGCCAAGAAGAGCCTTCAAAATCACTTGAAGAGGGTAAGTGTAAAGAATGAATATTACAAGGGTTTCAAAGAAAATGAAATGAAAAATAAGAGACCTTTATTTAAGATATCTAAAATTTTAATGATTTAATCTCTACGTAGTGTGAAAGAGCAGTTTTTCAGCTTTTTAATGATACCATTTTTATCTCAGAACAGTAAGAAATGCTCGAAGAATTTCGAAATAAAAGTTTATGATCGAAATTCAACTTGTCTAATTGAATACAGAGCGTAGCAAATTTGCGCTAGTAAGAATGCCCATTCAATTCCCAGCGCCGGGTAGAGAAATGTGTTTTTCGACGTTCATGCATGTGTACTCAATATTATTCATCATTCTCGCAACTAATCTTTCATCAATTCTTCACCAGGTCATGGATGAAATGGCGAAAATGAAAGAGAATATCAACATGTTAAAGAAATCCATCTACGACAAGGAGAAGTACATGCAAGTCGCTCAGACTCGTCTCGAGAAGCGTGGATACAGACCAAATATGGAATTGTGTCGCGATATTCCTAAATTCCGATTGGTTGACGAAGTGCGCGAGCTCGAGGCAGCTCTCGATTCGCTAAAACGCCGACTCCAGGATGCAATCCGCGCCTACCAAGCTCTGGAGCAACAGAAATTAGCGCTTGAGCAAGATATTGCTGTGAAAACAACCACCTTGGAGATCGACCGCGATCTTTGCTATCGTATGCGTCAAGGAATGTCATGGCAACCGTTCTTGCTGAGCACAACCGCCAAGTTGAAAGATACCAGCTGCTGTCGTCAGGCAACACCGCCACGTCTTATGAGCCGAATTTCCAACCGACCAATCACATCCCGCTCTATAACCACGCCCATGTCGAGAGGGGGAAAACTAGAAGGCAGTATCCATCTCCATAGTCCAGCCCTTGACCTGACAAGCCCACCTCCTACCCGTGGAGGATTACGGAGCTCGCATCGTGTTATAACACCAATGTTTGGATAAACTGTTGTTGAGACCTTGTGATTCTGATGTCGAATAAATTATTACGATGGAGTGTAATTTGTAGAATAGTTATCCTAAATATTTAATGCCTCCAATATATGTGGTATTGAAAGGCAACTATTGCACGATTTCTATTTCAAAGATTGCAGTTCGAAAACAAATCGAAGCTAAAGTAAAATATACATGGTTGCCTTTTAATATCATTGGAAAGAACCATCAAATGTGGATGCATGATGTGAAACCGAATTTTTATTGGAAATTTTGTAGTATTATTGACTGTGTTGCATTGCAAACTTTTAATTGATTTTAATTTCTTTAATATCTAACTTATTTACATGTATAACCAATGATATTTAACATTTGCAATAATTATAGCACTCATGAAACACTGAACCTTTCTGCTGTGCAATTGTGACTTTCATTAACATGACAAGAATCACCCTTGAGTTCAAGTACCATAGACGCGACAATGAAGCACACCCACCCGCTGACAATTTCTATTTTAATAATATGACACGTGCCCCTCTAAAAACGCTACGTACCTATACACAGTTTTAGAGAGAACGCCGGATTTTTAAATGATATGGCTATCCATTGCAACTCAACCTTGAATTCAAGTACCACTAATGGTAAACGGTACAACAAACCACAAAAAAATCATGGCCTAGTTCACTTGCATTAGCATGCATTAGCACTCATCATTAACATGATAAGTACCACTTTAAGTGCTCCTCTAAATCCTATAAATGAACCCACCCTCCGCACACCAAAAAGTATCCTTGTATCCTCGGGTTCACCCCCCCCCCACCCACTATATACCATAAAGACTATCACCGAGTCTTATTTGAAGAATAAATTCAGCCTAAAACTAAAGACAGTTGTTCTACTCTAAGTGCTCTAGAACTAAATGGACGTAAAATGAACCTAGTTTCCCGGTGAAATGACTTGGTTTCACTATCCCCTGCCTACGAACTGACCAAAGACCATCGTGGGTTTCACTTGGGACAAATATTAACATGACAAGCACTAAACTTGAAATCAAGTGCTATTTCCCTAGTAATATAGTACCCTCATGGAATAACTTGGCTTTCACGCTCTCTTCATTAACGTGCAAAAGCCTATTTTACTGCATTAACATGACAAGTACTGTCTTCACAAATTTCCCACTTCAGAGTGGAGTGTCGTTGGCACGTGTCGCTTTCCTTCGTCGCTCATGCAGGAAATCAAGCACGTGGCTGGCAGAAAAGAACAGCTGGTGGCCCTCTGGTTCCTCTTATATCCTCTATATCGCATTGTTATGTTGTGAATGTTTTAGTAAACCTCGGAAACTATAATTGATAGCAGACAATCGCTAAGTATCTTCGAACAAACATAGATATGGATAGATTTTGTAGAAAGGTTTAATAATACAAGAATGTTTCTCTGTGGTTAGAGTTACGCTTGTTTGATGAATGATTTCCCCACTCATTATGACTATGGAAAATCACAGGTTTTCCAAAGTGCTCGAGCTCCGGCTATACTTGTGGTTCCCCTAACCCTAGAGCAGAATACGAAATAGATTTCATAGCGATTCTGCTCATTTACAGAAGAATAGTTTAGTAAAGATTGATCTAGCCTCTTCAAAACCCGTTTGGTTAAGCGTTCGTGCGATGATAGAGACTAGAACCTAATTGTGACGTCATCATGCAAGATGTGCACAAATCTAAAGTCAATGAGAAATATTCATTTGTGACCTGTTACCGTCAAACATTTTGTCTAATAATAATTGGCTGTAATAACGTGATAGCACTAAATTACCTAGTCAAATATTAATACCTCTACATATGAGATGTAATAAAAAGTGGGAAAAATAAAAAAACCCAAGGATTATATCAAACAACTTGAGTTTGTGACAAAGCAAACACGTATGTGTGTTCATAATCTTGGAACATAAAAAACGATATTCAGACACAGACTTTTTAGATCTTGACGATAGCACGCGGGATTGTTCCTCTCTCAAATTACGCACATGGCTTTCGTAATTTTCAAATTAACTCTGTACATAAACCCGAACCCCCTGTCATGTGTTGAAATATTTGCTTTGTCTCCTTATCAACTGGGCCGCTTACTTTTTGGACTGCCTAATTTCGTGGGCTTATTTTTTTTGTCCTTAATTAAATTCCCAAGCGAGGATTTTGTTTGCTAAGTTCAAGGTAGCCTCTCTTGTTTATTCCCAAGATACTAATCTACATATAGTCATATACATGCTTGTTATGGCTAGAAATATTGCATTTTCTGCAAGAGATTAACATATTTTATTATACAAAACACTCAGAAAAAAACCTCTGTGTGAGATCTAAACAATTGCTGCGAATTGTGACCTGTCTCTTTGTACCTTCCCGTCTTATTGCCGCGGAAAAACAAAGTAAGCGTTTAAAACAAACTGTCCAACTCTGAACACCTGAAACACAGTTCTCACTCAAGTGGTCCAGAGTGAATATCATTCCTTATTACCACAGGTACCCGAAAATTAAAATATCCACTAACTCGAATTGCACTGGATAGCTAGCTATATCATTTAAAAATCGTTTTCCAGTCTAAAATTGAACTTGTTATTGTTTCAGGAATGGTGTAAGCCTAAACTAACTCAATTTGAATCGGGAGCCACATTGACTATAGAGAACTCGAGGCTGAGGGGAAATCTTTTCAAAATTTGGAACATATCTTACAAGCACTTCTTATCAGCACGGCAGGCGATGATATCATCTTAATTTCATCGTGACATGCATAGTTTTCATACGTGTGCTTCTGTTTATTGCCGTGAGCGTTTAGGCTGGAATATTGTGTGCTCTTCTTAGCTCTCTACATGTGTTGTTTGCATAATTCATACCCCTTGTTGCGGTAAAATACAGTTTTATATAAAATATCACAGACTCCCTGGCAGCTCTGTAATTAGCGGGGACAATGAATGAGGGAAATTAAATTAAGAGAGCTGTAAAAAGACGCACCTCAAAGTCAAAATGGCGTACACACTAATATAATAGTTTTACAGCTACATTCAGGACAACTGCAGCTTGAATTCTTTCTTGTACTAAATGATCAAATTACAAATTCATTATGTATCTGTTGTGTGAACCTTTTGCATTATCCAGTATCAATCAAGCTGGATATTAATAATTTCATTATGGTAAATACATCGTGTTATCCTGTTTTATAAAAGCCAAAAATTGAGAAGAAAACATAAATTCAAGGAAGCGTCCAGCAAGAGGACTGGGCACAGCTCGTGAGACAACCGAGCAGAGGGCTGGTTCTAAAATTAGAACATAAACTTTTTTGTCTATTTGCATGTTCGTGCCTTTAAGGCGACGCAAGGCCAATATTTCGATAGTTTAGAAGCATTTTCGACGCGATACGAGCATAGATTGAATATACATCACACTTCTTTCGAAGCAGCTGGTGACGCTCTTTAAGAAACAAGCGATTCGTCATAAAGCCTCACTCAACTTTTTGTTGACAAAATAGCCTCATGCTGACAGCAATTGGTCGCTGGTAATCCTCTCTTCAGAGCAGATAATCCTCTAGTTTTGTTAGCAAGTATTGCCGTTAAGAAATTCATCCTTTTGCGATGGGGTGGACGCTTAAGGGGTTAATCAAGTGACTCGTGTTATAATTAGTTTTTTAACCCAGAATTTCAGGTAATCACCGAACACAACTCGGCGATTGGTTGCTGGTAATCCTTTCTTCAGAACAGATAATCCTCTAGTTTTGTTACCAAGTATTGCCGTTAAGAAATTCATCCTTTTGCGATGAGGTGAACGCTTAAGGGGTTACTCAAGTGACCTCGTGTTGTAAATTAGTTGTGTAAACCAGCATTTCAAGTCGGTGAATGTATCAAGTAGCTTATGCTGGTAAACTGTCTCTTCATCTTAAACACACAACAGAGTTCAAGCTGTTGGAATAAATAAACATCGTGGAAACCAAGTGTTTATTTTGCACGAATCGGAAGTCGATGATATATGCATGTATTTAGGGCGTGGGTTGACCAAAGCGTAATCTGTACAACCTATTTTCATTCAGATAGTTTGTCAAGAAGCGGTTAGTCCTATATATAGCCTCGTTTTGACAGGAGAAAATTCAGCAACAACCGACAGAATTGGATGCGAAAAAATAAGGAAAATTTATTGCTCTAAGATCAATAGTGGGCCAGCAACTACAGCTTATGACGAACAGTTGATAATAGTTCAAAAATGCAAAAGAAACTCTTGATTCTGCAGTAGATATAGTTTGATTGGTGTTCAATATTTTGGTCTGATGCATCTATGTTTTAAAGAACAATAATCCTATCCTACAACGTCTAAAATTCTTAAACAAGCAGTGTCAGTTTACCGACAAAAAAGTTCGAACAAACTGAAGACTAAAAGGATAGGTCACCAAAATCTCGCTACTTGACGACATGCAAAAAACAAACAAGTTTAATTTTACTTTGAAGTACAAAAGCTTCACATGCTGTTTCTGCTGGTGCTTACATGCCATGTTTTATAACTTTTTTATTTGAGAAACAATAAAAGTCAAAGCGTTGTAATGCTTATATTGATAATGACCGCCGTTGTTGTTGTGAATATATATATTTATTAGATTCAAGTATCAGAGAAATAGTTTTCTATAAGCCACCCTTGACAACAAACGGGACACCGGCAGCGGCTATTTTGGATAAGATACATGTGCCGAAACTCGTGACAAAAATATATTGGAAATGAGTCTTTGTTACTCTATATTTATTTCCATGAAACACAGGAATCAACTTCATAGCAAAATGTCCGCTGTTATCAGCTCGTATTTCGGCTGTTTGGCACAGATAATATTTAATCAAATGCACTTCAGGATATTTGACTTCAGAAATACGCCGGATGACATTATTTGAGTAAGCCCATGCATGCCGGCAATGTCTGTTAATCCTAGGATCCTAACGGTATTACGAAACACATCTAGATAACGTTTGGCATGGTATTACGAAAGAAAGTTGAACAATCAATGACTGAGCTCTTGGGGGTAGTCAAAAAAATCCCCCCAACTGATAAATTAGAAAATCCCGCGCGACAATATCACTTGATCAGGTAATATTTGTGAAATATCAAGACCTTTTCTATAGCATGCAGTATCTGAAGATATCTCTCCCGGCATCACACAGAGCGGTCTCCTAAAACGATTTATGAAAATATATTGATCGAGAAAATCCTCGTTAATGGCCGCAGTGTTAACTTTCTTGAAACTTCCTTGGCTTTGCATTTAGGTGGTTGTTTAAGTTGGAAAATAAACCAGTCGATAATGAGTGCAATATACACGTCTCAAGACGGAGTGGCTGCTTTTGAAAGCTGTCTATTCATTGAATCAACGAACGATGAAACGACGACGAATGTGACACGGTTCTGAAAAACAAAATGCTAATGTCCCCGCCTATATTCCACCACAGTCGCGTTGCATCGAACAACTTTGATGTGTGTAGAAACAGTATAATATCTGATAATATCCAGTGTGGATCGCACATGCAGGAAACTCCCCCATGCACCCCCTTTCCTGGGCACTAGTTTCAAAAACTGCATGGACTACACAATCCTCGCATATCTATCACCCATTCCTAGTGCATAGCATGAAATGAATTTCGACACAAAGAATCATTTTAAACGGAAGACGCTAATCTGAAGTAAAAAACATATCCCTTTGTACCTTTATTTACATCAATTGACCCGTTATATACAGTAAGACTTGCCGAAACCCGCACTAGAGTTTAACCTTAAACGTCCGTGCCGTCCCTGTTATTTTACCTCCGAGATCATCGCTATATTTTCGGGACCTTTTATACCGCTCTTTTTGTTCCTATTACACTTATCGCGCGATAGGCACATGCCATATATGGCATAGGATGGCGTGTGCGACTCTTGAATATTAATTTGTTTAAAAGGCAAATCGTGTTCGATTGTTTGCGGGGCGCTCAGAGTCAATATATACATTGGATGAATTTATAAATAACCTTTTATTGATAATATATATCGCTCTTCAATGTTACTACCTATTGTGGTGTATATACGGTTTTCCATCTCGCATGCGTATATATATATACATATATTTTATATATACAATAATGTTAAATATCTTTGTATGCATACGATTGGCTGACGGTAATAATAAATACATTTATATGTGGATACAAGTAAATATCTGAACCAACACTTTCGACTTAGCCACGATAAAAAAATTTGCTCTAACCTAAAAAACACACACCGGACTCCAAAACCCATCAAAATTATTTGAAATATATATATACGAGATCGTTTCAGTATGAGTGAAAAGTATTCACTTTAGTGCATTTGATGTCAATCGATTTTTTATGAAGATTAGCATTAATCCTATTGATCTATATTCTCACACCATTCTCTGTTCCCTAATGAAAAATCTTCGCTATATAAGTCAAATTTTGCAATTAATTCGCTTCATGCAAAAGCCTAAACCGAATTTTCTAGATTTCCGTTTCATTCAAAAATCTTCCTGTATTCATAACTGCTGAACAGTGAACAATAACTATATTGACCTAATGAATTCGCGTTTACGAAGAAGAAGCTGTGCTGAATATTTGTATGATGCCAAATATTTCACAGATCTGAAACAGTGAAATAGTTCAGTATGCATTTCATAAATCCTTTTTTTTTCAAATGCATCTTGACATGTATTTGAACTGCAAAGCAGGCACCTTCTCAGAACGCTTCTCTTTCTTAAGTATATATGTCAACGTAAAGTCATGATAGCAAATCATTTGGGCTTATCGGCCTGAAATAATTCGTTGGGCCTTCCTCTGATTCCGTAGCTTGGCAGGTTCCTCTGCTGTTTAAAAGCATTTTATCAAAGTTTAATCGAGGTCGACAGCATCTCTTGATTTCCATGCATTCCTCGTCTTCCATAGATCTCTTCCTATTGTGACTTCGTGTTTTCTCAACTGCATTCTCGAATGCTTTAGGTGGGAATCTATCTTCGCAGGGTTCAAATTCAGTGTCGAAATAACATGAGAGTTCTTCATCAATATCTTCCGATGAAGCATCTTCTTCAAAGTCTAAGACCTTCACAATCCTACTCGTGCGTACATTGCCTTTGTCATCCAAGATGTTTGCTGGATTGGAGTCCGTAGTATTTGGTTTATTTGTCTTTCCTTGTTCTGTAATTCGCCTTGGACTATGTCTTGGACTATGCCTTGGACTATGTTTCGTTACGTTAGTTCTATCACATTGTACCTTATTACGATTGTTCTTCTTCACCGCGAGCGTCTCGCTAGCCTTGAACTCGAACAGGGATGTTTGATCGAAATTCGGATCTACGATGAATCCCGGTTGAAAATACAATGCAAAATCCTTCGCTTGCCAATTCGGGCAATGAAATGTCGGTAGTTGAAAGGCATCCTGCAACGTATGGCTTTTGAACTTCATAGCAAGATCGTCAATGAGTGGGTAGCTCGCTGTTAGAGCCATGATGCTGTAACTTTACTCCAACAACGCTATGGCCTGAGTGTGTTCTAATGCTGCCAGCCCCGCACTCGCTCGTATATGATGTGTACGCACGACTAATTGTCACACGAAACACCAGTCAACATTCACCGTAGTGATCGTGGCATGTAATTAAAATCCCGTCATCCGATTGGACGACATTCAACAATGCACATGTCGCAATATAGACTGATATATACGCTACGCTAGACCCAAGCAATCCTATTACGAGACGAACATCTTAATAAGAAACCCCTGGTGCTTCGATATAATATAAAATGGCTCAAAATTTCGCGTCTAGCACTCCAAGTGTTTTTTTTACTCCATGGCGGACTGACATCCACCCACGCAGTGTGATTATAATGTCTACTATCGTTCTGAGGTTTTATAACTATAATTTATGCTAAAACCCCGAACACTCGTGCTGTACAGGTTAATATAACCCAGGCCCATATATTTGTGTATAACCCGTAGTAAATGCAGGTGTTCCACAGTTATACGTCGACCTCTGTTTTATAAACTATACAATCAAGAAAGTCATCTTCTTGATATATACATGTAATTTATTTTTTCTTCAACACTATAATGAAGGCGGAGTTTGGCTTCCTATTCACTATTCTTTAGCTTTTTCCATCTAAACACCAAGAGTAGCCGCTGTGACTAAATGAAATATTGTAGCCTTTTTAATTGTAAAAGTATTTACGCACCGTTGTATATCGGGCGCCGAACACCAGCATAATTGTCTGAAATAATTCACAGGTAGAACCTCAATTGATAATATTGTATGCGGTCGAGGTCAAAAAAAAATAAAAATTTGCATTTTACATAAAGCCAACTAGCCATTCATTCGCACGCGTAGATTTATCATCTAACAAAAACAGTATTTATAATGCTATTACTGAGAATTGATTGAGGGATATCCTAATGCATATTGAAGAAGAATGAGGCAAAAATCAAGGATTCCTGTTACTGGAAAGGTATCATCGCACTCTGACCTTCGCCGGAAAGACCCAATATCGCAAAACAATTAAAACTTAGTCACACAAAGATGAAAAATTAAGGAATGGTTTAAAAGAGTTTTTCATTAAATTAGATATTACTTTCGCCTCTCACTTCATATGATTTTTGAATTAGTTTGCTTTGTAAATTTTTTATGATACCGGAAGTTAGTGGCATGTCATATGCAACGTGATTGGTTAAGTTCTCCTTGGACCTTAGACAACACATAAGAAAATGCCTTGTCAGTTATATGGATCTTGGCAGGTTCTGAGCAGAGACAAAACAACTGAAAAGATGAAAGATGATTTCCTAGGATCCGTAGCGAAATACTTCTGCAGTAAATAATGAATGAGCAGCGTCTCAATTGTACAATTACTTGCACGTGAATGCACGTGTATCAAAAATGAAGGGAAGTAACAGCGTTGTGCTAAATGTCATCATTCATTTGACATGAAAACTGAAAAGATAAACTTTCAGGAGGAAAACTTATCAAGAATTCGCTTTGCATGGCTGTTGAAACAATCCCTGAATAGCATTCAGGGTATTTGGTACGGCATGCAGTATGATAACAATGCCAGTGATTAGATTAACTTCCTGAAAGATATAGCCTGGAGCAAAGATTTGTCTTCTGATGAGAAGGAGGAACGATAAATTTCCCTTTTTGTTTAGAAAGTTTTTCTCAATCAAACCACAGTGTAAAATATAGAATTTTATATAAAATTATGTGAGACAGGAAATGAAATCACTAGGACATAACATCGTTTGAAGTTACTTCAACAAAGTAATTGCTCTTTTGGCAAACAACCAATAATGACTGACTCCATTCAAATGAAGTGAACGTGAACAAATAAAACCACATCATTTGCAAACCAATGACCGCACAGATTGAAGTTACATGCAGTAACGACAGTATAACATTGTACTCCCATTTTTCGCAGCAATGCTGGGATCTTTTCACAGTGCATGTGATGATACATTATTTAAAAATCTTGCAATTGTTTACCTTTGAGTTTCAAATTCCCCCATCATGTTCAATTATCCTCATTAATATCAGACAGGGTTCTCTCGACCTAAACAATAGAGCACGTGTAAGTTATTGTCATTCAAATGAAATCAAATTATCCTAACAATGATAAGTTACTTTTGCAAAAGCAAATATATTCGGAGGGTTCAGCAGAATTACATGATAACCCTTAAAAAGTGTCTTAAACACATCGTATACTCTGAGAATTCCTCTTATGTACCCTGCTTTGAGCAATGCGGACCTTTTTTAAGTTGTATAAAGCATTTTGGTAGAATACTATCCGCCTTGAATGAGTGTAAAGCATTCACACGCGATTGTGCTGTGCTGTGGCTTAACAAGTAATTAAAATGTTTCCGAAAGTAAATTGTAATTTGTTAACTTAATATTATTGAAATAGCTCAGAGTTGACAACATTGGTTAAAAAAATGTGTAGTTTAACATGAAATGACATAAAACCTTTACACACAGGACTCTCAAATGCAACGTGCATAAGATTTATTGTATTAGTCAAAACTGAAGGCCAATATATCGGCAGTATATATGAACAAGCAACGTGAAGGACATCGTTAATAATACATAACATGTGCTTGAAATTATGTATATTGTCTTTTCTCGCGATGAAACTTTTGCCCTTTTTTTAAAAAAAAACGGCTCGTGCGTGTAGTATATCGTGCAGGATTATATAAAAGCGTTGATGCATTTGAACAAACGCATGCAATAAGTGATCATCTTGAAATGAATACAATCCATCACAGATTGCCACGCGTCTTAAGGACAACCTTATATTTAAATAATCATGAACAAAGATCATTCTTTATGCACACACACACGCCGTATTCTTTGGAGATTGTTATCAAAACAGCAAGACGTCTTATCCATACCATTTGTGGCGTACAAGCTTCACTGCACTCTTTAATTAAAACATTATTATATATATATACACTGATAACACTTCGGTATGGTAATGTTTTGAGCATGCTTTCAACATGCGAAATTTTCTCCTTGTTTAGAAAGTTCATATGAAATTTAGACTCTTTTCACAATGTATTTTAAAAGTACAAATTTGATTAGTGATATTTGATTTAATTATAATCGAATTAAAATGAGCAATCACAATCAGTTTTGGGCAGGAATTGTTCCTCTCTATGATAAAATATGAAATGAACCGGAGATCGTTTAAAAACTGGCAGTGTACATGATTTCGTGCAGCGGAATTTTTGCTTCGACTATTCCCCAGGGGGTCGGCGTTCGAGCAAATCCGCGTGCGGCCAGATCACTGGTCTCGTGATCACACTGGATCGACATGGTGACAACTGATCTGTCAATAAAACTGGATTGACAATGAAACCCTGATCCGTTTATACAACTGGATAGGGTAACATGACTCTTAAACTTACTGCTTCATATATATCTTTCTCGCCAAGTCATACAATTCTTGCTTTTCGCTTCTACAAATAGAAAATAAACTAAGTGAACTTCCATGGGCCGAGATTGGATTGATTTTTAAACATGCCCAAATAAAAAGGAATGTTTTTAGACTTATGAAGGTTTATGAAGTACTAAAAATGGATGAAATTCAATCAAAGTGTTCATTAAGTTTGATCGAAATTAGATTAGATTGGAAATTAGAGTCTAATTAGAATTCTTTAACAGATCTCGTGAGAAACGTCAACAATAGTACTTAGTGCAGCGAGATCAAATACCCGGCGTTAGGTATTTATTGACACAGATCACAAATACAAGCAGAGAGTGAGAACAATAATCATCTATTTCGATGGACACATTCTGTGTGAGCATGCATTGTGTTTCGTTGAAGTAGCAAACAAATTGTTTCGGCTCATTGTACGCGCTGTGGTTGCCCCGTTGCTCGTGGTATCCATACTGTGTTGTTGTTATTGAACCACCGCTAGAGCTATCACGCGGTGAACTCTTCAATGCTCCTCATTCATGACAAGAGATGAACAACGGATGATTCAATGAACTTTGACAGCCGGTAAATTGGATGTATTTTCTCAATCACCTGTCTACATTCTTATATTCTTTCCATTTCTATTCATCAAAAAGGTGCATTGTCAGAGACACCTGTCGTTACAACTTTGATATGTAACGCACTTTCAAAATATACACGCCTGCGTGGTGGTGATCACCTTTATATAACTAATTCATAGGAAAACCACTGAACTAAATAACTAATATATACTGGATAGCTCTATCAGTTCTAAACTAATTAGTTCTAAACTGTTCTTCCTAGAGGTCCAGTAAGGATCATCTCTTATTGATCCAGTGTTACTACAGGAAGAAACCTGAACTAAACTAACTTTATTTATACTGGATAGCTCTATCAGTTCTAAGCTGTTCTTTCTAGAGATCCAGTAAGGATCATCTCTTATTGATCTAGCGAGCATTACTACAGGAAGAAACCTGAACTGAAACTGATTGAAGAGTTCTATCAGTTCCCAACTATAATCCACGCGCAGTAGCCCATCTCTCCGTTTTAATAAAAAGTTTTTTGATCAACGAGACAACCTTTAGTGTGCTATTCTTTATTGATTACATACTTACAAAATATGACTATACCTCAAACCAAAATGTAGATAACTGTTATTTATCTAACTACTCGTCTTCTTTGGAGACAAGAGGTCCAAAGCAAATGTTGCTTGAATCGTGCAGTGCAAAATGTTCAGTGAATAAGTGCAATACATGCTGTAAAACCCCACATATAAGAACCAAGATTTCAGTCCTAAAGACAGGCTATCAATGTAAACGATACTTATAACTGTTAAGATTAAAGGGTTCCTGAATGGTTTGTTATTCTCTGAAGTGAGAGCAACTCATTTTTGTTTGGCGTAAAAAAAATGTGTGAAATAACCACGATTTTAGATCACTCCTGTGTCATTTTCATGACTTTCATCATCTAGGCCTATTGCGTCAATGAGACGCACAGGGCCTGATTTTCATGACTTTATGAAGAGTTTATTCTCTTTGACTTATAAATTTGTAGTTTCAAAATTCGACAAAGAAAAAATGAAATAATAGCCTGTTTAAAATCTTAGTCATAAGCAATCTCAGTCTGACAGGTGTTATAGTCCTGCCTTAGTTCCTATTGCGGGGTTTAAATACAATTTCAATAAAGGAACTATTAAATATCGCATACTTTTAAGCAAATTACGCTCTCTTGGTACAAGAAATAAATCATGACTAAATGTTTACATATTTTTCAAGAGAATGTCCCGCCCATTCTTCTTCGCACAATTAATACGCGCGATCGTTTTAGATTCTTTCTCAAAAAGAAGAGAAGTAAAGTGAAAATTTTAAAACAATTTAAGGTGCAAGAGTGCGAATACGGTTTAAATTGCTCAAAAACAGAGCATATAGTGTATATTTCTACAACGATTATGTTCGCTGGATTGTAGCTAGTTTTCCAGCTGAATTTTAACAATGTACGAACAGAAACGACGAGAAATATTTGTGACAGTAATACCGAAGTGCATAAACAGTTAACCAGTGCAATTGTGCCTGCATGTGGTGTTTGACATGTATACGTTAAAGATATGGCAATAAATATTCAAAACAATAGTTTATAAATAGTAAACTGTGATGATACCGTGCAGAGTGACTGCTGACATCGTGAGAGAATACCTACAATATTTGAAGGAAATCTTTTCAACAATACCCACACAGCCAATCAGCAATTTGGGCGCGCCTTGAAATGCGTCATTCCGAGTTCAAAGCCCTCAAAGATATTTTAAAAAACGTATTCAAAGGTCTTCAAGACCTTACAAAACGCATCAAATGATGCAGAATCATAGACTCGAAAACGGCTCAATTTTAAATAATTGATCTTTTCGGTTTGGGCATGTCAAAAAAATCAAATTATTTCCTTCGCCCCTTGGGAGAATACTCAAACCTTATATAATAAGGCAGTACAAACGTCAAAACATAGTGTTGAATTTAACGACTAGGTATCCATAGTGCAATAAAGTTACCGTAATGAAAATTGGATTATTGTAGTCTCTATCAGCCGAATTTTCTAATGAACTTGCCCACCGTTAAAAACGAATCGTGATGTTTCAACAGGGCTTGTATACCCGGTCGGAACGTAGGCCCATCGTTCCGAGGAGGTACGAAAATCCGGTTTAAAAGCAGGTGGAATACCGGGATCGTTAACAGTAGCGACGTGTCGATATGGAGGGTAAATGTCGTTGACACAAACCATCTGAGAGCCCAATTGAGTTGGCGAGGAGTAAAGACGCGGGGAATAGGGTGAGTAACCCGGATACGAGAGGTAGTACCGTGAGGTATCTTTCTCCGATAGGAACAAAGCACTTGGACGATGTTCGGGTTGAAATGACGCGGCTTGTAGCATGCCTGGTTGTTTCAAGGTGAAAGCTGATTTTGATTGAGCAAGATTCCAATCGGGAGAGAAACTTACTTCAGGTTTACCCGGAGAACATGATGACCTAAAGATATTGCAGATTTTGTCAGCATTTTGCATAATATTAAGACAGCTTGTCAACTGTTCGACTGTCTTCTAATTTTAGGCGTGTGTCTTTTAATGCTACTAGTTAATAACAAGTGGTGAACACTTGAGTTTACTATCACAAAATGAAAATTTTAGGCCTCATCTGAAGGTTCAATACTGTTGAGATGATTATAAAACGCTGCATTAAAAACCTACCTCGGGTTAGTGGTCTTATTCTTGCCCTTGCTATTTCGTCTTGGTCTGTATTTATAATCAGGATAGTCCTGTTTATGTTGCCAGGTCAGTCGTTTGGCTTCCTCAACGTAAGGCCTCTTCTCTTCCTCAGATAAGCTCTTCCATGTCGTTCCCAGTTTCTTACTGATCACTGCATTGCTCATCCCTGGGTTGGTCTTCAAGATCTCGCATCTCTTTTCACGACTCCACACCATGAAACTGTTCATTGGTCGACGTATATGACCTTGGCGCGATGTCATATTTTGAATGGACGAGGTGATGTGTCCTTGGTATGGTATTCTTGTTTGGGCGTCACCCCTATCTGTAACACAAGTTCAACTCTTCCACGTCAAAGGAACTCGGTGATTCGTATAATTGTTACACTAGTCTAATGCTTCATTACTTTCACTTGTGTTTCAATCTTTCCTAGGTAGACTTTGACGCAATACACTTATTTCACTCTCACCAGCTAGCATGCACAAATACGATAATCTTATAACATAAAAAATACCTACAAACACTTAGTTCTCCATATTGTTATTTTGACCTGGCTATTTAAATATGATATATATCTTATTCAAATATCGTGAAGACTTTAATATTGTATTACGACATCGTATATTAGGCTTAGTTCATCACTTGAATGAGATTAATATAAGAATGTTGTTTATTATCCAAAGTACTGTATGCCTAACTGCTCTCTCACTCTGAGGACCGTTGGATTTACCTGAGTGCTTTACCTATACTTAATGCTTAATTATCAAAACAAAAAATCCTGTGGTCAAAATTGTATTTGGTAGACTTACCTATCGCGTCTAAAGTGTTGTTGCGATTGGCCAGCTCTTGTTCCAATGTATCTTGTTAATGGCAAAAGAACAATTCCTCGCCTTTTTTTTTCTCAAAATTTCACACTCGATTTCAGTAGGTTTTGAAACCCTTGACTCGCTGGCGTCTTCTCTCGATATTCGCGTGAATTCTATCCAAATATACCGGTTCGATCCTCTTGGCCGATATCGTGCGGCTAAAAGACGATTTTCATCTATTTTGATTCGCAACGTTTAATAATGATAGTACCTCCGACACCGTGGCTTCAACTATGACGTGTTTAAATGAAGACCAGCAGTTGTGTAGCTATTATTGGCGCTATATTGTTCCGTGCGGTCAGAGAACCCTCTCAAATTGCTGGCAACTTTTTTACACAAATGTACGGCAGAACAACACCTGTGTAGTCAGTCAGGGTCTCCAGGCGTCTTAGTTCATGTCAACTGTCTTGACTTATGAGTACCATAAACAATCACACGGAGTTTGGCCCCACACTTCAACGTGTTACTAAAATCATTCATTAGCGTGTTCCAACGTTATCATTGACGCCCTGCCGAGCATGATTCAAAAGACATTGCAATGCCCCTGTGATTGTTAAACCCGAACAAAGGCGGGACGAATTGAATGGCAATTTGCTTGCAAGGCTCTTTATCTTGCCAAGAACAGCTAGACGCAAACAATGAAACTACTAATAAATTACTTTACGGTGTCGAACCAGTCAGGCAATTTATTATTTAGCGAATTTTTTACATCTCGCTTGTTCTCAATGTCTAGAATTCACTCGAAAATCGTTGTCGTTGAAACTTCAGAGCATTTTGAATTGAAGCCAACTCAGTATGTGCCTCATTCGGCTGCACACGGATCGCAAAACGGTCGCTGATTGCTGATTATAATAGATGTCACTTTAGGACGAACGCAAGATAAAAGGCTCTTTCATTTTGAGGGACAAACGTGCGGATTGAGAGTGGTTAAGTATATCAGATCTTGAATGAAAGATTCTTATCTTGTTTCTCGCATGCCATATTGCAAGGACAATAAGTTAAGCTGTAGAGTACTTCAGTTAAGACACAAAATTAGACATCTGCACTGGAATAGAGACAGAAAGGCATTAAAAGAAAACACGTTTCTTTTTTTCTTTCACTCGTATTCTCAGAAAGCGTGTCTCGCTCTGCCATTTATATCATTGTTTGCGAGTTTTTAAGTAGAAGCAAAAGAGCTGGTCTCGATAAGTGACCAAATAAGTCAGACATGCCATGTTATAGTTTAGGTAATGAGTTGTTTTTCCGTTCAGAACCCCCGCCAGTAAGCTCTCATAGTTTCAATTCTTTCGCAAAGCGTGCGGTAGCCTAGGAATACGTTTTGTCTTTTGAGAGTATGCCCCAAGGTTATTTCCGATCAGCTGTCGTTATTAGCAATACACTGCTTCAAATAATACAAAATATCGCTGCATTTTATCTTTCTCGTCATGTCTGCCATCACAAGCTTCTTTGAAACGGGTCTCAGACGAGAAAACGGAATCCTAGCGTACTCCTTATGATACCTAAAAGCAAGATATCTCAACTGGACCCCCGCGTATGCGTAAATAAAACCAGAACATTCAACATTATAGCAAAACTAAACAGGTTAAACAAATATTTAATCAAATGTTTTGCCCAAACAAACTAAAAGGTCAATTTCACTTTTCACGACGAAAAAAACCACAACACTTCGCCCTCATTGCTGGCGATTTTATTTTTGTCTTCTACAGATCACTCATGCTGTTTTTGTGCCGGATTTAATTAATGCTGCATTTTTATTAACACGGAGAATCACGGTTTTCGAGCAAATTTTTAGGTGAACGAAATATTTTCCTGATGATTGCGAAAAGGAGTCGCATGCATGTGAGGAAAATAATTGAATAAATACCTAATCATAAAATATATCTTAAAATTGCACTTTCATCCAATTAACTTGGATCATTTCATTTTCTTTATTCATCATAAATGTTTAATGATTTTTTTTATGCTTTTGTAATATGCATTTCAACTATAAATGCTCTCCTTCACAGCCGGGCATCGCGTACGTGCGCGCATGAAGTTATGATTGTCAAATGAACAGCCATCATCATCCATCAATAATGTTTTTCCTTTTTTTCTAAGACATCACTGTTTTTTCATGTAGTTAAGGGTTAGTTGAGTGTTTTCACATGAATGACGTGACAGCTACCTTAATGGCACATTTGTATTGCTAGATCAGTGCGAAAGCTATATATAGACGCTATATTGATATCAACGTTTATACTGGATAGCTCTATCAGTTTTAAACTGTTCTTCCTAGAGATCCAGTAAGGATCATCTCTTATTGATCCAGTGTTCCTACAGGAGGAAACCTAAACTAAACTAACTTTATATCAACGTTTATACTGGATAGCTCTATCAGTTTTAAACTGTTCTTCCTAGAGATCCAGTAAGGATCATCTCTTATTGATCCAGTGTTCCTACAGGAGGAAACCTAAACTAAACTAACTTTATTTATACTGTATAGCTCTATCAGTTCTAAACTGTTCTTCCTAGAGGTCCAGTAAGGATCATCTCTTATTGATCCAGTGTTCCTACAGGAGGAAACCTAAACTAAACTAACTTTATTTATACTGGATAGCTCTATCAGTTCTAAACTGTTCTTCCTAGAGGTCCAGTAAGGATCATCCCTTATTGATCCAGTGTTACTACAGGAGGAAACCTAAACTAAACTAACTTTATTTATACTGGATAGCTCTATCAGTTCTAAACTGTTCTTCCTAGAGGTCCAGTAAGGATCATCTCTTATTGATCCAGTTTTAAAAAAGAAATTCTAAAGTAAACTTAGATAGATCTATATCATTCTAAAAACTTCGGCATAGAGGTCCGAACAAAACAATGTGTATATAGAACAATGCAACAACTATAAATAGCACCTTCTTAATTATATTTCATGCTATCAGTGTTCACCATTACTGATATTCAATACCATTCCCATTCACAAGTTGATCAATAATTTTGTATACACCAATAAAAATGTTTCACATTCACATCCGCAGGGTGCTACACACCAATGACACCATGCCTGCACATTTGGTAAAATGCTTTTGTACACCCAATTTAAATTTAGTTTTTATTAACAATTTTTAATAGTTCTTCAATATCCTAGAAGATATGCCAAATGCCCATAAAGAAGTAAATGTGAAAAATGAATTTAAGATTAGCCTTTTGTCAAATTCAAAAGGATGTTACCATCTCAACACACATGTGTAGACTCTATTTGCATCGATTGCTGACCACCATAAAATGGTGTTTTAGTTTAAATGCGCTGCATGGACCTCATTTTTGTTGGACTAGGCAAAATTAGTCATTGTAAACAGGTCTTTATTTCTGTACAGTTTTTATTTCTGTACAGTACAGTGATTTTAATTACAGCATCCATCATTGCTGTGTTTAAACATCCGAAAAGAAAACCTTTGAGATTTCTCAAAGATTTCTCAACAAATCACAAAAGGAACATAAATTGTTCCAGAGGTCTAAGATCTTCCTACCTTATTTAATTTTATACAAATATTTTGATTCATTACCCAGTTATCTCAGCTAATTGAGCACAAAGGCATTTAAATATACCCTATTACACAAAAAAAATGAAGAAATAGACAAATTTCGCACAGCATTTTTAATATTACAAGACAAACCTTTTATTATAGTGGGTGAGCCAACTTTTTAAATCTTCCCGCCTTTATTCGAATCATCGTGAAATTGTTGAAACTCTCGACCAAATCCATATTTTTTTATACCAACGTTCGAAGAAGGAAGATTAGAAATAACATTTCTGTTTTTTTCCTTAAAAAACACGGCTTTTAAAACAAAAAAAATCAAAAATCCACAAAAATGAAACAAAATTTGTAAAAGAAAAGGCAACCAAAGCAGCGCTAGATGATACTTGGTAAAGTTGATAGAGGCATCCGCTGACTACTTCACTGACCTTAAAATAAGCCTGGATGGAATCGACAAAAAATAATTATGGTTCATTTTGAAATGGATACATCTGGATAATACAGAAATTAATACTTTTTACGGCGTCTTTTATAAAGGAAATTAATCTAATGGCATATACTTAGAGTTATAACACATATTTATATAGTAAGAGAAACAGTCTTTGTTGTGACAGAGGTTACTGATGGCAACACTTCCAGGTGGCTACAACACTCCAGCTAGCTTCAGGCGCCTTCATGTGAACACCAGTATGGGAAACTATAAGAAAATATCATCAATTTACTTCTACTCATACATGTCAAACTTTAACATGTGTCATCTCTAAATTATCCTTGAAAGGAAAGCTATGAACTAAGTTAACATTTAGTGGACTGCAATCTTCAGTTCAGAACTTCAGAGACACGGCAAATCCTACTGTAACCAGTTCAAACCAGAAGAACATGACACATATGCAAGAGAGTTAAAACATATAACTAGTTAGCTGTAAAACCCAATGTGGTAAAAACATTTACCTGCCCAATGGTAACCATTGGTTGATTCAAGAATCTCTCCATTAACTTGATCTTTTCTGAGCATATTTTCCGGCACTTCTCGGGCGGTTATCACTTCTGAAGAAGCTTTAACTCTCGCCCATTCTTTGATCGGGATAACAGTCCAGTTATTTTCTTTACCTCGGAGATAACTGCTCGAACGGTCCAGACCATATATCACGTGATCGTGAAAAGCAACTGCCAAAACTTTCACAATCCGTTGGCTTAGGCCTTGTATAGAAAATGATAAAAACTCAGAACCTGCAAGATCTGGTTTGCATTGAGAAATAGTTGCAGCAACACGATTTCTATAAATTGCAACTAAAGTCAACGAATTACAAAAGCATTCTAAACATTCTTAATTGATAATAATAGCATTTATCATATCAATTTTCTTGCAAGTCACCGCAATCTTATTGCTCGTATTAATCTAAATTTTGCGATGAAAAAAATGAATGTCAAGTTAAAAAATTGAGTAATGTATCATTCTTCATTTAGACGCATATAGTGCGCAGTAATGCTGTGATGTTTTGACTTCGTCACCGCAGCTGATTTGGTTCTCATGCTGAGCCATGCCGGCTTAGTTATAGCCATACTGTTCAATGATAGATTCCTTGTCAAGTCTTCCACAAGCATGCTGATCCGTTATTTATTGAAGTCTTTCACGTTGTGTGCAAAACGTTTCGCATATCCACAATTGTGGACGTTTCACAAGATAAGAGAAATGGTTGAGTAAAAATATCATTTCAGTCGATAATATATTCGCTCGAAAGATAGGGGAGGGATTACAAAATTCCTTTAAGGGGTTCAGACACAAGCCACAGCAGTCTATTGTAGAATACTACTTATACTGGGCGGTCATATTTGAGATATGTTTTTAGGTAGTTCAGACACAAACTACAGCAGTTTATTGTAGACTAACTACACTGGATATCACACAAATCAATGTATTCTTACTTGTCCAGGAATATCCATCCTTGGTAGATTGGCAACTGCTCGCAGTACTATAAATACAAGACATCCCATTAAGAATAATTAAGCCGGGTGAAGATTCAAATATGCCTTATTTTAAATATATTAAAGTAATAAATTCCTACCTATCATCAGTATAAAGACAGACGTAAAACACTCCGGTAATGTTGTTGAGGAGATAAGAACGACGAGAAAAGTCATCTCGTACTAAAAATATAGATGGTGCGTGGTAAAGTATGATAGGTTTATTATTGTATAATATGACAGGTAAATCAGGGTATAGTATGGTGGTAGGGTAATCAATGTTTAGTATTGTAGGTTATGATATACTACGGTAGTTTATAGTATGCTATGGTGGGTTAATCATGGGTATGGTATGGTATGGTATGGTATGGTATGGTATGGTATGGTATGGTATGGTATGGTATGGTATGGTATGGTATGGTATGGTATGGTATGGTATGGTATGGTATGGTATGGTCACTCAAACTTACCAAAATGCGAAGGCATGGGTTCCTTAAGACATCCATACACCTCCAGCCTCATAACGCGAAATTCTGGTTGGTCCAGGGGTAATATTCGGACATATCTAGTCACCACCGACTCCCTAAACTTCACAAGGGTCGGGTGCATTGCTGCTAAGGGCGAGACTGGTCCATGAAATATCTATCAAAAAGATTTACTTCATGTCTGACAGTTCTATGTGAGACGATTGAAAGAGATTTGAATGAACAAAACAATAACAAATACCTTCAAGTTCCCTTTTTCTGAATAATTAAGCCATACCAAGCTATCATTACTGACCATCACGGTGTATTCTCTAACAAAACTGCTTGGAAGACCACTTTCACGCCATTGTCCTTCGACTGCAATTGCCGTTAGCGAATACAGCAGAGCAAGATCAATCTGAAGATAATCTTCAGGAACATACGGGCTGGCCAACCAACCACCAGGTCCATCTACCTTCTTTCGAAGTCTGCTAGCATCGGCATTACCTTGATCATAGCCGGTTGATAAAGCTTCGTCCTTGATGAAACCAGATTCCATTCCAAGAGGCAAAATACAGGACTCTAAAAAACACGAAAGAAAGGACTATGTAAAGGTCTGTTCACAGAATCTAATTTTGTCGGATCCAATTCACTTCTCACGTATGGAATATAGTCTGTTATTGATAAAGCAGTACTGCATTGGCTTCAGTGCATTTTCTGCCCATATACAACACAATTAACAGGCTATAAAACATCCACCAGAAGGGAACTGCGTCCAACAAAATTGGATCCTGTTAACTGTAAACAGACCTTAAGGCAATCAATCTACCATAATATTGGCTTTGGAGGACGTGAGTCGAATCTATATCAATATTTAAGATCTCCTTCAAAATAAGCCTGTTTGAACAAGTATACCTGGTGTTTTCAAATCTTCACAACCATAGAGTTCCAGTTTCAAACATATTGAAGTATTCCAACTTATTGCTCGTAAGCGGACATTGTAAGCTTTAAATGGTTCCATCAACCAGAAAGCATTGCTTGAGTCGACGTTTTGTGTGCGATGAAATACCTAAAATTAAGAGTACATGCGTCAAACACTTAAGCGCTGTTACAGCCAGCAGAGAGATGCAAAAATTCCGGGAGCTACAATGGTGAAAACACACATTTGTACGACTGGAATACACAGGGATGTTCCTACCCTGGTCATGTCGTGTTCTGTATAATTCCTCCAAGTTTTGTCATCCAAAGAGTATTCTAAGACAAACTGTTCAACGCTACCAACATCTTTATCCATTCCTAGGACTATTAGTTTGGTGATTTTTACTTCATGAAGGAAGTCTACCTGAATAAACTGGGTGTCATTCAACACGGCCGAACACCAGGCAACTGAGTTGTCTATAAAGGATGTTCAAATACACAAAACAATTTAAAGATGAAGAATTTTTCGCCATGATGGATGAATTGATCTGAACAATTCCACCGTGAAAGACAAGACCAAGACAATGTTATAAAAAAACGTATTTCTGGTCCGGATATTCCCGGACATTGCATGAGGATGGAGCCTTTTCTGAAACAAATAGCATCGGAAAATATGCTTTGAATCGATACAAAAGACGAATCTACTTTACCCATAAGACAAATCAGGACAACATTTCGAATTATCATATTCTTAGATTGACAGAAATTCATGAGAACTGAATATATATGGACTGGTTGTCGAAAGATGTTAATTTAGTGGGCATTTTATATGTAAACGGAGGTGCTACTTTGGCTGTTATAACTTCTAACACGGGCAATACGGGGGAATTCTTCGGATAGCAAGTGATTTCCTTCACCATTACTTACTTAAACGTGCTTTGAATGGTTCATATCCAGGTATATAAGAGGATGATGACATTTGGTGATCTTTAATATAACCACTCTTGATACCAAGCTCGTTAGAACAACCTTCAAATGAATCAGGAAATCAGAGATGAGATGAGAGATGATGAACACGTTGACACTCGCAACTCCTCACCTGGCACTTGGATAATGGTAGAAAACGTCTTCCAATGAGTAGTGTATCGAGTCCCAAACACTGGTTGATCATCCCAGGATAGCTTGCTATGAGTCGTAATAAAATGACGACCAGGAGACACCGACATTCCAGGGTCGAAAACAAAAATCAAATCGTAACAAATCCGCTGCTCTGGAAGCAAATTTGTGACCTAAACAAAGAAATAATATCAACAATATCTCAGTTTTCAAGAAAATTGAACCGCGTTGAATCAATGAGGAAGAAAATTGATAGAGATTTCCAGTGGAAAGTCTTCCCTTCTCAACAATTTAGAAATGCACCCATTAAGTATATTTCTTGTTGTACCCCAGGAAAAACAGTTCAAAATATACTGCATGGCAGAGTTAGTTTTCTTACCTTTGCATCAACATATGATGAGAAAACATCGATATTAAGTTCAAGGCCTAATGTTTGATTCAAAGCCTTGAATTCAAGGTTGTTTGGAAAGATCCATCGCAAAAGAACATTCGACGCGTTTGAGGTTGAAGGCTGTGTATGATTGATACAGACGCTGTACTCGACCACATCACTGATGAAGAAGATAGTTTCTTTTGTCAAGAGTGAAGTATTTGAATTATTTCAGGACATCCATTTTACTATTAAATCGTTTCTAGTTTTTCTTGAGAAAATCATAAGCTGAATTATAGACACTCACCCAGACGAAATCACATCAGTTCCGTTCCAAGATACATTAAAAACAATCTCAGGATGCTTATCTTGCGAGCCTGAAATATATTAACGACTGCTTTATAAGGTTTCTATCGCTACATTTGTATAGTTAGTCGTGATGGATAAAAATCGTTTGAGAGGACTTAAAATGAATTTTATTTTTAACACTGAGTTATTTTGCCCAACAAATAAAATTTTCATGCCCTTTTTTAAAAAAGTTGGGTCCATATCATCTTTTAACCTAAATTACCTTGGACAATCCTTGAGTCTATAAAAGTTTAAAGACTTAATTGAATGTTTTACCCACCTTTCACATGTGACAAGTTCACAAAAAGCAATACAAAAAGAGGAAAAACGGAGGGAAAATATCCATCATACATAATGGCGATCAAAAAGAAGAATACCCAATGTATTGGCGGACTCAATGAGCAAAACATCTGCCTAGGACGATTACATCTTTTTTTAATTGTTATTCCATAAAGAAATATTGATTTAATCTTTTGCTTGATCAATTCAAATATATTTCGCGCAAGTCACAAAATAAACAAAATGAAATGGATGCAATCAACAAAAATGGCGACCGATGAAGACACGGTGGTGATATGACAAATGAAGAAACGCACGGTGAAAACCAAACTGCAAAAATTGAACAAATCGAGAATCAGAAGAATTAGTCATAGTTCTACACGGACGTATTGGCAGTGAAATAAAATGTATATTGTCAATGTACATGACATGACAGTTTGTAAACGACGCGGTGTCCATGATAGAAAAAAAAGACAATTAAGTATATATGATACACAATATTTAGTGTTTAAATGGAGTGTTCAACCAAGTAGCAGTTGTACAGCCGTAGAAACAGTGCAGATGATAAGAACAAAAGCCCCACCCAAACCAAATGTAGCACGTTTGCGATTTTTGGGATCTGAAACATAAGAAATACGTTGTTCACTCTTGATTTATGAAACAAAACACACTATGGCCTAAGTTATACAAGAGACGACGAATCACATTTGGACGAACGTAAGGAAGACGAAATATATTAAACGTTTGCGTCGTTAATGATTCTGTTCTTTCACTCGCATTTTTTCACAGAATAGACTGACGGAAAAATTAATTATTCTTTCATTAAAATCATTTAAATAACACGTACCACCAGTGTAGTAGCCAAATGCGTAAACAATTCTGGATATGATCCAGATGATGCCAGCCAGGGAGCTGATGCACTGGAAAGAAAAAACAAAGAAAAAATCAGGATGTTACAACTTAGACCGGAGTGTATTCTGTATGTAATCTGGATAACACGTTCAGGTTTTTTAAAATAGGCTTCAGTTCAAGGCACGAGCCAGAATTGTATGAAAGAACTCACAGGATGTCTTAATCCTCCAACAAAGAGCAGCATCAGAAACTGGGGATAGGTCTCCAATCTAAAATCGAAGCTTACAGTGGTGACCTGAACATGTGAAAGTACCTTACGGACATAAGAGAAAGAACGTGGATTTAAGAGAAACTCTTACGTGTTTTGATGAGCTCTCTGATAGCAATTAAATACTGGCTGACTGTCATCATACATTCTTGGATACTAAACAGAATAGCGTGTTACAGGGGGGGGGGTTGAAGGTAAATATGTATTCCAGGGGGGTGTACTGTGCGCATGCTTCAATCAACTGCAAAATGAGGATATATAATACATTGATATCTTCTATAATCGCATCTGTTGTCACGGTTGCCGGGTATTAACACGTGAATAACATAATATACGATATGACCTTCAATGCTGGCGGTTAGATTATTCACTGGAGAGTGAAATGAGATATTATATACGTACATCTACTTTGAATTTTTTTCTGGCTTTTCCAACTTGCAGGCCCATATACACCAACACAAAAACACTAGAAAGGCCAGTCAATATGACATAACCATACTCTGAAGGTAAAGCTAGTGGAGGCATCTTTTAAACGTTGCAATACAGGTTATTTAACAACACAGTTTAATGGCGTTTGAAATTACACATTCGACTGAATCGAGCCTGTTCGCAGGCTACAAGTTAGCGCAAAAGGTTGGGGTTAGGAAAGGTTCTGATAAAAACTTTTTGACTCTAAGTCTCTAACAAACGGTCTTTGAAACAACGAAGTTTTTTGTCTTTGTTTTGAATGTTTTGGTAGGCTAATGAATCTTAATGGTCTGTAAATATGAGCTGATTTTATTATGTCCCGTGAACTTGAATGAAGCATAAGAAACGTTAATTTACCACAGAGTGACCAAAGAGTAAACTAGGCACACAAATCTCCTACCACGGCCAAAAATCAGGAACGAGATTTAGCACAGGAAGAGTATTTTAGCTTGGACTTGGAGGAGATACATACTACAGTGTACTGGGGCCGAAAAATATGATTATTTATTCCGCTTTTTAAGTTATGAGTTTCAGAAAGAAAATGCTCGAAATAGTAAATTTCTCTGAAGCATATTTGGAATAAGTCTGTGAATATATTGAGAATAAGCCTAGATCATTCACTCCGTCAAATATATTTATGGGCGAGTCATCATTGTGTGTATACAAATACAATAAATAATACTTGAATCAAGAATGCAAAATATGACATTCCGTGGTCTAATATCCCTGGGAAGCCACTTGAATCTGATTTAATCTCAGCTAGCACATGAGCGGCTAGCATAAAAACATTGGATATACCGAGCCAAATTAATTTCCCTCACGAGCCTCTTCTAACGACGTTGAAATATATAAATTTTCATATCCGAGAAGTACAAGAATATTAAGTTAAACACTCCAAAGTTACGTGATGATTTTCGATAACAAAAAGTCACAAGACTATTCTGGTATGCATGAGTGAAGACCACTGTTGTTAATAATAGTGGGTGATGTTTTAAATAACTTCGTATCCTTAAAGAGTTTGCAATGGTTGCCGTCAAAATGAGTTGACGAAGCTACGCGTGAAGATATTTACTGAGTTATTGTTATATATGCGAACCTTCGTCGTCAAGTATACTCACTGATACCATGAGCCATCATACTTGGTTTGATTAACTGCTGACCATGTGTACTGTGGGGCATAATTAAGATAACCGCCTATGTAGCATGGTTCCGTTTGGAAAGTTCCATTCTATAGTATATTCATATGGTATAGAGAGATTTAGAAGTAAAAACCATGACTTAATAGTTTAGTGTTAGTATACGGAAACTCATAAACCCGGTAAAAAAAACCCTAGATTTCTTGTCGGCCGATTAAAATGATCTAAAATATTGAAATTAAATGAGATGCAATTATAAACAAACAGCTTTATATTGCAGGAACCATAAAACCTGTGTGATTTAGTAAAAAAAATTAATGAATATAAAAAACACAGACAGAAGAAAAATATTGTTATGGTCGAGACATCTAAAATGGACAAAGCAGTGCTACTTTTGGGCAAAGCAGAGTTGTGATGTCCAAACACCGAAACCTGCCTAAGCGCTGACAATACGTTTGAACCCAATATAACACGTGTATTTGCAGTCATGATATAGACTTTTGAACCAGGAAATGTCCAACGTCCTTTTCAGCTAGAAAGATATATGTCGTCTGGCTCAAGTAATACAAAAGAAATGAAAAAAGAAAAACATATTAGAGTATACATAGCAATGAGGCAGTCCTACTTCTTCAAAATGCTTGCCTGCAAGAGAAATTATATGGTAGATTGATAATATAATTTCTTTCTAGATCATATAAGCATTACGACCACAGCCATAAACGAGTTTACAAGCGGATATCGAAACTGCCAGATTATGACTTTGCAAGAACTTTTTGTATAAATAACAAAGAATTTTATTTATGCATTTATTGAAATTATGAGGCGTAACTGTGTAAAGTCAAGCTTGGCCCTGATTGGTCAGAATTAACGAGCCGCCAGGTGATTGGTCGATAAATTCAAAGATCACGGAGACTTGAAATGAGTTTGCAAATCAGGGCAACACTCTCATTCGACAACGCCTGTGTAGAGAAGAGTTCATCGTGTTCAGTTGAGAAGATAGAAGAATAGTTAAAATGTCTACCAAACTTTTTGTCTTTTTCATCCTGTTCGTTGTGGCAGTTGCCTATACTCAAGGAACGACCGTGGTGACGGTGGCAAAGGATACAGCAGCAATGAACACAAACAAGATTAATCCTACAACAACTCAAGCAGGGCATATGGCTACAGCAAGTGTGAAACATACCCCATCATCAGCATCTAGTCTTACGGCGTCATTCATATTGCTTGTATCAGCTTTAGTCCTTCTTTTCTAAATTCAACAAACTGACGATAGTATTTCGACTGTAGAACGAATAATCTGTGAACTTAATTTTCTTTGAACTGACAACGCTTTTATATAATAATGAAGAGTAAAGAGGAACGACAAGCCCTATGCATGAGGAAGAATGGTCTACGAAACACAATTTTGACGACAGCGATGAAGGAAAGCAAGACGATATCTCAGTTGAATTGTAAAATCGCATCTGAATAAGAGGGAGTGGCGTCGTGGCTCTTATTGGGAAGCACTTTTGGTGTAGATTAGAGACACTATGCATGGAGTATTATCCAGAACACTTTCGTAAGAACAACTGTTTAGAATTCATCAAGTTTTTAGCTTTCAAAATAACATTTTTTAGGTGAATTATAGCTTTGTATTGACGTTGAATATTGAATAGCTCACGAGGAATGCATATTTTAATTTTGAAGTAGATTTATATGGCTTGTTACTTCATGTTTATTCTACATGTTAATAAATAGCGGGAAATACTCAATTTTATAAACTACTCTGTATGTACGTGTCCTTCTGGTTTTTACTTCGTATTTTTCGCTGCAAAAGAAGCGCTATATTCGAACCTTGGCATGTCTCGAAGGCGCGGCATTCAAAAGCCAGTATTTTTCATTAACAGCATGAGTGCGCACACCTTAAAATTTAATATCGATGTTCCTGCTCTTACAAGAAATAAAAGTATCCATTTTGTTAGGATACACTAACGACTTCGAATGTCAATATAGCCAAGCTATAAATCAACCGCTTCATCGCTTATTTTTGTACGTCAACATTAGTCAAATAGTATTCCTGACAAAGGAATATAATTACTGTTTCCTGTCCTCGTGTTTTGTATAACACTTCGAACTGAAATCACAGTTTTAAGTTCATAGTCTGAAATGTCATTCCCCACATTGCTTCTCCATGATCTTTTTCGGTGAATGGTCAAAATGTGTTCAAAATTTTGGTAAGCGCGGCGTCTTACAATTCAAACTTCTTTATCAGCATGTGACATATCTTATCAAACCTTGATAATTTCGTTTAATGGGTGTTGCCTTTGAAATAGTTCCAAAGGTTTCTTCGGGTTCGCTAAAATTCACTTCTGTAATTCGATAGAGAAGTCTTAAACTGTTGAACACATAGCCTTGAATGAATGGAATGGCTACACCATGGTGCGGGTGATATTGTCACCGCTATGTGTAAAACTGTGTTAATGACTACCGGCCTTTGTTTGAAAACATATTTCAAACGCTTCCCCTTGGCTTGCATAAGTTTAAATTTCACACAAGACGTTGTCTTGAGGATCGATTAATTTCAATCAGCACTAGGAATTGTCCAAATGAACATCGGAGTAATTGTCCAAATATATTTCTACTCAAATGATTGTTGACAAAGAAGAGAGAGAGAGAGGGTAATTCTCAAAGACCGTCTTAAACGTCTCTTTCAATCTCAAGTATGAAAATCTGATTCAAAGTTCCTTGTCTCCCAAGCAAAATTCAAAGACTAGTTGGCTATCATACTTTCTGTTACAAATGCGAGAGATTTCCGGAAGAAAAGCAAGAGAGATTTTAAACAAAGTTGGAAAAGCTAAAATATAATCTCCCACAGTTGTTAATCATGCATACATAACAAGCATTGATCTCTATGAGTTATTTTTTTCGTTTTTCTTGCTGTGACACTACTCGTGGTCGCTAAAAAATGATTCCATACTTGACATGTTTTGTTCAACATTTGAAATTCTCTCTAAATACGTGTACAGGTGATTTCACATCGATTCTATGTGACAGTATAATCTTGAATTAACAAGGTGACTTTTTCTTTCTATTATAATGCATGCAATGAATGCAAGGCCCGCGTTTCCTCAACCGGTGTTCATTATTACTTAATCTTAAATTTGTCTAGCGTATATAAATGTTGTCAGCGGGTAATAGCCAAGATACCATGCCAAAACGACTGTATTTTGTTATGTAAAAATCTTACGAATACTTCACTGCATATGTGCATAATTTAACGGCTCTCTTTAAAGCATATTATTGTGTGAAATGTTTCAATATTGGTCTTCGTTCTTGAGTGTGACGAGCATAATACACCCAGTTTATCCTCGTCATTCCTATGCCCTATAATGTACCTTAAGCACATGTTATCAAACGCTAAAGCTGAAAACATGTTCCACTCGTCTATAATAACGAGCTACACACCCCGCTGTTCACAGCTGTCGCAAAAAATACAATACAATTGCTTTGGAAAACGGCGCCTTTGCATTTCCTTTCAACTTCCTTTCAAAAGATATTGCATGAATAAGTGGACACAAAGACTTTAAAAGACCGTTATTTCTTTGAATTTACAGTTACAAACACATCATTTAACCTATTTCGAACTTCAGCACGCAGTTATAAAACGTTTATAAGTTTGAGAAACGCGTAGGGGGTTGAGAACAGCATGCAAATGCACGCCGTGATTTCTAAGGTTCTTTTGTTGAAGGTATTTGTACTTTAAACCTCCTTAAGCTGTATTGTTTGGTGGACACATGCATGCTTGAATCATGGGTCTTATTCCCTGACCTCAATTAATGACAGACATAAATGACTGGAGTCAATACAAAGAAAAGACAAATATGATGATGAGTAATGATGATGCTACGTTGTATGCGGTTTGCCATAGGAAACAATTGAGAGTTATCTAAGGTATGATCACTGGGCTATTTATTACAACTGAAGTCATATCATCGACGCCAAGAACCTTCCGTTGCTGTAGGAGTCTGGTAACAGCGAATCTCACAATGCATCGTGGACACGAACATTTCGTTCATGTCCCGGAAACAGTCCCATGTTGCATTGCCAACCATGATATCACCCCAGTCCTCCTCTACTACAACATCAGGATGGCCAATAGAATTTGTCTTAAAATTCTTAATGTCTTATACTCCAAAAATATCGTGTTTAATTTCACAATATTTAAGTGTTAGAATAGTGTTAAAATGTTTATTGATTCAAATATTTCATACCATCTTTTGATGGCCAAATTAGTGCATAGGGAAACCTGCGAGGCAGAGATTAAAGATTATCAGAAAACGCTTCGCCGTGGCAATCAATCAAATCACCGGATTATGCTTCCACCAAAAAAAAATTCAGCGTTCATCGGCAAGCCAAACGAGGACAACAGAACCGTTCCTCTTCTCAGGAGGGGTGAGCAGGTTACTGCTGAGCGCATTCACTCCTCGACCGGTACAAATACTTCTATAACCCTTCCCAGAAGTCAATACGAGCCTGCTGTGCTCTTTTTGAGTCTCCTCGGTTCCAATATTCCACGTGACTGGTGTGGTTGTCAATGGCAACAGACATTCCAAGGTTTTATGACAACGTATTACAGAATACACAAGCAGTGATAGACTGTTGCAGACGAGATAACAGCCACTGGACGTACCAATGTAAAGCTCACGATTTGCCACCAAAAGTGACAGAACCTGGGACTCTGTAACTAAAAATATATTATCGATGCTTTTGTTAATGCAGTGTTTACATTTTCTTCTTTTGGTAGATGTGAATGAGTGAATTAGTTACGGATGTTCAAATAAGAGCTCGCACACATCAGAGCATTCGTAACATATTACTCGTTCACATCTATCAAAAGAAGAAAATCGCAGATAAAATTTCAGCGAAAATCACGGCAAGTGTAAACGGGCCTCAATTTGTCATACTGAAAAAAGACGTACCTCTTCGTGCTCTGTCAGATGGATAAATTTGATGGGAACCTAAATATGTAAGATCAAAAACAGCATTTTAGGCACAACTATGCTCTGTAAATTTGATAGTTTCACCAGGTAAACTTTTAAAAACAGCTTTGAAAGAGATTCAAAAATTAGATGAGATTACCTTCACCACTGGGGCGATTTTGCAAGCAATCGACGCTATTCACCACGCGTTTTTCACGTGCATCATAGCGAAAAACGCACGTGCCAGGGTAGACAGCCAACCAGACTGATGTAGCGAGCGCATCGACTTCATTTATACTTCCTCCGTACGTCTGACATGTTTGTAATGTGGTCACAGTCAAATTGTTGAGTATTGGATTATCAAGATCACAATCTTCTGCAGCAAGCTGTTGTTTTTCTTGTAAAGTTTCCGCATTCAACACTGTGATCCTTCCCTTGCCTCTACCACACCAAACCTCATACGTGAGTTGTGCTGTCCCGTCTTCGTTTTGACTGCCCTTTGGTATTCCCACTACAGCCAAACAGTGGACAATACTACTTCCAACATATGTTCGCAATGGAGAGAGATCTTTAGGAGAAGTTAGATCACAACTCTCGCGAAACTTGTTATGACTTGTGACATTATCAGAGAAGGCCATGATATTGCCATTATACAATGCCACTAAGACACAGTGGCATTTTGGTGCGTGAATCATGCTCATGATGTATTTATCACAAACCAAAGCACCTTGGCACAATGGTTTGTACGTGATAGCACAGTATACATAGATATAACCAGAGTCAGTACCCAACCATACCGTGTTCCCAACACTACACGCTACACGAATAACAAGCTCACTCACAACAAATTCCTAGCAGCAGAGAAGACAGGAATTATAATGATGGTAGTTGTCTCTAAAGTATGCTATAACATTTGATGCAAAAAAATCAGGGCATATGAAGGGTATAATGATAGGTTTTAGGAAGATTATTAAATGAACGATGGGATATTGATGGATATCAATTACAGGGATTGGGAAGGCAAGGATATGATATGATATGATGGAGTAGTACATGAAGGGTATCAAAGGTTTTAGGAAGGCTATGAAATGATGGGATATTGATGGATATCAATTACAGGGATTGGGAAGGCAATTGGGAAGGCAAGGATATGATATGATAGAGTAGTACATGAAGGGTATCAAATGATAGCTTTTAGGAAGGCTATGAAATGATGGGATATTGATGGGTATTATTTTAGGCATCGGGAAGGGTATCATGTGATAGAGTAGCACATGAAGGGTATCCGATTACAGGGTAAATGAACAGAGTACATGAGATCCATGTACTTACTTCCAAGTGATTTGAACGGCCATTGCTGTAGCACAAAACATCCACAGTTTCTTTTTGTTTCCCTTCCTTTATTTTGGTGTGAAACAGCCACAACTCTTTGCCAATACTCAATTGTCCATCTGCACCATGACCTACAAAGGAAGACATCAGAACTAGGTAATCGTGATTAAAGATGAGTTTCTCGCCCAGACGGGATTTCCGTGCAACTTACCCGTCTGCTTAGACAGGAATCAAAGTTAGACGGGAAAGTTCGGACTAGAAACTCGTCTGTGAACGGATCCAGTTTCCCGTCTTCGACGAGTTTCCCCTCCAAGACGAATTTCCCGTCCCTAATATGAATTCGGCTGCTAGTACCTGCATAATCGCGTGACCTAGTGGTCACAGATCTATTAAGATGGAGATCTTCATCAAATGTAAGAACATCGAGTAATCTTGGAAACTCTGAGCAGGATGAGATGTTGTAGATTTGGCTGCTTGAAGGACGATCTTCTGGATTAGGAGACCAGCAACCTAACATGAGCTCCAGCGCAAACACTGGCGCACGCTTCTCCTATAATGAGAAACATCACGATGGTCTTAATATGTTCCGGAGAGATTTGAAGGCGGTGTTACACTATGCAACTCTCCTTGCAACTTGCAATGCAATTCTACTCCTGAGGCATCTAAAGTTGTCAAATACGACATTTCTTACGATCTGCGAACGTTTTCTTAGCATTTCGAACACTCTTTACATATTAACATTCCTTAAAATTATAATTGCGTTGCAAGTTGTAAGAAAAGCTGCATAGTAGTGTAACAGCGCCTTTAAGCAAAGTAAGATGTTTATATAAGATTACGTAGTTCAACTAGGGCAAGGTTTTAAGTGTTTTTGAAGAAAAAAATAGGCTCAATTTACGAATCGATTCATTCACTTTTGGCCAAAAATTAGGAACTGCCTACCTTTGATGTTAATTGAGGTCTTTTTCCTTCAACTGTCAGTTGCTTGATTTGAGCAGCATTTAGATCAGAGAATGGTTGACTTTGAGTGATCAACTCGTACAAAAACATCCCAAACGAGTAGGAATCCACCTGAAATAAGAAAAAAATTATTAAAATCTCGAGTTCGTTACAACGATATTTCATATCATTTCACGTAACCCAATCAATCGATCGTTATTCGTCAATTTTTCAACACCAACCTTATCAGTGTATGTTTCTCGTCCAGAGTACTTTTCAATTTCAGGTGCCATAAAACCTGGTGTGCCACCAAGTCCTTTAGCACCGGCTATCGACGCTGCCCTGCTAATACCGTAGTCGGCAACCTTGATTATGACCTCATGTGTAGGTTGATTGGGCGAAAATGGACCGGGGAATTTCCACACGAGAATGTTTTCCGACTTAAGATCACGGTATATTATATGACGTTTATGAAGGTACTTCAGCGCCGCTGAACACTAAATAAATCCAGATATATTACTCGGATTCAGAATATAATTGATAGAGCTAGCTTAGTTTAGCTTTCCTTCTGTAGTAACACTGGATCAATAAGAGATGATCCTTGCTGGACCTCTAGGAAGAACAGTTTAGAACTGATAGAGCTATCCAGTATAAATAAAGTTAGTTTAGTTTAGGTTTCCTCCTGTAGTAACACTGGATCAATAAGAGATGATCCTTGCTGGACCTCTAGGAAGAACAGTTTAGTACTGATAGAGCTATCCAGTATAAATAAAGTTAGTTTAGTTTAGGTTTCCTCTTGTGGTAACACTGGATCAATAAGAGATGAGATAAGATCCTTGCTGGCTTTTTGGGAAGAACAGTTTAGAACTGATAAAAGCAATCGTATCTAGTGAACCAACGACTGTAATCAAACAAACCTGAACGACACATTTCTGAAGCACGTAAGGATCGAGACGGGAGCCAGCTCTCTTATAATCGGCCAAAATCTTATCCAAGCTCTTCTTCGGTGCAAATTCCAGAATAAGTGAAAGCGGATTTAAACAAAAACCTTTCAACTGCAGGATGTGAGGATGGTTGAGATCAATGAGGATGGATAACTCTTGACGTATTGATCTTAAAAAAAAGAAAACATACGTCACTAGAGTCAACGTTAACTCGAGTAATTGGGCGTCTTTAACTAACCTGTAAGCATCAGTGTACATTTGTTGAGGAACCTCTTCAACTTTTCGTTGGGCTGCCTTCGCGTTAGCTTTTTCTTCCTCTGTCGAATTTTCATCCGTTTCCAAATCCAAAGGCATTTTTAGGGCGACCTGCATCACTTTTCCATCTTGTTTAACCTCACCAGCAAAAACTGTACCAAACGTACCTTGACCCAGTTTCTTTTTGCGTGTGACACAGCTCGGTTCAAAACTGAGCTTTGGCGCGATATCAGCAAAAACCTGGATAGTCAAACAACTGGATGGAATATAAAAATTTCGATTTTCAACTCCAGGGCCAAGGGCCGGTTGTATGAAAGCCGGATCGCTCTAAAATCGCCCGTTGTTGGATGAAACTTTGATTAAACCTTAGTACTCCTAATAATTGTTGCCAAATTTTTTATGCTTTTAAGAAGGATTTAACAAGTAAGATATGAGATATCAGAAAGGTAAAACAAAATACATGTTCACAATTTTTCTACGAACACATCTGTGTTTTAAATATTTGCTACGACTTACAACATCAGGGGCACATTCCTCCAGCGGTAATTCTCCATCAACAGGACACGTCATGTAATCAGCTGTATGAGATACTACGACACATTCCTCAAATTCAAAAGTCGCTATCAACCGCTCACCAGTGCTACTACCGTGCCGTGGACTCGGCGGAACACCAGAAGTCTGGGAACCAGCGCTAGATTGCTCAGGCTCGCTACCTGATGAATCATGTACGGAATCATCACTGTCGGGGTTACCATTGTGAGGGACTGGGGAGGATTCGCTGGAGAAATCATCAGGATCAACAGTCACAAAGCTATTATCAGTACCCAGGCCACTGCTCGACCCGCTATCAGAGGAAGGCGATGTTGTATCACGTGGGGACTGATCACCATTTTCAGGTGTGCTGACGTAGAAAGTACTACGAGATGGCGAAGCACCGCTCGGATATTCCTCGTCGCCGTTTTGATCCGATTCGTTCCGACGTTGGTGCCGAGGTGATTGTGCATTTCCAAATGAAATGATTCGACAAATGCACTTGGGACATGGCACAAGTCTTGAGACCAAGTTATCACCATAAATGTTGGTTGTATCGAGGCCTGGATACCAGTCCTGGAGCAGTGTATCAATATGTTGAATGATCAAAGCCAGAAATCGTCCAGCACTTTGAATGCTCCTGTCACTGACCGACTTCACACGCACTCCAGTGTAGGTTTTTACAGCAAATTTTTCCAACTCAATCATGACACTTGGTGCGATGACCTCAACCACAGTCGAACTCGATGTGTCGCGTTCCTCGCCATTGATCAAAATTTGAACTGTCAGGTTTTCTGCAACGAAATAAATCTCATTTGTCCCTGAATTGTTTTAAATTACACCCAAGCAAACTGTAGTTAATATACTGGCTGGCTTGAATATATACTGGCTTCTTTGTGAACGCATCTTCACAAGCTATTATTACCTACAAATTTTCACCTGGTCCTAGACTATACGCTACGACTAAAGTACATACATTAAAAAACAGTTTTCAATCTATATTTTCGGTGTTGGAAAGATGGAAACTTCTGAAAAAACTATATTTTGGATAACTAATGAACGAGCATGTTCACTTACCGTCAGGACATCCATAGAAAGGCGTTTTCTGTAGTTGGCTTATACGTAATAGTTTGACACCAAAACATGATAATTCAAGCCCAGTCTTCCAACATGACCACTCGGGGCGAACAATCTTTGTCATCTCGCGACCCTCGATATCCACAGTTTCCCCATCCTTGATAAATTTCGTACATTCGATTACAACTGCTTCCAACTGTTTGTCGTTAATCACTCTGAAATAAAATGATTCAATTTCATACAAATTGAAAAATTAACGAGTTTACATATGCCAGCTTGTATTGATAAATCAGTGGCTATCTGAAAACAATATTGAAATACTAACTACGATCGTAAAACTAAACTATATGTATATATAATTCAGGAAAAAACTGTCATATAACATTACATGGAGGAAATATATAAAACTATATAATAAAATGGCTCTTTTGAGGGCCTGTTTACATGGAGCGAGTTTGCTAAGCGAGGTGAAAACTGCATATAGTGAAAAACTAATCAGGTTAAGCCTTTGATGTGATGCGCTTTTTACCTCGCCTAGCCGGGATAACTCACTCCAAAAAAAAAAAGGCCCAGAAGAGCAATTTCATGTTATATTTAAACAATTCATTAACCTTGTAATTCGTACCTTGTGATGAGTCTGGCCCAGAAACCACTTGGCACATACGACATCAAGTACTGTCGTCTCAACACTCTGTTCTCAGTATACGCCGCCATATTCATAGCTCTAGCAACCATGTTGCTAATACCAGGTGACACTGCATTCCGACTTACAATTTGCTGTTCTGGCAGCAATGATGGAACCAGCAAGTGGTCTGTAATGAAAGGCAAAGCCACTTCGAATTTATTCAAGAGATCCACGTATTCGTGTATAAACTTCGAGGGAAAACGATCGCTACGGAATAACTGGGAAAGATCAGAGAATCGCAGGATGCCTGGAAGAAAATGAAGGAGAATATTTGTTATGTCTTGTGAGCGAAACTGCTGTCAAAAAGATAAATCACTAAGATCTATCTATCTAGTAGTTATTTCGTGCCATAGAGAAGCATTTAGACCAAAGTGATAATCGTATCATGTTGCCAAGGAGGCAAGGAAACCTACCATTTTGTACAAAAGGATTCACATCTCGTATCGCGACAACATGAGCCATCATATCGCACAGCCACTGAGGATCGAGAAAATACAAGCCAGAAAGTGACGGATCATCATAATGCAATAATATGCCATTATCGTGAAGAAACTGACAAGCTTGTTCCAGCTCTTCATCATTTCGTAGTTTCACCCCCTTCGACTCCAATTCAAGCTCCACTTTTTGCCTGAGAGAAAAATCAGAACGGTTTATACCTTGTAGCCAGTTTGACAATGCAGAAGGGCTTTGAGTTAAAAGCCTTTAAAAGGATTTCTCAGGAAAGAGAAATCCATCGCACTTTCCATAGAGAACCTTCCATTATCTTCTAAATAATTCGGTTAAACTTTGTAGTTTTGCTTAGTAACGAGAAATAGAAATCTGTTATAAATTTTGAAGCAAAGTGAAATATTGTTCACGAGAACCATGCATGCAGCTAATACGAGGCAATCCCCCAGCGGCATCTCACCTGAACACGTCAGCCCTCACTACAGGAGTTTGATTCGTCTCGCAACATTCCTGTCTTATTTTTGACACCGCCGTTTTCACGGCAAGATAACTGGCCGGTATTAACTGTTCTTCGAGTAAACTATGGCCTCCTGTTCAAAGAAAACCAATATCCAAATCAGCTCAAGGTGTTCGCCATAGCGGCTCGAAGCTAAAACTTAACTCACCAGGTCCTTTAATCTCCAAAGCTGTGGTATAAATCATCTCGCGAAGTAAGTTGATATGATGACCAGTCGTACAGCTCACGTCAACCATTCGGACAACTCTCGGTAGTCCTCGTTCACGAGGTACTCCGACGCCCCCATCCAGATCCCTGCCTACATACAGTTGGCTAATCAACTTATGCATACGATCGACAAAACCATTTTTCTTTTGCTGTGCCGTCGTCAACTGATCGTAAAAGGTGCCGACGATAATCACGACCGAGTCTGGCGCTCGAGCCTGGGGGGGAATTAGATGAACTTATTGGTCATGATATATTATATTATACAGGATCATATAAAGAACGTAAAATTAGGTCTCCTGAGTCCAGACAATCTGACATGCAGGCCTTTACACTTTGCTGAACAGTAATTTGTTCCTTTCTTTACAAAGAACTCGTAAGAGGTAAGACTGACCTGTATATTCAACAACCAAGGAAGCAAATTCCTCACTCCTTCTTCGCCATCAGTGAGTTTCCAGATCGCGAGGTAAAGAGCGCGATGAGATAGAAAAAGTTGATGGGTCGCATAATACTCTTTCTACAAAAATAGCAAAATGGAAATTAGCCGTATTTTGAACGAAGAGAACGTTATCATAGGTAACTTCATCAGGACATGGTTTAAACCTAAGTTACTACAGATTAATTTATAGAGAGAAATCTTTATCCATCCTGATCCAAACTGAAGAAAACTCAAGCGTGAATAATTTGAACCTCGAAGAAATAAACTGCACCAAGAAGTAAGCCTGGATGTCAATCCAGTTACAGTACCTGACCGCCAAAATCCCACGTACTAAATGTGATACTTGGTTTAGTATTTCTAAAGACTGAGCCAGCTTGACTGGGATACACCCATTCTGCAACATCAACTCCGACTGTCGACACGTTCTCTGTCTTTCTAGCTTTGCCTGTAAACAGATATTCACTTGCTGAAAACTACTCGATGAAAAATAAAAATCGATGGAAATATAAATCGATGGAAAATCACATAACAAATTCATAACAAATTCTTCTCTTCACATACTTGGTGTCCTCTTGATCTCTCTGCGTTCAAGCCAACCTCTGGGTATATAACCATTCGTAAGCTTTGTTAACAACGTGCTCTTGCCAATGTTTGAAACACCAACAAACATTAGTTTCATACTTGGGTAAGGTTCCGATCTAGAAACAACCGTCATGTCAATAGCTGTGTTTACAATTACTTGCGATTAATTTGCTAATTTGTTTACTAATTTAGATTATTTACTAATTAATTTACTAATTAATTTACTAATTAATCTACTAATTAATTTACTAATTTAGATTATTTACTAATTAATTTACTAATCAATTTACTAATTAGTTCACAATTACCATCATATAGCTGTGTTTACAATTACTACTCAAAAGTCACACAGCGCGAGAAATCGCTAGCTATAAACTTACTTATCAAGGACAGACAGGAGATATCCGGTGATCGCCTTGGTTTTCTTCTCCAGCACATTAGGCGGTGGATCATGCAATGTCAAGCCTTTCACATTAAGGTCCCAAAGGTCCCCTAACATCCCTATGGCTGGTGGTAATCTGGGCGACTTCGTGAGCGGATTATTGCCGACATCTAACGAGCCTAGTTTAGTGAGCTTTCCAAGTTCATCTGTCAAATACTCCAGTTTATTATCGTTCAGTGTTAGAGATATGAGGTTGGGGAAAACACAAATCTCCCCGGTGCTATTTTCCCTACTATTTCCCGTAGGCTTTACAGCCCCACCGGGTGTTTCATCCTCGCGATTAATGTTCTTCATACTTTGAGTCTTGTGGAGTAAACGACCCAGGTAAAGAAAACGAACTTCGTGTAATTGATTATTGTCAAGTTCCAGACGCTTCATATGACGTAATCGCTTGTGTTTACAATGACGACACCACATACGAGAGACTGGTGACGACAGTGATGTTCTGCTACGATTTCGTTTTTTGCTAGCTCGACGTTTTTGTATCGGACTGTAACACAACCTGCAGAGACAAACAAGTAATAAATCATTTGAAATCTTCATTTTCCCAGAAGATAACTGAAATGGATAAGGTTAAAAATTAACAGTTTCAACCTGCGACTTGTTTTGAATCAGAAAATGCATTCTTGAAACGTCTTTATATACGATATTTTCACAACATCAACGCACGCACCTGTCACATCGTTTATCCTCTGCATTCGGTAGACATAGTTTTAGTTTATTTGCAGATAAATCCAGATGAGATAAATGTTCAGGGATCTCCTGAATTGGCGGGAACGTCGCGATATTATTATTTGACAACAACAACTTGGATAACTTAGGAGCCAGACACGGCAAACCGACTGGGAACTTGTCTAACTGGTTAAACGAGAGATCCAGTTTCTCTAACGGGCATTCAGCCTGATTGTCCAGTTCCTCGTCTTCGTCAGATGACACGGTATCCAGGTTACCGTCGCCGAGCCACGAGCGAAAGCTGGTGATCTGGAGACGACCTACATCTGGTTTGGCGTCCTTCATGTCCGTACCTCGGCTATTACGATGCTCCGAGCTGGAGGGGGTGGTGGTAGGGATGATCTGACGCTCTCTTTCCACGGAGCCACCGCTGCTTCGTTTCCGTCTTGTTAAAAAGACACAAAATAATACATTTTGTTAACTAAGTAGTCGTTCGATATTGGTCGACAATACGTAACTCTCTGGTTATATCAGAATACGAATAAGTAAAGATTTGGTAAAACATTTGACAATAAAAATCTGCGATAAAATATTATAAAACATGTCACGACGTTTCGACGTTTCCAGAACGTCATTATCAAGTGAAAAATACAATTATGAAATAGAGTATATATAGTGAAGAGATGATTATTCATTCTGGAAACGTCGAAACGTCGTGACATGTTTTATAATATTTTATCGCAGATTTTTACTGTCAAATATATCAGAATAACTATTGTTATATAGGTGCTGTGTATTTTAAATGTGATTGGTTCATTCGTAGTCACACGACTTTACATAAATGCAATGTTTCCATCCAGGGAAACAAGTGAAAAATAGTTGCCCGCTTCTTGTCATAACAAAGTAAATTGGGTTTTAAATGAAATTGTAGTGTAACATGTATGTTTTTGTTCCTATATAACAAAACACTTAATGTACACTACCTGGGAAATAGTGAGTTTTGTTTTTCCTCGAGTCTCAATGTTTTCCTCGACTTCGTCTCGGAAAACATTCAGACTCTTGGGAAAACAAAACTCACTATTTCCTTCGGGAGCATACATCAATACGTCGATATATTCTTACCCATTCATAGTACTGTAGACGCCACTGGCGTTTGGAAGCACCGACAATCCTTTGATATAGTTATTACTGAGTAAAACTATCCTCAAATTTGGCGAGTTCCAGATATCGAATGGCAAAGATCCAATATCATTCTTACTCGCGTTCAAAATTCTTAATCCTGGGAGCAAAAACAAACAGCCTGGTAACGACATCAAATTATTATTCTGCAGATCAATCTCCTCCAAGTGTGGACAATACCATATCGACGGCTCGCTTTCGGAAAATACGTCATCCGACGAAGTACTCCCGACGTTTCCTTGACCTTTTCCCATTGGCAGCAAACTGATCTCGTTATGAGAAGCTGAGAGATGTTTTAAAGATGGCAGCTGAAAAATTTCTATCGGTAGACTTTCGAGACGGTTTTTTGAGATGTCCAAGTTTGTAATAGTGGCAGCCAAGCTTGCGTGGTTTAACGTGGCGGAAATCTCGGGTCTTAGCACTGATTTCGGAGCCTCGAACAGCCATTCAGGTTCAATATGGTTCAGTGCGTAGTTATGCCAGACGATAGAGACTGGTGCTAAGTCATTGCGTTTATCACGAAATTTCTGGGGCAGATTATACTCTTCGCTCGGGTTCACGTCTTTTGAAGAAAGAATATATTCGATAAGTTATAGGTTGAGAGACTATACTAGCTTGGGTGGAGAGAAGAGTTGGGTGAACGAGAGACAGAAAAGAAATGGGGTACATTACTGAGCTATATGACTCAACATTGGTCAACATTGAAACTAAGAATTATATTGTAAATCATCATGCATGCAAACGTACGAAAACATGATTAGAAACTCATTTGTCGGATGGCTGTAGGTTAACAAGTAGTTCTCTCCCAGGTGAAGCGTGCAGGCGAATGACACTAGAGAAAAAAGGAATACTAACCTTTTCCAAGAAGCAACATTGCAATTTCTTGATCCTTATTCGTAATCGCATGATGAAGGCACTTGTTGCCGACATCTTTCGCACCAAAACGAAGCAACACCTTCATATAAAGAAAATCTGATTAGAAGCATAATCACGTCTTCCTTAAAACTAGCTCTCACTGCATTAGGCCCCTACAAGTTGATCTTTAGTTTCTGGTCCGCCGCCCGCATCCGTTATTTGGAAATGATTATTTTAGGACTATTTTAGTGTTAACAATAAATTTCGAGTACTTGAAAATTTTCGCCATGGATTATATTTTCTGCAATGATAAATGTGCCATCTTTTCACCAAAATATCGTCATATCATAAACGTCAAGTAATATATGGTACATTTATTAATATTAAACGTTTCATACCCAATTCTCATCTTATATTCGCTTTGTTGTAAGATTGGACCTGTTAATACAGCAGTTTCCCAGGATTTGCGATCCCCCGATACAAACGTTGTTGAGATGTTTGTTTCTGACATACGGCATGGCTCCAAAATCACCCGATGTAAATACAAAATACTGTTATTGGTGACCACGCCTTCTATGTTAAAAGCAAACATTATTTCAACGAACTCTTGTGTTGGGGGTTCGTCAATCGCGTGAAATTGCTGTATTAAAGGATACAAAAATCTACAAAATGCCATACTGTAATTTATGTCCTATAGTCCTAACCGCCCGCCCGCCCGCGTCCTTAACGAAAGTAACCCCGGACCAGAAACTAAAGATCAACTTGTAGGGGCCTTACTGTCGCGAGTAAATTATGCTTAAAATGAATCATCGTGCAGTTGAAAACACACTAAAACCTTGCGAGGGAACAATCACCTTCACTGTGTCAATTTCCTTGAGAAAACAGGCCTGTTGAAGCGGTGTGATAGTATTACTATTCACACTATTCACCATATCTGCCATCTCATCACTCAGATATTCAAAACCTCCCAACTCGTCTGTACGTGCCGCACAGTTAGGATTGGCATTATTTTCAAGAAGTATTTCCACCACGTCAAGGTTTCCAATCGTTACAGCATCGTGAAGCGGCGTACGGCCGACTTTCGATCGAGCATTCACGTCACAAGTCGATGTCATTTTACAAGGCGGAGTACTGGAAGAAAATTACATCTTGAATTTGGCGTTCTTCAAAGACAGACTTTTTATCTAACTTTATACTGGATAGCTTTATCAGTACTAAACTGTTCTTCCTAGAGGTCCAGTAAGGACCATCTCTTATTGATCCAGTGTTACTACAGGAGGAAACCTAAACTAAACTAATTTTATTTATACTGGAAAGCTCTATCAATTCTAAACTGTTCATCCTAGAGGTCCAGTAAGGATCATCTCTTATTGATCCAGTGTTACTAGACGAGAGACCCTAAACTAATTCAACAATAACCACTTTTTAATGGGTTCTACACACGGAGATAAAACCTACAGATGGAGTTACACCTACCAATGATGGTTTGGTTTGAGAAGCAATTTTACAATTTCACAATGTCCAGCAGTTGCAGCATTGTGCAATGGAGTCATACCACTCGTTGTTTGACAGTTGATATCAAGTCCAATGCACGGATATGGATCAGATCTATGAAACAAATTATCCGCTAAAAGTCAACAATAATACAACCAACAAAAAAGATGACGTCTTGTTTACTTATACGAAGAAAATTAGACGCGGCAGGCTGGCAGCTAGCCTCATATGACACAGAATTTGATTGGTTTGTCAGTTTCGCGGGGCCAATCAAACTTCGTGTGACATTTGCATCCCTCGTTTAACGTTTTTATGAGAAGTGTATATCTCATGGAGGTATTGTGGAAAAGAGGAACAATAAGATTGTCTATGAAGGACATAAACGAACCAAATATGAACCAAATTACTCACCCATCGTTTGTTTGCACCATCAGCTTTGTAATGGCAACATCTCCACTCCCACATACAATATGAAGAGGCATGTTGTTCTCAACTTTCGTTCCTTGCTTAACTAATTCTGGAAATTTCTCCAGTAAAGCTTTAACAACATCAACATTGTTATTAACACAGGCAGCATAGAGCGGTGATATGCCAGTGAACTGGTTGCACTGTCCTGTTGCACCATTTTCCAACAATAACTTTACAATCTCCGCACTACCTTTCTCACATGCTCTGGAAAGAAAAAAAAAACTAAAGTGAAGAATTTCAAAAATATGGTCTGAACAATATAGTATTGTACAGAATTCTGTGCTTTGTATTTTGTGCTTTGTAGATGAAAAATATGCTGATGAAGAACGATTGATCATGATAAACTGTATCTTTAACTCACTTCAACAATAATGTTTCACCAGCGTTGTACTGTTTCTCAACGTTGAAATGACTACCGAGTTTCTGGATGATATCCTGAACACGATGGAATCTACCATTTGCTGTCTCAGTGAAAATAGCTGAAGAGAAGATTACATTTTATTTTTTAATTTTCATATACTGTATACATGCAGTCATAGAAATGAGCAAAATGTGGTTGAAGAATAAAAGCTACTGTAAATTGCATGAGTTCACCCACCTTCCTCAAGCAACCTTTGCTGTTCCATCTGTCTACGAGCTTATTAAGAAAAAAATATTGTTTTTCATTCAGCTTTGTCTCACCAGTAGAATCTATAGGCAGGCCTTGTATCTGTGTCACTAAAGCCTGCCACAGACATGAGCATTTCATTGAGCTCTTCCCTGAGCTAATGCCCTTGTGTTGCAATAGCATAGCTGATAGCTCTTGGGGGAGTTTGGTATTGCCTAACTTTAAATCTCAGATAATGTTGATTTTAGCCAGAGCATGTTACACGATGAACGCACCTGCTTCTCTGTGTAAATATTGAACACAATTAACATGACCTTCTTGTATCGCTAGGTCAACCGGTCTCTTGCCATTAGCATTGGGAATATCCAAGTCCGCTCCTCTCTCAACTAACAGCTTGATGCAGGAGATATGACCATTCACAGCAGCATGATGAACAGGTGTCTTAGGGTTGGAGAAAACGGAAGTCAAATGTCTGTATGATGATTGTGATCAGCTCAGGCGAGGAAATTCCAATGATTATAACAGTTCAAGCGTAATAATAACCCTGATTTATCTATAGATTCTTTTAAAGAAGCAGATATGGATAGATTTATACAATTTTAGATTACAGGCTATTGAAATGAAAGGAAGTGAAATTGTGAAACATATAATACTAAAATATCTCATATGAATGTTCTGACTAGATTGTACACAGATATCTAAGTGAAATTGTGATCTTGATTTGGACTGATAAAATCTCAGTAGTTTGGATTCCATCAATAATTACAAATTGACATCACTTAGTACTTACAGAGCAATGATCAGGAGGAGATGAAACTAAATTTGGATTTCCTGAAATGAAAAAGGAGTATTACTGTAAGTAAGTTGGTAATTCGAAACATAATTTGTTTGTTGATATGATTGCTTCTCTACCTCCATAATCAAGCAATATTTTTAGGCATTTTTCACTGCCATGTTGTGCAGCTGTGTGGACAGCTGATCTGCCATAATTGTCTCTACTATTGGCATCACCATTTCCTTTTGATGTCAGCAGAGAGAGAAGAAGATCATCAACGTCGTGGATGGATGCCTGGTGAAGCATCTCCCCTTCATGGACAAAAAACAAGCTTGCCATACCTGTTTCCTGAAATAAAATAAATACATATGAGTACAGTTGTGTGATGGTATGTGAAGAATGGAGCTGATTCTTATAACAGTGATCAGCACTAAAATTTAAATGGGTCATAAGTTCGACTCATTAGTTTGGAAAGTATCATACATATAGATATATATCTTCAAAGTGCCAAAAATATAAAAATTAACAGCTAGCCATGGGCAATTCAACTCAGAGTACATTATTAACAGCAATGGATGTCTTATTAAAATGTAGTTAATAAATTATTAATGAAATTGGTCTAAGCACATTAGGAATGTTATGCAAATCCTGAACATCACATATCTATATATATATATAAGTGAAGCAAAGCCAATTGTCTGGAGGAAAATCAAGAAGCAGATGCTGTGTTTGCAAAAGAATTACCCAGCTGGTGTGCTAAACAAGGAAGTACCTCCAAGAAGCAAATGAGAGAAGTTGATTCAAGTCATTCAACTAGTATTGCGATTAATACCAACTGGAAAAGAGTTTCATATATCCTATCTCCTTTTTTATTGATCAGATTGTTCAACAGTTAATTATTAAAGTCAAACACCTTGTTCTTGTATGTTTTAAATGTATCACTCTTAAATACTTTGTTTGCTGTCATTCTGAGTTCATATCTTTAAAAAAAGTGAATTGATTATCATATGTTAAGATATCTAAATATCAAAAACGCACAAAATAAAACTAAAAAATTAACAGAACTATCATGATTTTAAATCGTTTTTTCCGTTTGATTTATTGTCTTGTTGACAGAGGGTAAGCCAACTTAAAAATTCATAATCGGATGATGAATATGTTTGTATGTTATAATATTAATACGGTTGTCTGTCTGAATATTCGTTGTCCAACATTGAGGCAAGCCAGTCAACAATATATGTAACCATTCATTCATAAATGGATGAAAATATCGTGTTGAAATATGAATATACCTAAGCGAAATATCTCAGGAGGAATATAAGCTGAGTTCCTTACCTTAAAACGTTTGAACTACACTAAAATCTCCACATTTAAAGGACGATACACTGGATACAGTACAAGCGCTAAAATATCACTCATATTCACTACTTTCCAGCGAATGAGGTTGACATTCACGCACTAACAACTCGCTCGATAGACAAGATTTTTTGCCATTTAGAAGCTTAAATCATGTATTTTCTTGCATACATTTCATTTGTGGCGAAATTTCAAACGAAATCTTGTAAACATGATATAAAAACAAACACAGGCGCGATTATTATGCATGTGGAAAAAAGAGAGAAGAAAGGATTTCCAGGAACAGTCTCCCCCCCGGAAAACACTAAAGTAAAAATAGGTTCGCGTACGAGTACACAATTTTATTACAGTCGAAGAAGATGTATAACATTTTGAAACCGACCTTCGTCTCCTTTCCACCAGTCACTTCGTTTTTGTCAATTATTTCCATTTCATTGAGATCTATTCCATCATTTTCGATCACAATACCATCATCTTTTCTAGAGCTTAAACTATAAAAATAAAAAAGACAGGAAAGCGTGCCCAATACCATGTCAGTGAAGCGAATCCTAATATGAATTACAAAACTACTTACATCATTTCTTTACGTGTTTTTACTTCATCCATGTTTTCAATCTCTACTTCCAATCCTTCCACTTCAACTCCAATTTCGTTGAACTCCTTATTGAAGCGTTCCTTCATTTTTCCACACTCGTATTCCTCAACAATCTCCAGAAATCTTTCATCTGTAGAACAATGCAGTTGGATGTGCAGAGAACCTGGTTTAATATCGCGAATTTCTTGGTCATCTCGTTCTCCGCCGAGAGCCCGCGAAACAGCACCATCAATTTTTCGTGCTATGAGCTGGTAACCAGCGTAAATAGCACTCAATGTTACAGCAGTAATACAGACATCTCTCACCACTTGAGCACTATTACTACCAATCTTAATTGAAAAGCCACCACCTTTAACATATGAAAAACTGGCATGGATAGCATCACCAGCAATACACTGGGCTGTTTTACCAACATCAACTAGAGACTTGGCCAAGTTGTCCATGTCAAAATTTCCTATGAGAAAATTGATTGAGAACTTAATGTGAGAGTCTTGGACACATGAATAATCTTTAAAACAGAGTTGAAAATGTTTGGCTCGAGAGAGTTTGCCTGTGAAATCCTATTACAGGATGCCTACAGGCTGAGAAATCAAGGTGGTCAAACACAAGTTGATCGTCACGGGTGTTGAATGAAATCTTATGAAGTAAACATAATATTCTCATTTGCTCGCAAGTTGCAATACCAATTTTAAAACGATTTAAACGCTACGTAACGTTTCGCTTTCCGAAACTCACGTATGATATCATCTTGATATCAGTGCTCATATTTTACACGTTAAATCTTTGAATTTGTAGAGGAGACTTGTACAGTAGGTATTAATATTACATTACTTGGAAACACGTCTTCCGTTTTTCAAACCATTTACAATATAGGTAAATGACAGGAGAAGATCACCACCTCACCAGAACCACGGTATAGGATAAATCTGGAATAAAAAGCAAATGGAAAAATATAGGAGAACCAACAGGAGAACCAACTAAAATTTACTAAGAAATAATAAATCGAATTACCTGCTGTCTCGGTTGCTCTGAGGATTTTGTAAACTTTTATCATGTGATTAAGGGGTCATGACCTGTATGAATTCATAAGGAATAAGATAAGGAAATTTGTGATATGAAGTAAACAATACAATATAACTTACCATAAAGCAATATTCAGTATTACTATTCGAAGTCTCAATGCTGTATGTGTGTCCGTTCTCTAGCGACGCCCCAATATTACCTGGAAACCGCAATAGAACCATGCAATGCCATTGAATATCTCTTGTTATTCCAAGAAGATGCTTTTCATCTGAAGTAATCTTCGTAGAAAAATTATCAACACCTGCTGTCAAAAAAAATTTTCTTGATTTGCTAGCACGCTAGCCATCGCATTCACATAAATTTATAAAATATTTGTAGTATACCATCAGCAAAGAAGCCCCATATGTACTGAAAGTTCATCAATGGATAGGTAGTCAAACATGTCTATTAAGTATTTTATTTTGGATGTGCCCAATGTAAACAAGTCAACTTGAAGTTGCAAATTAGCATCACAAATTCGCAAATTGCTACTCATAAAATAACGACATCATGTCTGCAGTGAGACAATAAGTAATTCCGGTAAATTCAAGCGTTTGAATCGTTTTATCAGATGTTCAAAACTGCACAAAAAATATCATGGTAAGATCATCATACAATGCCACTATGTTCACTATCAACTGAAGTGAGTTGTCTCTAGTATCAAGGATGATATTTCTTTCTACGGTTTTGCTCGTGAATTGAATCGTTTCAAGTCAGAACACGTATCACTCATTCACTTTAGCAAGGCGACTCGGAGTTTCCCACGAAATATTCTTTCCTTCAGAGTTCCCGCTAATGCTATTTCGTCTTTCAGCCATGTTAGTCCCAGGTATAGCGATCAGTTGGGCTTGTTCCATTCTCTTTCTCATTTCTTGGATACTTTTGTCTTTCGCTGCCATCTTTTTACCAAGTTCTTGAATTGTTTTAAATCTAGTAGAAGTCAGAAAAACAGAATAGGATTTGATAAATAAAACTGAAAATGGAATAAAACAGCGTTGAGTGTTGACTTTTTGAGGATACAGTGGAAACAATTGATAAACTTAGATTACATGGCGAAACAGGAAAGACCCTTTGTTATCTTTACCTTTGTCTGCTGAGGTAACCGAGTTGTTCAACCTGTTTTCTCAATTGCCAAACCAGTTTTTCATTATGTTCGAGTTGTACACGAGCTTCGTCACGTTCATGACGTAACCTCTCTGTCTCATTACTCACTTTTTCCTTGCATCTCAGTCTCTCTACTGCGGTCACGTGCTCAACATGTCGTCGCTGACTGGACAGTTTGTGCTTCAACTCCGTTATACGCATGCGTGAATGTGCGTCTGCACAAGTAGCGTTCTCGCGATCCAGCGATGCTTTCCGTATTATTTCGCGCAATGCAGCGATTTCCCGATCTTTTTCGCGCAGCATTTTTGATAGCTGTACGTCAACACTGTCCGTCTTCTCAATCTTTGAGCCTTGATCAGTTTCTAAACTTTGGTGTAAAGATTGAACAAGATGACCGTATACGACACCACCATTGACTTTCCTATGATACATCTGTGTTTCACCTTTAAAATGCTTTTGTGTTTTGCTCGACTGTTCTTTCTCTTTTCTATCTAAATGACCCAAAGTAAATGACTTTGTTTTGTCCTCAGCTGCCGTGTTACCATGGCTTCCACTACGTGATACATCCTCTGGCAATTTTCCGTACTCCTCCAAAAGTGATCTTTTAGCATAGTTCCCTTTGCCTTTCAGTTCAAAAGAGATGCTCCTCGTAGGTTTATGAGAATTCAGCGTCTGAATTGAAGGTAGCTCACTCATGGTAAAACCTCATAACTGATAAGTTTGATCGTGAATTCCAAATAGTAATTTAATACTTATATTTTTTATGACCCATCAATATTTGAAGTCAATTGTTATTTGATCTCCTGATATTGTCCTTGCTCAAAGAACCTGATGCATGGCTAATGGCATGTGAGAAATTAATCCGTCATTTCCAGAGAGATGAGCTCATTTAATTCATTTGTACATGGTCAAAATTTAACATGAAGTTTGTATAGCTGGTAGCCTGGTAACAGAATCTATTGTTTCTAGCACGAATATAATAAAGACTTCTCGCATTTTATTGGCATTGGGAGCACCCATTTTCGAAACTTGGTCTCAACCAAGCACATTCTATACTGAGTGCAAAGCGTAGCATGATTGAAAATTTGGTTAGATGGGTTCTTCATTAAGTAAATCATGAAAGATCTGATGGTAAACTACCTTATATGAAACGCATATGCTCAATATTTTTTAATCATGGCTCCGTCTATATAAGCTGGAACCTTTATTTCCGACTCCCTCGTGCACAGCACGAGCCTAACAAAAAAAATACTGAACAGTAATCTTTCTCTTTCCTTAAAGTGGCGGAACTTGGCTATGGCCACGAAAATAATAGAGCATGTGGAAGGATAATTACATATCCGGAATTCGTAATGTTTTCTGTTATCAAGTGCAATCTTAAAACGTTTTTAATTTCAAATGAATTCGGCGTAGAATTGATTTATTTATCATTTGATATTCCAATGAACTTTGCCACTTTCGAAGCTTTCCAAATATGGCAAGCGACGCATGTTAATGTTGTATACTCTCAAGCTGTTTGCTGTCGTATTGTTTGAACTAGAAAATAGTTGTTCTTTCTGGCGCTAAATATTTGGCCTGTCGTTATTAAAGAAGCCAATATTCTCGAGAAACAGAGAGATCATTTTAAGGTAACATGAACGTGGGTTACTGCAAGATTGTTTCTTCAATTCTGGTAAAACAGATTGTTATCTTTGATACTGTGTTAGTTCAATTTCAAAACATGTTTTTTATCAGCTTGTATATAGTATTAGAAACTGTAATGTGGTCTATCGAGCGAGATTTATCTTATCTGACGATGTCTTTTGACTGCTTTGCACGGACAAATTTTGTATGTTATTTAAATACACCCACTATGTCTATGACAATGTGTCACTGTCACTGATCTCTGTTGTATATGACTGAATATGTGAACGTATAACGGTCGAGATGTACTAGAATCTGAGCCTCTGAGGATGAACTGTGTCGATGTGCTACTAAGTGATCACTAATTTACATAATAGCAAAAACAATCCTTTTTTCTCATTCGCACTAATGGCCTACTCAGACATTAACATCACACCTTAAAAGCATTTGACCTATTTCAAAATAGGAACGCGAGCAATTCATATTCTGCGGACAAAAAACCCGATAAATTTGACAGCATTCGTTTACGTAATATATCGCGGTTATGCCAATATATAAATTATAAATGCCCAGAAACATCTGCCAAAGTGATACGAGCCTTTAGCTTATTGTTTATTCCACGACTTTCTTGTATATTTTATATTGTAGAAGAAAGGACAGTTTCCACCAATCTTGAAACAATAATGGCTGTGGTAATTAACATATCTGTGATTTTAGAAAACTGTACGAGTTTGTGGAAAGTGAAAATAAAATATCGTTTGCTATCATTTCCTAGGAAAATGCAGAGTGGGAACAGAAAGCACGTGAATGGATTGAAATCGTGGGAGGTTTTAAACTTGGGAATGAAAGTTTACAAGAAGAACTGAAAAATGGTATTGCACTGTGCAAGTATGTCATGATATGTGGCTGATGATATTGTGGTTAATTTCAATGATACAATCACATACCGTACCGTACTGTACCGTACCATACCATACCATATACCACACCATATACCATACCATACCATATACCATACCATATACCATACCATACCATATACCATACTATACCACACCACTCCAAAATATACCATATGTCAATCATGGATGTTTTGTTTACCAAAAAGTCGTCCATTACAATCCGTTTTATCCGTATAGACCTCCTAATGATTTGAACAAGACTGCCATCATTTCGTTCGCTCTATGTGATATTGAGAACTCTGATATTTTGTGAACCAAACCACACTAATACTATTATTACTATATGTCGGTCATGTAAACCATGTTTACTGGAGATAGCCAAACAAATGAATATCATTTTCTCTCGTCTTACCAGCTTTATAAATGTTCTACAACCAGGCTCTGTTAAGAAGGTTAGCAAGCTACCAGGACCATTTAATCAGGTACATAATAAAGATCAGTTTATGGCAAGTTTGTAAGAAATACCTTGCTGTTTGAGAGCAGTTTGGCATTGAAAGATTGATAGTGAAATCTTTCATTTCCAGATGGAGAACATCAAAGCATTTTTAGATGCAGTTGAACAGTATGGTTTAGCCAAAGAAGACACGTTTGTCACAGTCGATCTTTTTGAAGGAAGAAATATGAAGCAGGTGCCTGGTTCAGTTTTAACTATATTTCCAACTGTCCTATCCTAAATATTCAGTATGCTGTTGCCTGTTGTTAGAAACAGCCTGAGAGAATATAGAATAAATTTACTACGAAGATCATTTTACTACGAAGTGCTGACCTTTGCCTTTATTTTAATGTCATTTTGTTTAGGTTATTCGAACTATTTATGCAATTGGACGGAAGGTAAGAATCTTTTTATATACTTTTTATGCATTTTCGAATTCATATCAATAAAAGCTTTCGTGTCAAGACCTAATTTTCGTATCGTTACCAGGCCCAAGAGAAGAACGCTCCATACCCTCCACTTGGTCCCAAAGAGTCGAAAGAGAACAGACGAGAGTTCACGCAGGCACAAATGGAAGCGGGGAAACACGTTGTCGCTATGAGGTTTTAGTGAAGTTATCCAACTGGGAATTTACTGTGAAACTGTCCTTTCAACACTGGTGTTGAAACAAGACGAGACTGCTCATATTGCTTTCTAAGTAGTATTTTAAATATTCAGAAAAAATGTAAACAATATTTAAGAATGTAAAAAATTTACTGTGGCTCCGTGTTCACGAAATTGTTGCTTATTAGAAATAGGACTATTTTTTATCATTTCATAAATAGCTGTGATTTTTCTATCAGTAGAGAAATAGTCATAGCTATAAAGCCAATAAAGCGATGTAATAAGGTCAGCGTTGTTGATATTAGCGAGGTAATTGACATTCAACAACACTCTGGCCCCTTCCGATGGATTTCCGACGAAAAGAAGCAATATTTTCCGGTGCAAAGGCATGCAGTGCCACAATCTCATTCGTCTGCAACATGCAGTAAAGAAATGTAACCTGAATTTTTTTAGTGTGGGTAAACCACTTCAGCGCAAGATTTACTGAATGTCCAAAGAATGCTTCAACTGATGGAATCGCTTTTTGACAAAGTCATAAAAGTCATATTCTAACTTCATATTTCCTCTTGAGATCGCGATAACCTTTTCTGAAGGCTTTTGTTTTTTCCTTGTTAAAGACAGCACTGATTTCTGAGGAATGTTAGGATCTATGATAGTTGCACTTGATTAGATAAAAGATCAACCATTTTGAACATATTTACACCACGATTAGTATAACACAAACATTACCTGGCGTTTTGGATTCCCTGTAAGCGCCTTTGAAAAAATTTGGTAGCAATTTCTCTAAAACCTTAATAAAATCTTCGTATTCTTCTAGTATTCCAACGACCAAGTACTTCTCAACGTTTTTTTTCGCTTGCTCCAGTGCCCAAACGGTCGGTGTTCTGAATACAAGAGTTTAAAAAAATTGCGAGGTATGAAAAAAAGCGATTCGCGAGGGAAATACGCACAACGCTTGTCAATGGTGCGAAGTGATAATCAGAAAAATGAATGCTGTTGAAATCGAAGATGGATTTTCCTTTTTTTTGCAGGAGAGAACGCATTCCAAGCTGACCGAGTTATTAGTTATTTTAAGCACATGTGGTTGATGTGGCGTGATTCATGTCTGATCAGGAAGCATTAGAAGAGTAACTTCAGACTGGCCCATCCCACTTTGTCAAAAGTCCCCGTGGGAGGAAACTGCAGAAAATTCGCGACCATGCAAGAGACTGTGTCTGTGTTTACACATCAAATCATCAATACCCTTTGTTGATTAATATCGACGAATTATGCTAAATTTAAACTGATACTTCAGACTCACCGACATGCTTTTGAATGGCCGCAAAAGAATGGCACAATAAAAAATATTCCCCAGTTTCCAACGCATTCTGTCTCCTGTTTCAACACGCACTCGTCATATGTCTGCAACAGATGCATCCAAGATGTTCCATATTTAAAGAACTATATATAGTGTTTATTATACTTATATTTCCTTTCTTTTCAATCTTACCATGTCCTGATTCCTAATGGACCTTTTTACGCGAGTTTTATTAAGTAAATTGTCGCCATATCGTCGAAAATAGAAATGAGATACTGCTCTTGAGACTGGATCTCTAATGAGATTAATATACGCAACTTGAGGACCTGAAAAACTGAAAATAAAAAAAATCATCAGCTTAAGAGTGCACAACTCCACTATAAACAAGAGCCAACTTTTATTGATCAAGTAGAGATCTAAACAAAACTTTATCAGTTCTAAACTGTTCTTCCCAGAGGTCCAGTAAGGATCATCTCTTATTGATCCAGTGTTACTACAAGAGGAATCCTAAACTAAACAACTTTATTTATATTAGATATATCTCTATTAGTTCTAAACTGTTCTTCCTAGAGGTCCAGTAAGGATCATCTCTTATTGATCAAAAGGCGATAGGCATCAATTTTGAGATTACTTACGTTTCAAAATCTATGTAATGCATATGTCTATGATAGAGAAACGGTGTTCTAAGGGCAGACATAAGATTGCTTATTCTTATCTATAAATAAGAAACGCGGATGGTTTTTAGGTAATACTAATGTATATAAAAAACAATTTAAACCTTTTATTTGAGATATATCAACAAAGGCTTGTAATGATAGCATCAATAAATTCATCTATCAATCAAGCACATAAGATAATGCTTTGGACTTTGACATCATTCTTGAAATAATTTCTGGAAAGATTGCATTGTTTATGTCTGCTGACAAAACAACAAAATATCTTCAAGATATCTTCTCGCGTTTCAAAGGCAAGAAAGAGAACATGGAATATCTGAGTGAAATGGGCTTGCAAAAGCATGAAACAAATCGTCATTTCGTATCAGTCGCAAAATACCTAACGTTTCATGGTATAAACAACTAGTATTTCGCATATCTGCACACAAAACAACCGCCTGATGTTCTCTGAAACACTTCATTGTTGTACGTAAAGTTGCATAGAAATTGCAGCGGAACCGAAAACGACTGTTAAGTTATTATGGTTATACCTGATCATTGCGTTCCAGTTGATAAGGATAGTTCAAGGCAGGTTCAATGACCCGGTATTTGTTTTTAACAGCGAGGATTTTGAACAAAGATAATGTAGAACGACTGCCGCATTTTGGGACACGGTTGTAAACAATGCGCTAGGAATAGAAAGTATATATGACAGTCCTGCTGCGTTTAGTTAGCTTGTAATTAAATTGACGGCGTTTACCTCAATTATCTGAGGATGGTTTGCTGCAAATCCTGAAAAAAATTTGGAAGAATTAGTGATGTTTACAAGAATCTATGCCAGCAATTTTGACTTATCAGAAACGTCACTTCTGGAGTGGCTAATTAGCATAATTCGCATTGCGCACTCTATACAAAACCTTGCAATACAATACTAACACGTCAGAACAATAAGAAAAATAACAGAGGACAATTATTGTCAAATGATGGTGGTTGAGCATCAGAGAAGTCATACAGGCGATAATATAGCAAACCTGAAATGATTGAGGTATTGACGGCGCGTTCATTTCGCGTGAAATATACTTTTCCCACATGTATGTTGCCATTGTAGTTGGTCGTGCTGCCATTGTCTAAGTTTAAACCGTAAAAAACAAAGATAAACCCAACCAGAACGAGAGCAACGGGAACAAACAGTCTAAGGCGTAGACGCATGTCTTCAAGAATGCATCTTTGATGTTTATTTGCCAGAATTTCTAGCGACGTTTTAATATTTGTGAGAGACTATTCAAGACGTATCGGTTATTCCAGAGGAAGTATTAAAACCGATCATATTACAAATTGTGTCGATTCCGGTCCGACTATTCACTATTGGGGCGGGCATGGGGGCGATGATCGATCCAGCGCGCTTTTAAAATATTAATATGAAAGATTAGAAATATAATCGCTAAAATCTCGTATGTTTAACATCAGTAACGGCATAAATTAAAATGCTGTCGTCTACATTTGAACTATGCAAGTTTCTTTGCAATTGTGACTTAACCATTAAAAATATTTATCTTACAGTAGAGAAGCATATGTTGATAGATGGTATAATTATAATACATGACCTTATTGTATGTGAGGATTTCTGTTATATTGGGATATAAATAATATTGACGAAGGGTTAATACATTGTGCAACAAGTGCATATTTTTTTAGTCTCACGTACCTAAAATTAAATGGAAGATCTTTCATTGCAGAGTTATTAAAAGACTTCTATCATAACGGCTTTATCGGACTTCTATCATAGCGGATATATTCTGCAGAATCCCTACAATTCCCCCATCTTTAAATTACCAATTTCTAGTTAGGACCATTTTTATTATGCCCGGGACATGCCCCTTGTGATGATATGTGCAGTGATAAAAAATTCTTAAAATTAGCAATTGTAAAACACCACACCACGTAGCCTCCTCCGCATGCCACTTTAGTTTTATAGCCTGGAGGATTATCAATATCAGTAGGCCAACCTCTGTTATCCCAAACGGCAAACTTTTGAGAAATGCAGCGTATACTTTTGTATTAGCAAACGGTGAAATTTATGAATATTTTGGCCGAGTGTAATTGAATAATGAATATATGTTTTGATAAAATACGAGGGGAGGAGAAAACGAAGGAGTAAACTCCCCTCTCTTTCTCTTTCTCTTTCGCCCCGCGCCTCTTCCCGCCTTCTCTCCCTGTCCCTTATACAGCAGTTACACTCGGCCAAAACATGTATTTAATTACACTCGGCCAAAATATTACGAATTTCACCGCTGGCGAATACAAAAGTACGCCGCATTTCTCAAAAGTTTGCCGTTTGGGATAACAGGCTATAAAACTAAAGTTGCCTGCGGAGAAGGCTAGATCACGTCTAACCACAAGCACCTCTCTTTCACACATATATAACAACAGTTAAAACACCATATGACGTACAGAGCCATCAAGTGTTAAGAAGGTGCACTTAACCAAAGGACTATAATGTGACATTTAATTAAAGTTCCCTTAGATATTAAGGGGTCATGTGAAAAACGTCGACATGAAAATCTTGCCTGATGTTACTTATTATTCGATTATACCAGCTAAACCTCTACAATTTCGATTCCATCTGCCACAGGGTAAACATATGTTGTGTCTTTCACTTCGAAAATCTATTTCCGCACGCTCTCGCAGTTATATCCTGGCCTGCTACAGTATAGGGCTCTACGTGGTACTTAGGTTTTAGGCTGGGCGATAACACAGGTCGTAAATAAAGGCTGTTTTTGCTGTGCAACTGGGCAGCTCCTTATTTTTAGACGATCTGCCACCTCGCAGTACTTGTCATGCAGATAACTGATGACGTTGCACGAGGCTATGACGTCAATCGGATGGTTCTCGAGAGACGCCGCGAATGTGTATCCGTCGTGTGTTTTGAAAGAATGCTGTTGGATTGACATAATGACGCCGGATTTTTCAATACCAGACAATTTTAGAATACCAAACCCCGAGAATCACTTGCAGGCTATGCACTGATCTAACCACACCGCTCACCACAGCAGTTAGTGTAGGCAAGAATTACCAATTACATACCTATTTCATACTTGAAGCGTATTCAATAAACCAGTCCTAACGCCATGCAATGCCAATATTGAAGGAACTAGAATCTGTTCGTTGAAATCATTTTCGAGGTTCAGTTTATGACTTTCCACCTGATCACTGTTACGTAGAGATGGGTAATCTGAAAAGAGTTACAGGCATTTGATTGGTTCATGGTCTACGAAAGCAGACGTGATTGGTTGATCTAAACAGAGTTAGCGCAATTGATTGGACGTTTTCTCAAATGGCGTTCAATAACTTGCCCACTTGGTTCTATTTGGAGTAAAATCTTATCAAAATTTCTTAATCAAATGAAAAACAACTGCATTTGATCGAAATTTTCCTGCTATTTTCATCAAGCAACGAGATGTACATCTTCATGAATATTACTGATAACACGTCAGGATTTTTTTTTACACATTAGTTTCTTTTCAAGCGTCTTATTCAACGTCATAGTGATTAGTTGTAAAAACGCAATATTTATAATCCTTAGTGAAAATGGATTCAGCTCAGTGTTATTAATAATACAGCAGTTAGAAACGCGCAAATAAACAGCTCAAAACAAACCCCACAATCTGGTTTAAACACATCTTTACTTGACGTCATATATATTAAATCCGCATATATATCTTGAATTGTTTACCAGAGAATAATAGATTAAGATGCGTCGGCAGAGTAAAATTGATTAAGCTAGAGCCATGCCATGTTCATACCGTCTCCCGCAGTCCCGCCTGTTATGCAATCAATTGCCTAACAAGCAAATTTCTATCGCCCAGAATTGATTGCAAGAAGCTGCTAGAAACTGATGAGTCTTCCGCTAAAACAAATTCGCTCTTAATCAACCATTAGCGTTGCTCTGATGCGCTGAATTACGAAATATTGCATTTATTTGCTATCATCCGTTCCCCTCAAAACGCCTTATAAATGCGATGCAATCTGGCTAAGTCTCATGGTTTTCATTTTTGTCGTGTTAATCAAATTTGCAATCACCCCATTCTTCGATAAAGGAAGTTGTACCGCATGTCATACGTTTTCGAAGTACACACAACAACACAGATGTTCATTTTTGACATTTTTGTTGTATGATTTTTTGTTTTCTTGTATAAATAAATAATTTTCTATGCCCAACTCAATATTTACAAAGCATTTTAATTCGGTAAGCAATCTGAGAGCATCCGTCTTTGATTGTACGTCAGTGAAGTTGGAAACTCAATGTTGAAAGTCACGATTAGATCACCGCGTTTCGAAGGAGTTTTTGGCAATGGTAAACCTTCGCCAGGGTAGCGCTTCACGTACCCTGGATGAACAATGTCCCGAATATTAACATCGTGTCTTCGTCCGTTTAAACCTTGAATACAATACGATACGCCGAGTAAAGCCTGTTTTAGTGAGACATTTGCCGTATGTTTAATATTATTATCGCTGTCTCTGCTGTACAATGCGTGAGGCTTGTCTTTTAAGATGAAAGTTATATCAGCTGGCTGCCGTCCTGGGAATTTATCACCGTGTTCAGGATAGGTTACTTTTGTTCCAGCTTTCCACCCTGGCTTAATGTTAATTTCTACAAGTCTCTCTTCCTCCGTGAATCGTCCGCGTTCATCGTTTATTTTTCGTCGGATTTTTAACTTCTTTATACATCCTGATGCGATCTCTTCAAGAGAGACCTCGATATGTCTTTCAATCGTAGGATCTTTTGGCAGAGAAGGGAGAACCGCAGTTGTTCGCCGCTGCCGAATTTGAACAAGGTTCCTGTCTTCCTCGTTTATTCGAGGCGGAAGATGGTCCATTGTCAGAATCAAACACCCCCCAATTAAAGTCTGGTTTTCTTTTTCTTGCAAAAAAATTGTCTCTTGTAAACTCACTATTCCGTGTACTGTTCTGCTCTTTGCTCTGCTCGTGCATGCTGAAATTCTTCGTTTCACTGCTTTTCATATTCGTTCTGAAGCTTTCGTGTGTATCAAAAGGATCCTCTGTAAGACGGGAGAAAAAAAACACATTTAATATCATCTACGCCGGCGATAAATACGTTTCTACATATAGAACGAGTCAGAAGCAAAGAGATTTTTCTAGAATAACTTTGAATCACAATGAACAATGCTGTACAAATTTTTAAACAAGATTGTTCGTAAACATTGCATTTTCTTGTGTCAATATTTGACGCATTAACGTGTCATTTTGTACATGGAAGAACAAGTCCTGTAAGCCCTTGTCCATTGTAAATCCTGCCGGATCATAACACACAAAAATAGTTGTCATAGACAGAAATGTGTAATGTTCCTTAGTAATATCTTCCTGTTCTTTGTGATGCTGATAATGTACTATTCTAGATCCTGATGAGAAAGATCTGTTTATGATTACAACAGGTGTGTACGGTCAGGCATGACCTCATTTTACAGAGCTTGCTTCCGACCGTTTCTAGAAGATTCTTCATATGACAAAACACACACAAAAGACGAAAACACTGCAAATACTTAAAGTCACTGAATTGCACATCAAATTTTTTAACCCAGACATAATTTAAACAAAAGATCTATAGGATTGTCGAAAAAATAAAGGATTTGGGATTATAGCTCTCAGGAAGTTGATACTCAAGTCTTGGGATAGGGAATATTAGGCAGTTTTACTTTAAAAACATTGCACATTATATGTGTTGCCTTGAATTATGTAAGGTAAAATGAGGCTATATGATTCAAATTCTGTATGTGAATTGACTTCGAAGTATCCTACATAGACTCAAATACACAAATGTTCATGTTTTGTCTCTATTGAAAATTGAGGAACTTTCCAACACAAAAAATTCTCTTGATTACCATACACATTATTACATCATTCATTTCAAAGCATCACACTATTATAAATTTTCATGTTTTCCACAATATTGCTTGGCCAAACAAAATAGTAGGCAAAACAAATTGATAAACATTATGGCTCATTCTGGAATGAAGTACCCCCTTCATACACTGTTTGAACATGCTGGGAAGTTAAATTAATAATCAGCTAATTATAGTTAGTCAATCTAAAACATCACTGGGATACTAAAATGAATCAGCTTCGAAAACAACTGGCTGGAATCTGCTCAAAAACACATTTTGAATCTAAAATGTTTTACCAGAAGTTTAAAAAAAGAATTTTGATAACCGGTTGACCTCTGTCAAAAACAGACAAACTTTAACACTCAACACTTTAATGCCCACGAAAGTATCATTTAATAGGCAAAAGGAGCATCGAAATATTGCTATGGCAAAAACATCATGATGCTGTGTGCTTGTTCCACAATATTGGAGCATTTCTTTTCAGAGCAGTGTAATGTATCGCTGACAGATTTTGTTACGAGGCACTCACAGCCGACTACTGACAGCTAAGGAAATGCTGGAGAAAAGAAATTCCCTTCACAAGCATTTTACTTTTGCTGAGTACCATAAACTGAAACAAGCCTTTTGAACAACCACAACACAAAAATCAGTTTATATTTGTAAAGACTAAAGAGTTCGGCTAAAACCACGTGTTTTTATGTAACAAAATGAGGTTTGAGAACAATTTTGTACATTTATCAATAAACCAATGAGGCAGCAGCCGAGAATCCTTTAAAATGTAGCAAGTGTATCATTTCAAGGAAATAGTTTAAATGTGTTTCAAACTGGTAAACTAATGTTTCGTATTTCCTAGCAATTTTAAAAAAATGTTAAGGACTGATGTGGTAATGACAAAACATCATACAATAAATAATGTCATACACGGAAGAGTGTGCAGACGTCTGTCATATTCCCGCATCAAACCTTAACTTTTACTAATCTAGGAGTACACTACATTAAATAGTATAGAAAAGCACATAAACATAGGTTCAGAAAGCGACACTTACCGGCACTAAAATTAGGAAAGTAATGTTCAAACCATTCCTTCGCAGTCTCATAATTTGGTGCGGATGACCAAGTGTCATCGTTACAGTCGAAGTCAGGGCCCCTCTTTTTAGCGTTGTCGTATCTTAGCCGTTTTGACGGATTGCTCAATACCTCATGAGCTAGGCTTATCCTTTTGAACTGCTCAGCTGCATCTGGTGCCCGGTTTTTATCAGGATGATACTGCTTCGCCAAATTATAGTAGGCCTTCTTTATTTCATCAGGACTTGCGTCCTTTCGTACGTTTAAAATATCATAAAAATTCTCGCTTGCCATCTTGTGATAAAATGAAACAAATACTCGTGAATGACTCTATATTATACTACAAGTCTGTGCTAACAGCCATATACTACAGCGTAACCGTTTTCATCTCAAAACACGGCTTCTCTTTGCTCGTTCGGCGATGTGTGTTTTGAGTTTTGTTTGATTATTGGAATTTTCTGGACATAGTCTGCTGTATATGGACATGCTGACCATATATGGAAGGCGACATCTGGCGGCGGAAGTCGCGGTGAAAATTCGGAACTTTCTAGACGGACGGCGCACCGCCGGTTATATAATGAAAACGTGCGATTAATATTATGATTCACTCAAATCATAAACAGTTTTTTATGTTTAAAAATACTATTAGGTGAAAGAATATGCATATAATTGGTGGTATATATCAGTTGGCTGCAGTTCAATGGTGAAGTTATAGAAAGAAAATTAGCAAAATATCTTCGCCAACGCGCTATCTGCATGATCCGACCACCATGAACTCAGTGCGCTAACGAAGTAAACAGGGTCTGCTGGAACAATCCAAGGGCAGAAAACGTCAAGAGTTATCGATAGGGTTACTAAGAGAAAGTAAAAATGTTTACTTACGACAGAACTTTCATCTCAGACATATATCTGCCTGTCAAGAAGAATTAATCCAGTGTTCCTAAAAACGATAAAAGAAATAGGCGTGAAATTTGTGTAAAACTTTTGTTACTAATCGTCATGGATTAATTGTAGGTCTTTGAAAGAAAGCAAGGAAAATAATTATAGATTTAAAAAATGGCAAATAAAATGGTTATGATATCATAAATAGGAGAAGGCGTTTGTTTGGTACAATTGTTAAAATCATTTCAGTGATATGCTATGATCCAGTATAACCGGCAAATAAACTCGACGACAAGATCTCTGATCAAGAAGATAATTTAAATGAAAGATTCAAATTTAATCGTGTAGTGTAGTGTAAAACAAACGTTTCGATCACCTAAATAAACCTAATATCAACTGCGATGAGAAAATCCTATTGTCCTTAGGTAAATAAGATGAGAGGTAATGAAAAGTTTGAAGCTGAAGTTTGAAACAAGTTGGTTTAGAAGAGGAAGTCTAGGAAAGACATAGTGTTGGTCTCATGATACAAACTTAGTCTAGTTTAATGGTATGTACCGGAACAACTAGTTTGTAAGAATTTAACCAATCACTTTCTATAAATAGTAAAACACTGACTATTATTCCTTTACTAATCCCAGATGGGAAGGTAATATGATTTCAACGTGTATACATTGTTTCAAAAAATCACTTCTGACACATAGTCTACAATCGTTCAAATGCTGATTACTATCAGGTCAGACGAAAATGCGACTGAACTATTATAATTTGCATTCGGCTCACAATTAAAGTCCAATTCTCGATAACTCTTGTCAAATCGCATCAATTTTGACTATGTTCAACAAGGCAGCATGCGCAAGCAAGACTTTCAACTTGTATCAAATTGGATCAATTACATGCATCTTCATGTGACGCCGGCAAGCTTGAGTTAGGAATGATATAATATTTTGAAACCACTCAATGCATGTATGCACTAAACTTAATCCCTTGAAGAACAGAAAAAAAAGAAACCCTAATCAGACAGAGGGAATATTGCGCTAGCGAAAAGTGGTATTTCAAAGTGAAGAATCAAAGGTACTCGGCCTCAATTCTAGAAATATCGGTGACCTTTCATTTTAGGCACACAGTAATCTCAGGAGAACTGCTCCATGCTATAAGACAATTAACCTTCTGAAAATGCCGGAACAGCAAAGAATAGTCTTGAAGTATTTTTTCTATTATAGTTTGGAAAAGGCCAGAGAAAGAAGGTTGGGGCCTACTGTGTTAGAACGGCTAAGATAATAGTCTATTCGTCACCAAAAGAAGATTCAACTTCCTCTAAGGAACAAAGAAATAAATAAATTTGTGTCGCCTCATACCAATAACTGCAATACCTCTTTGTTCGGAAAACAAATGATCGGAAACTCAATATAAAAATCATTAAGGAAATTGGAGTATAATTTGCCTTCTAGATCTGTCAAGTGTCTCAACACACGTGCGAGAACCCACCATGAACTGTCATCTCACTAGCTTCTTCCACAAGCACGTCACGCAGGGTCTGAAAGCTCCCGCAGAAAAATATTATATTTCTAGATGGTTTCATTTGCCTAAATTTAACGTAAATCACATCTGGTGTTCTATATCTAGATTGGAAAAACACATTCGATGAACGCAAAATTCACAGCAGCAGAATCATCATAGAGCATTCTAGATTTAAAACGTGCACGGTCATGAATTTTAAATATATCACATACAATACGATATATAATTACAACAATTAATGTAGATTTTGCGGAGCTGACACAAAAGACATGCAATAATGATAATTTTGGGTCTTTGTGTTTGCAAGCGCTGACGTGTGTGGCCGCGAATGACGGAATTCTGTGGGTGATGAACACGACTCTTGCAAGTTTGAAGGATGTAAAATACACAGAGACGGAGGATGTTGCGTAAAATATAAAAGCGATTTACGTAATTGCAAAAATGCGCCGCGTCAGTTTGTCCGGCTAAGGCCGGTTGTATCAAGCCCGTTTAGCTTAAACGATGGATAAGTCAAAATTAAATAACACTCTTACATCTCTCTTGAATGAGTCACCTTGAATATTATGTACTGCATATGTAGTTGTAAACAGTGTCTTTGTATTAAGGTTAAAAACATTTAGTTTGGTTCTTGAATAAAGCGATAGACTTGCTTTCTATTTTGAACTTAACTATACCGTTTAAGCTAAACGGGCTTGATACAACCGGCCCCTGGTGAAGTGATGCAAGGTTAGAACCAGTGCCAGTCAAGGTGGAGAGATCTGTTCAAGGAAACGAGGATTGTGGTTCAATTCATCGTAAAGGAAGAAATCTGCTTGGCCTTGGGGAAGGAAGTTCTGTTTAAACAAGCAAACCCCACGCTATAAATCACGAGATTGACATGTTTAGGAAGACATATCGCCCACATGATTTCCCTAACTCTTGAACGAGAGCACAAGCAAAAGGAAGCAGCAAAGGTCTGAATATAATGCTGCAGCCTGCATGAAACTTAAAACCTAAAAACGTCCTCGCTGACTATTTCATTACGGGCAGGAACTGCATGCGCAGTTTGTCGACTTGATATCATAACTATACATAAGCATATCCTACGTTTTCCTCAAAAGGATTCTTTTCACAAGCCTTCTTTCAGAAATGGTTCAGAATCCTGAACACGGAAGGTCATTCAGAGTTTGTCGAGTACTCTTGAATATATACACAAGTAAAGATCACGAGTGACCCACAATGTCAAAAACAACCGACCACGCACTCTATAGACACATTGAAAACTCCAGACTATAATAGCGTCAACAGTTTAAACGTGAGTGCTTGCATGGTAGACAAGCACTTTAGATAGGTCAATGAAACCAAGTAATCTTATAGTTTGCTTTGGTTAAATGAATAACATGATAAGCTAAAGATTTTTTCGCATTTTCATATTGTAAAAGAGCGGTTTACATTGTACTTAAAAAATGAATATTGGACTTTCAAGATGAAGACGGATTCGACAAAATATATGTGTATCCGCGATGGTGATTTAAATTGCGTGAAGCATTAGATAGCAAAGATTAACCTAACCATGCACCATGTTGTGGTACTTATACGAAATTTTCGTATCTCGAGGGTAAAATACACACAATATGATCCCGCTTTATTGAATCTGGCAAAACAAAACAAAACAAGCAATTATAATATTTCATCGACTTTTCGAGATGTTTCTCTCAAGCACATTGCCACCTGTCATTATTAAGCCGTTCCTGCCGGTATTCCTTTGAAAACGCTCTCCGCCAAGGATCGTCTTTGTCTTATTGTGTTCCGCAGAAGTTTTATAGCTGCAAGGGTCTGCCAATGATTAAGGCCGACATCAATAATTTATATAATGCCTGAAGTAATATTGAATAAAAACACTTTCCTATACCCTGGCTGCATGAATATATGATAAAAACTTGATTTGTTTTCAAGAGAAGATGGTCATAATCTTATCTCTGTGCCAACCAACTAAAGCCTAAGTAATCTCCATTCAATATATAATATCAAACTCCGGTTTGATATATTTTCAGTTAGCGACTAGAACGATTAAGCAAAAGAAAAAGAAACGGATAATTTAAATATACAAATAGGCTACAATACTATTATTTGAAATTCTTATCAACAGATGGCATTTACTCCTATAGAGCTTCCCAGTACAAGACTAACTAAACTAAATGATTTGGTTTGATTGTAAAAGTCCTTGCAACTTAAATATCCGAGCAAATATCAATATTCGGTGTATTTGTTTCTTTAAGAGCGCATTGACGAACGTTGTACATCTAACCCACAAATATTTAGGCTACTATCGACAATTTCAAAGTATGCACTACAAATTATGCTAGAAATTTCCTAAACGAAACATGATTGTTTGAAACGTCTCCTTTTAGGACTGTACATTCTCATCTATCCGTAGCATGAACAAAAACACAGACAATTATTGGTAAACACAACTTGAAAGGTCAGCAAGGTCTACGGAGTAAAGTGGGTGCTTATTGATTCCTTTTTTTAATATTTTTAAAGCAGTATTGTTGAGAGTGATTGAGAGAGAAACCGTGATCATCGCTTAGCAACAATGCTTCATGAATCTTGTAGACATGTTTTTGGAAAATAAGAAGATGATGTTGGTCTGATATAGCTCGCGTGCATAGTTATAGTGCCAATGGCATTGAACAATATTCAACAAAGATATTGGAAAACAGAACGTACCAGACACTGTCAGTGCATGATTTATTAGACCAAACAGGGATAAAACTTTTATTAGACGCTTAGACGAAACAGAGAACATTGTGAAAAATGCACGGCAAAAATCAAACATCAGCCCCTTCGATTCCAGAACACTGCTCTTAATTTCTTTAATTTCCAATACAGCTGTTACTGCATTGGCTATACTGACTTGTTTTGATGCCCACATCAGAGAGAACATCCATTAGGAGTGAAATGGATCCGACAACATGTAAAAAAGACCTTTTATGAGTTTATATTATACGATGGAATTATTGAAGTTGACCGACAATAAGAAAGAGACTCCATATATAAAAGCAGAATGTACCAGAA